GAAATGATTAAATATCCTCAGGTAATTTACTTCTGATTACATGGTGATGTTTATTTTTCCTCTGGATTCCTGAATGAAATTCATGTTCAGTGAATGAGAAAATCAATTCTCAGACTAATAATAATAATAATGAATAATTTTTAGTTTCAACAAAATGTCAACAATTAACTTGATCAATTCATATTATCTACATGGATTAGCAGATTAACTTTGATGGTCAATCATTCATTATATTATAGAGTAACTATCATAGTGGACAGATGAGACAGTGGTCAAGCTTTATTTATATTAATACCATCATTACCTTGACCATTTTTACCTTTCCTTTGTCCCATTGGAATTGAATCAAAGTCAATCAATAAGGTAAATTAAGACACTTATTAATATAAATCAGTGTCACTCATGAATCTTATTTCCGGGATTAGTCATTCTCCAGATTAAACAACAACAATCCCAACGTCTCACCTTTCCAATGGTAATCTGATCATCAGAATCATCAACATTCAAGTTGATTGCAACAAAAGAATCGCTGATTTTGAATAATTAATAAATTATTCTTCAATCAATGAATTACTGGTAAGAGTGAATGATCAGAACTCAACTTAATCATTAAACAAATAATAAGATTTTCCAATCAGTATGACAACTAATCTAATCACAATTAACCATTTACTGTTGAAGTTTTATCCTCGATATCCAATTAAACTTCATGAGAGGATTTAATTGTAATCGCTGCTTTCTATCATTTCAATTTGAAAATCAAATTTGAACAATTTAGTTTTAGTTTTTATGATTACGAAAAGAAGAGAAAAATATTATTAAGATTGAGACTAATAAAAAAAATTATTATTATTATAATTGTGATTTTGATTGTTGTCCAAATTAAATGGTAAAGGATAACAAATGACCAACCAATTTAATCAATTACTAATGATGTTTCCAGTAGTCGACGTAAATTATTGTTTCCATGAGTTTTTCTCTGTCCAGTTCTGGATGTTAGCTGACCAATATTAAAAATGTTGTTTCTCTTTGTGTTTATTTTTTTCATGGAAACTCAGTAAAAGGGATAAGCCAAAAGCCGGAAAAGAAATGAATAAAATACATAAAAACAGTTGAAACCTCATAAGTTGATTAAATTGATGGTTATGTAGTTTTCCAAGTAAAAATCAACAGAGAGAGAGAGAGAGAGAGAGAGAGAGAGAGAGAGAGAGTCCGAGTAATAACAATAATAGTCACGATAATGATGATAATGTTGGCGAGCAATTGAGTGTCCTGTTGTTGACCATGATATTTATGAGTTAGACCAATTGTTTGAAGAGATTGTCTGAATATCCATCAACAATCAAATAAATTGGAAATTTGAAAATGAATAATCTCTTATTTTCACCTTGACCTTGGTCATTTTATGAACAATCATGATGATCAGGAACATAGTATAAACTTATTTCTATTGATCAGATGATAATGAAAAACTTAATCTGGAATCATGATGGTGAAGATGTTTTGTCGACTTTTTCATTGATCTGTCACTCTTATGGTGTGAAAGATGAAAGAAAATAAAGAAAAAGACAAAGAAAAGAATACAAAATTGGTGGAATCGTCACCAGAATAATGGATTAATCTATTCTTATTATTCAAGAGAATTTACCTAAGATTAAAATGTCAACCTGTAAAAGGTGAAGACTAATCATTTCTCCATGAGATTAAATTACTTTGGAGATTAAAAAAGAGGCCTAATGGCTTCGTGTGACGAAAGAAAACAAGTTGAATCTTGAACTTCCTTTTTTTCTTGAGATGAATTCATTGAATCTCATGAAGAGATGATAATTTATCATGAGAACCAACGAAGTGAGAGAGAGAGAGGAAGGATAATATTCATTTACATCTATGAAAGATGAAGATGAAACTTAGGTTATCAGAGAAAACTGTTGATGTCCAGTAGATGTTTTTTTCGTTGGCTATTTCGATAAGTTGACCAGTAACTTTTTTCTCTCTTAATCTTCTTGTAGGTCGATGAATTATGACCATGAACAAATTGAACTTTAAAAAAAAAGTGTATCAATTGGTGACAAGATCGTAAATAGAAGTAACAACAAAAAGATGATAAGATTAATCTGATTGTGAGACGAGAGGATAAAGAAATTCATTGATCATATTTCCTTTTCCTCTGAGTGTTTACATCAAGTATCATGTTGGACTCTTTCAAGTTTATCTCTTGCTTCCTGTAGGAGAAAAGGAAAACTTTAAATTGCAAGAATCGTGATCGATGATAAGCTTGAATTCTGATAAAGCGAAAAGAAAACAAAATTCACCACATAAACACCGATGATTCCAGTCTACGGAATAAAAGACAATTTAAAAAAAGAAAAGGTTTATGATCTCCCTTTGTTAGAATTTACAATTCTCTCTCTTTCTCTCTATTACTTACCCATTGAAATTGAATCCATGATAAAAAAACTTATTCTTTTTATCCTTTTTTAGGCCTTTTGGTTTTCCACTTTTTCTCCCTGGACCTTGAATTCTGTTGAAAACTATTCCATGAAATTCTGTGGCTTTAACAACAATAAAAAGAGAACACAAATTTACACCATTTAATTTGATTTGTAGAAAGAGAACAGTAAAAGTCTTAACAATCTAATTTCTAAAAAAAGTTCTGAATAGTAAAAAGTGTTAATCCGATAGCATTTCCATTCTCTCTCACTTCATGGACGTGATTTAAATTGAGAAACACATATTAGATTATCTAAAATAGATGTTTATTATTTTCTATTAAAATTCTTACAAAAGAAGAGTATTTTTCTCAACTGATTTTATCATCTCATGGAGATGGAGAGAGGGAAACATGATAACATTGAATTCTCCCTGAAAAAGAAAGAGAAAAATGAATTCAGAACAAGGAGAGTTTTTCTTTTTCTCTGAATATACAAAATTTCAATTCTTTGTATCTTTTACCTTACGAATTAATAGAATCGTAAATTCTGAATGAGAACATGATGATTATCACAATCGAAGGAAACAATTTAACTGATTAAAAAAAAGAAGAGAAATTAAGTTATGATCAATCGATTGCGCTTAATTGTGTCCAGTTAATTTTCTCTTCCGGTTTTTTCGCCAATTCGATTTGTTGATTGATTGGTGTTGTTATTTTAATTCTCGAATATCAAATCAATTAGATTTTCTTTCATTTTCTATCCAAACGAATAACAGTTGAATCTTTTTCTATTTACGATAATCACTGATGACAATTGGTCTCTTTCACTGATTAGATTTTTTCGTTTCTTCCAACCAACGATAACCAAAGTGTGAAAATCTTTGGCGATCATTTAATCAACTGAACAATCAATGATTCCAATTTGATCCGAAATCAATTGAATTTAGTAACATTCCACTAATGGAATTGACATTATCATATTTACAATTCTCTCTCTTTGTTGTTGACCTTTTTTTCATTCATCTCTCACTAACTTATCTTCTTTCTCTCTCTCTCTCTCCATCCTCATCCTCATCATCTACACTTTGGATCACCTTTTGTGACCCTCATCTTATATAATTCTGGTGAATCTTTCATCATGATAATAATTCAACAACAATAACGTTCCGTGTGTGTGTTTATGTGACTGATTGTGATAGAAATTGATTCAATTTGGTTTCGTCGAGAAGTGAATCAAATTTAATCATATTCAATTCTAAAAAAGGATAACAACGTTTCCATCTCTGTTTATTATCATTATCATCTCAGGATAACACAACAATAACAATGGTCAACTTTGGATCTAAATTATATCATCACATTTTATTAACAATGGTTGTTCTGGTCATCGTGTCCACCATTGTTTCGGCCAGATATCTGCCAACCAGGAATGATGATTCCAGGAAAGAGCAGATTAAGGAGCTTCTCAGAATGGTCAGTTCATTTTCTTTTCGAACTTTTTTTTTTCTTCTCTTGACAACTTGACCATACGTTCATACATGACATTGACCTAAAATTAATCAACTTACTTATTAGATTATTTCATTGAATTCTTCATGGTAAATCAGATTTATCGTCAGTTTAGTCATTTAGCTTTTAATTTTTTTTTTCTTCAGAAATTAAGGTGAATTAAACTACAATCAAGGTTCGAGTTGATGTCAAATGTTCAAATTGTTTTTCTATTTGTACATATAATGGATTCTTTGGTTAATTTACTTGATAATCATTAATTTACTTCTCTATTATATTGATTAATTAATCTAAATTGCGAAAGTTAATCTTAATGTCAAATTTGTCATGATCTCTGTTCATTTATAACAGAATAATTAATATGGTTAATATTGTTTCCTTATAGCAATTTAATTAAGAGTCGACTAATAGACATTAACTAATCATTTGAATGATAATCAGATTAAATAAATTGTAAACAGGATTAAAAGAATTGCTAATTTATTAGAGTAACATTGAATAATCCACTCGAGAGGTTTAAGGATTTAACTTAAATAATATCAAATTGTGAAAACTTTGATCGAGATACAATTAAAAATCTAATAGGATCAATTTAATTGTGATCTGTGTAATTAAGAAATAAGGAAAGACAATAATCCTAATTGATATTCACCTTAGAGATTCAATGATTAACTTGACAATTAGAAAATCTTTTCTTCTTCAATATTAACCATTATTAGTAGTAGTAAATTAACTAATTGTTTACAATTGATTTTCTAGTTTTTGGAAGCATCAAATTCAAGCCCGGAAGTTGATTCGTTGGGCGGGAAACGGAATCCAGGAAGTTTGTTTGATTATCGAGGGACAAACTCACCAAGTTACCTGATTAAACGAACCGCAATCGACGAGGTTCCAAATGCTGCTGATTTGGCTGCTTGATTTAATTCAATTCACAATCATCTTTAAGATTATTTACATTTGACAGGGAAAAAAGAATCAAAAAAAAAACTTAACAATCAACAAATTAGTGGCAACCGTTTTAACCTTTAAGGACTCACTCACACACAAACACAAGGATTGATTGATTGATTGATTATCATATTTATTGTCCACTAATTACAATTTAATTATAACCTTTTATCATAATTGTAAACGATTTCACAAAGAAAGCATGTTAATAATAATAATAAACAACAATTAAGTATTATTATCAATAAACACGTAGAGTTATGTTTGTAAAACTTGATTCTTTCCAAGTTGACTATTGTTTTGTTTCTTGTTTATCTTTGGATCGGTCTTCGGATGTGTCCTTGATTAACTGGGCCAAATATTCATCACGAGCGTAGACACCTTCGTGATATCTGTGCATTCCCGCTTTGAAAAGTTCATCTACCGACTGTTGAAAAGAATAGAAAAAGGAATATGAGAATATGAGATTGGAAAAGAAAATTACAAACAGCAGATTCGATTGAGGATTCTGATGATTAATGAATTATGAAAGAGAGTTTTGAGTTTCTTCTCTATCAACTTACCACTTTTTCGTATTCTAATTGTACGTATTGATAAACCACGAAGATAGCTGTTACTAGTCCTATGATTCCTCTGTAGATTCTGACCTTGAGCGGCTGCGGTTCCAAAATATCTGAAAGTTTAGGCTTTTCATATTTTCCCCGAAATTTTTGCATCCTTAATATAGTCCGGATCATGGATAATCAAATATTTAAGATATTCTTGCTTGAAAAATCGTTCCTTTTCTACTGAATAATATGAAATACCATTGATTTTCATGTGAATACACAAATATTCAAAAGTAGCACCAATTCCAATAAAAAGTGGCGTCAATGAATAGAAACCGTATCGGGAAATTAAAGGTTTAGTAAGCCAAACATACAAATTTCCAATCCGTTTAAACATAATCCAAGGATCATCAATCCAGGAAAAAGGAACAGGAAGATTCTAGAAGAAAAACTAGAGAAAGAGAGAATATATAAGAGAGAGAGAGAGAGAAAAAATACAATCAAAGAAAGAAATTGCTAATTGGATAATCAATAGAATTTAAAAAGCTCTAAAGATTGACCTTAATCCTTAAATTATCCAAAAAATTATCGGCACAAAAATAAAAAGAAATTGACTTACCTTTTATCCAAAGAATATTATTATTGGTCACCCTTTCCTTATGTAACAGAAAATTATCACTTCTCTCTCTCTCTCTCCCTCTTGTCGGTTATAATCAAAGAGCAATTTAATTAAAATTAACCAGGATGATGTAGATTAATCATAATCGGCGACAATCATCTTATGAAAACAAAGTCAAAAGGATAAACCAAAACAAACCACATGGATTAACCAGCGAAAGGGAAAAATGTTTTTTTCCCTTTTCTTTCTCCAACTGCGCAAACTCAGTTTCTTACAAATTCTTTTCTTAATTTAACCAACATTTAATTGTTTCTGATCAAGTTTATTCATCGAGCTATTTATTAGTAGTTAATCAAACGATTAGTTTAATTTTACCATTCGTCTGAAACTGATCTCTTGAGTTATTTTGATTTATCTCTCATTTTGTGTTGTGTTAATCATATTAATCCAATAGTTTTACTTTTCCTTTTTATTAATTTTGAAAATGTCACTTGAATCTAATTCTGATCATTCATTAATTGATTTCCATAGTATAGTAGATTATGATTTTCCAAGTAATTCTAAACCGATCACTTCATCTACTAAAAGTCTAACTTGTGATATTATTTATGACAAAATTAGCAATAATGTTAATTTGAATACTATTGACCAACTTCATAACGTCAATAAGATTAACATTGACTCGTTGATTAATCATCGTCGGGCCTCCGAGAAACCTGGCTACTATTGTGGCCTTTGTAAAAAGAATGGAGAATCGGCTGAATTTTATCGATCTCATTGTCTCCGTGACTCTCATGGCAATTTAACTTGTCCCGTTTTGTTTAATCACGTCTGTGAAGTTTGTGGTGCCACTGGACCGTTTTCTCATACCCGCAGCTATTGCCCAATGGTCCGAAGATTATTAGAAGAGCGACCCAAAGATCCCGCAGTGGCCTCTTTCTGTATCAACTATAGCCTTTCCCGATCGCGAAATGAGGACAGAGTCTCCAGGAGAAGTGGGGATAAGTTCAGGCGCCAACCAGTTCCCAGGAAACCATCCAAAAGCCTCTATTGATTCATTTCTGAATTTCGATCTTCATTACTTTTCCTTTTTTTATTCTCTTCTCAGTGCTTTTCCCTCTTCTTTTCATGGTGATGCTGAGTTTTCATCATCATCGTCTTTTGACTTATATAAATTTAAGTATATTGTCCCACCTTTAGTATTCATTTAGAATAAAATGATTCTGTCTACATTTATTATCTTTTTCTATTCGCGATAATCACTGATCACCATTGGTCTTGTTGGCCTTTTTTCATTCATCTCTCACTAAATTATCTTCTTCCTCTCTATCTCTCCATCCTCATCATCTACACTTTGGATCACCTTAAGTGAACTGTCGTCAAAGTAGATCAAATGGTTCGTCATCTCGGTGGTGATGATCAAGCTTCTCATTCAGCCCAAGGTAAAAACACCAATCAGCCGAGATCAATTGAAAGAATTCATTAATTTTAATGAATTTCTGGTTAATTTTTCTTTTATGCACCGAACTGAGTTTATTGGAAAAAACTTGTCAGTTAAATGTATCGAATACATTATTTTATTAAATTTATGAATATAAATTACATATTAGAGATGGAAAAGTTTTGTTAAAACTTTAATCGATTCTAATTCTCTTATCATTGTTTTAATTTGTTCCAATGATGGAAATTGGAATTTGATCATTTGTTTAACTTTGTCCAATACCGGGTTAATTTTGTTCAATTTACTCGGGAATTTGTTTATTTGGTGGTCAGCTAATCTTAATAGTTCGCGAATGTAAGCTAATCCCATGTGAATATCAATTGCTTTAGTTAATTCGATGCGAATTGTTTCATTTCTAATCAATTCGGTTATTGAGCCAAATTGTCCATTAACTAGCCATGGATTTCGGGGAACGGTAGGTAACCAATTTTCGTATCGATCTACTTCGAGGAGAAAAGCATCACCACCGTAATAAGATTGGTTAGTTGATAATTTCTCTCTAAATGCTTTGTTTTCCTTTTTCTCGAAAACTTTACTGACCACACCTTTGCGACTTAATAAAGACATGAAATAATTGTTGATTGATGAAGTTAATTCCGAATCCGTCATTGATTTAGATGTTGATGTGTCGGTTGGTGTGTCAATCTGGGTGAAATACTTGAAGACACCACCAAAAAGCGCAGAACGGAAATAGTGAGTGCCATAATTTTCAATGAATTCTTGATATTTTTCCGGTGCTTCTTCATATCTTTCTGGTAACTCTTCTGCCATGAAATCTTCCATAAATTCAGATAAGGATTTACGAAGAGATGTCCTTGGTGCTAAATTAATACGAGTTGTTGGTGTTATTAACTGTAAACTCGCAATGGTTTTGGAAGAGTTTAATAGAATCGATTGGTACTTTTGATAAGAAGCCGATTGAGAGAAAGCTCCTCGATCCAAAGGTCCTTCTATTCCTGAAGTTAACCTGAATTCACTTTTGATCTCCTCAAGGCTGGTTATGATTGAGAAATGGGTCTTAATTGTTTCACGGGGAAGTAAGTCAATACTCAAAACTTGATCAGGAACATCATAAGCAGATCCTGATAGAAAAAATTTTCGTTTCTAAATTGGAAAAGAGTAAGTGAAGAAAAATATTCCATTAATCAAATTGTTTTCACTTTTTTCAGATAATTTGATTAATTGCTGTTGTTAACCATCATTGGCGAGACAAAATGAAATAACAATAAGCCTTAATTATCTACTAGGATTAGAAAATTAAGGCTTAATTGGCCTATTTTTAGCCATCAAATCAACACGTGAACATGGATAATTGAACTAAGAAAATTGAATTTTCTTAAAACAACAATTAACTAGAAGTTAATGACAATTTAATTGATTACTGATTCAAAGATCAATAAGTAAATGGCATCAAGCCAATCACCAATTAGCCAACATCAATTAACAAGAAAAATTAAACGGTCAACACAATAAAAAACAATAGAATTTTTTTCTATAAGAAAACCAAAAGGCAAAGAAATTAGAAAAAAAATTAAAATCTCTTACCTTTTTACAGGTTAATTCAATGAAGGAACACTTAACAAAACCATCATTGTTGTCCGAAGTATAATCATGTAGAAGATCAAGTTTAGTTAAATCAATTCCACGGGTCATCATTTGTAATCCAGGAACAATTAATCCACATAAATCCTCTTTTGCTGAAGCAAAATGGAATTGATTTTCCTTAAGTAAAGATCCATCAAAATAATTAACATTATCTTTTGACCGATTACTTTTAGAAGATGAATTAGAAGTAGCAGTTAACGTGGACACAATTAAATTATTCAAAATAATAACGAAAACAATTAATTTCATTCTAATTGTTGATAAAGAAAATTAATTAAACAAATGAACACATAACAGACAAAAAGGTTAACCAAATGGAAAAAGAGAAGAAGAGAACAAAAAATTTAGAATAGAACAAAAAAAAAGAGAAATTAGAATATTTTCCCTCCAATTGATAGACAATAACAAGTGAACTTAAAATCTAAATGATTATAGATTTTAATTCGTTTAACCAATTTTTCACCAATCAACTGAATCAGTTAATTTCTACTCAGTAATCATGTTAATCATCATGTAATAATCATCGTCAATCTTTATGTCAATGGACACAACCCAAAGTGTGTAAGTATCAACCCATTTGCTCCGAGCCTTTTTACCGTTTAGCTTTTTTTTCCTTCTAAATTGTTGATTAAGTTGATTTGATGATGATGATGATGATTATGTTGTTGATGATGATTTGATGATGATTTGATTTGATGTGATTAAACGTTAATAAGTGATACAAGTGAAAGGCAACTGAGAGGTTAATTGTATGAAGATGAACAGGTTTAGGGAAAACAAGTAGAAAGTGAAACCTTAATTTGAGAAACTGATCTTTCACCTTTCATGTTTACTCTGGTTTATCCGGAAATGTTATTCTAATTCAATTTATTTTTGAATTTCCATCTTCATTATTATCCCCTTTTTTATATATATTTGTATCTTTTATTAATCTTCTCAATGCTTTTCCCCCTTCTTCTCATGGTGATGCTGAGTTTTCATCATCATCGTCTTTTGATTTATATAAATATAATAAGTATATTATATTGTCCTACTTTTAGTATTTGTCTCGAATGTAAATTCATTATGAGGAAAAATTAATACAGTTTAATGATTTAATTGTCGGTCAATTATTATATTTTGTTTTTCTTTGTCTCATTTACAGATTAATTCCTGATATTCAGCTTATTATTATGTCTACTCAAATCTCATTTGGACTTAATCATCAAGAACGAGAATTAATGTCAACTCGAAATTTCTGATTCTTGTGATGAATAATTGATTTAGTTTCTATGTCTATTATTGTAGAAACAAATTCCGTTATTATTAATTAGTTGGTCAACTATTTAGTAGTTTTGTTTTCAGAATGAGAGTTAATTTTACAAGTTTCAATTTTCACTTTAACCCTCATACAAATCATATGTTAGTCTATTGGAAAGATAATGATTAACTGTTGTTATTTAACAGCTAATTGCTTTTAGATTGCTTTATAACTGTCATCTCTTCTGATAATGGATAATCATGATTTACTTGCTCAACACTTTCTTGTAAGTACATGTATTATGATGATTAATTCAACTTCTTTACATTTCCAAATAATTTAACGAGCTCTTTTATTTTTTTTTCTTAGACTGATCAGAGTGAGAATCGCCTTGGTGTTGAATTTTTTAATTCTAATTCTTGTTTTGAATTAGCTAAGCGCTTGTTGGGTAAAGTGATCTGTCGTCGAAGTAGATTAAATGGTTCAATACTGGCTGGAATGATCGTTGAAACTGAATGTTATCCCGGTGGTGATGATCAAGCTTCTCATTCCTACAAGGGTAAAAAAACACCAAGAAATGAGCCGATGTTTATGGACCCAGGAAGTGCTTATGTGTATTTCACATACGGGATGTATCATTGCTTCAATATATCTTCTTGTGGTGAAGGTGCTGCTGTTTTGATTCGAGCTCTCAAACCGGTATCTGGATTAAAAGAGCAATCAACTAATCGATTGTCATTCAGGAAAAAGTCCAAACCAACATGTTCATCATCATCATCTCATTCAGGTTCTATCCCTTCATCATTGAGAGACACTCAAATCGCTAATGGACCCGGTAAATTGTGTATTGCTTTAGATATCGATAAAGAGACAATCAACAAAGAGAATTTGATTTTAAGTAATATTATTTGGCTTGTTGGCTATAAAGATTATCCAGATGAAGAGATTACCTTTAGTAAAAGAATTGGAATCAACACCGATGCTGAATCACGAAATCAACTGTGGAGATTTTATATTAGAGATTCGCATTATGTGAGTGTTAGAGACGAAAAGAAACGAGAGCCTAAATCAAACAAAAGACCCGAAAAAATGGTTAAATCTAACAATTTAGGGAAAAAGACAAAGGTCGCTAATGATTGAATCGACAAAATTTCCTAAATTGTCGTGTTAAATTGTCGAGCTAAATTGCCCATGAATTTATCGACAGTTAATTATGCCTTAAGTGCAAAAGGTAATCAAAATCTTCATTAGTACCGTTTGAATAACCTAATCAAATAAATTTCTGAATCTTAATTATCTTATTGTTTTCTCTCCGCAGTTTAATCATAAATGTACCTATGGATCACATGGTTCGGCCTTTTCGTTAGCAGTTATATTTGGGCGGAGAGACTAAATAAAGTTAATAAAAAACGAAAGTCCAACAATCAAGCAAATCAATTATAAGTTGAAGAAAATTGTGTTTAATTCCTTGGATTTGGTTAATGATTTTAAATTTTGCATTTACAATGAAATCAAAGGAATCAATGGACGAAAACAATCAACTAATTGTCAAGAGAAAAAAAAACTTTGCCAATATTGAATGTGGAAGATTCTTTATGCTTGGTGTAAACACAATCACTTTCTACTCGCCTTTAAATTGTTTTTAATTCACTTTCGAGGGTCGCTATTATCCAGAATCGCGTTTCTCGATTAACTACAAATTCCCTATTATTGTCATGATGATCAATTACAAAAAAAATCATTTCAAACCCAATGAATTAACTTCCTTAGGCTCTTCCTACTTCTAATATCAGAAACTATAACCAATTCCCTTACCCTTTTAATTTGTATTGTTTTCTTACTTTTTTCATTAATCTCTCCCTCACTCACTTACTCACTCACTCTCTACCTGGATTTGCTTGAGTAATTCATTCATCAACCTTAACAATATCTACATTTACCTGAGTTAACCTTCACTTAATATATTTTCTCACTTTCTCTCTCACTTACACTCACGATTATCAACATTTTTCACTAATTCATATACTTGGCATTTCCAATGTAATGATTTTAACTCAACCAACAATCTATTAACCAAATTTATCTGATTAATTTACTGATTTCACTAGTGATTGTTAACAGTATTCACGTTAATTATGTCTACATAAATGGTCAAGGGAGAGAGAGAGAGAGAGAGAGAGCAATAATTGAGATAATTACGAAAAAGAAACAGTTAAAACAATCAATCTATTAATTCAGTTTGTTTAAAAAGGTTTCATCCATTGGTTGGTTAAGTTTTCTTGACAATTTCTATTATTTTTTTGATTGTGTTTCCAATTTCATTGTTATTTCGTGTTGACTTTCAAATTGTTGTTAATTGTGTTTAAATTTTTTCGCCAACTTGTTGATCTAACAATATAAATCTTCATTTAGAAGATTAATCTTGTTGATTACCAATGGATTCCAAATTGTTCTGGTTAATTTATTTATCGACTTATTTGTGTTTATCAAATTGTAATAATGTTCAAAATGTGACAATTGAATCAACGACCAACGGATTAAATTCATCCATGTCTTCACCATTATCGTCAACAATTAAGACTAATTCATCAATTGCTTATGAATTATTATCAACAAAATCAACTGAGAACAAGGAAACAATTGGTCAACTCGTTGGGAACAAAACCAGTGATGGTCAATTGGAGGGCAAAGACATTCTGAATGGTCAAGAACAGAGACAAAATCAATTCACCCAAGGAAGAGGTAAGAGTTAATTGTGATTGTAATTTTAATTGTGAAATTAATTCATTTCTGGGGTGATTTGATGTTATCTTTCTTAGGTCCACCCAATAGGTTTCCACCTCAATATCAAGGTAATTACAATTACGGACCTCAGGGTGATAATTACAATCGACAACAAGGTTTACCTAATCCACGACAATCTAATTATGGTAATCAAGCTAATCAACAAGGATCACAATTAAATAGTCCTTATGATTTTCTAGATGGCATTATCCCGAATTCTGATCAGAATGGTAAGCAATTAACTTGACAATTAAGTAACAATCAAATTTGATTAAATTGTAAACAAAAATTACTCTTTTTTCATGTTCCAAATTTAATCAAATTATGTTTTCATGATTAATTTTGATTCTAATTTTCATGGAGAAATTTTTTTCAGTCCCAATTAAGTTAACTTTTTTTTAAAATTATAATATGATTAGTAAATTGTAGTTTAGGTCTTACTAATAATTTCTAGCTAATAATTAATCAGTTGAAGTTTTTTTTATTGCTAATTTTTAATCCAGTCAATTATTAGATTAGATGTCAATTTAGAAATGCAATTTACATTACAATTAGTTTGATCATTTGATTAGATTAATTTTTTGTTGCTTTGACAAAATCCTTGGAAATCAATGAGAAAATTAAGTTTAAGGTTAATTGTAACAATTTATTCAATTTACTTTTTAAAACGGAAGTTGATCAATGGACTTAATCATCTATTCAAACTGATGTTAATCTTTTTTTTTGGTTTGGTTTAAATTGTTACATTTAAATTGGTAAACAAAGTATTAATTAAGATAATTGATCTTTAAATTGTTTAAATGATTAATTTAATTTGTATCTTTTTTTGTTTCTTAATTGTATTTCAGGGTTTCTCACAAGAACACCTCAAAATCAACAAAAACAACAATCAGGACCTAATCAACCTGCTAATCGTTATCCAATTGCTAATAACAATTATGGCCTCAACCCAAATCAACAATCACAGGGAAATGTTGGTGATAAGACAGTTAATCAAGGATTTGGATTAAGTGATAATCCCTCTGATGGTTACAATGATCAATCAGATGAAGCTGAATCACCAGAATTGGGTCAACAGGGTGAGGATGCTAATCAAGGGACGGAAAATGATAGCGGAGAGGAAAATGTTAGTGATAATGGTGAAGGTGATGGTGGGAATAATGAACAAGTGACACCAAATGAGGAAGGTGAATCTGGTGAAGAGCCAAGTGATGAAAGTGTTGCTAATGATGAAGGTGAAGGTGAAGGTGAAGGCGAAGGTGTAACTGGAAGCGAGGGGGAAGTTGGAGGTGATGGTGGTGTTGATAGTGCAAGAGATGAAGGTGCTGGTGATGGCGGTGAGAAAACTCAGTTTGATGATTCTGACTCGACGAATGGTGGTGAAGGTGATGCTGAAGAATCTGCAAATTCTGATGAAGCGACTGACGCCGATGGTTCGGCTGGTCAAGGTGGGGAACAAGATCCATCTAATGATCCTGATTTAGCGCAATTTCAAAATTTTCAAGGTGGAAATTTTCCCGGTGATTTATTTCCACCCGGAATATTGAGTCAACAAGATTTAAATGATATTCAAAAGTCCATTGAAGAGCAGCAAAAGAAAGAAGCAGAAAAACAAAAGAGTGAAGAAGAAGCCGCCGCAGGCGATCAAAGTGAAGGCGGTGAAGGTGATGGTACTGGTGAGGAAAATACTGGCGAGGGTGAAGGCGAAAATGGCGGAGAAGGAGAAACTGACCAACCAGCAGCAGCTCCTCCAGTAAACCCATACACACCTGATGCTGGATATGGTCAACCGATAAACAATCAAGCCAATTTATTGGCGATCAACAGAGCGATAGTTGAGCGAAACCGAAATCCAGGTTTAATGGGCCGTCCCTTTAATCCACTATCTGGCCAGAGAGAATCCAAATGAAAATCGATACGGTGGTAATAATGGCGGTGGCTTTTCTAATCGTGGTGACTTTGGAACCGGAATTCAAGATTACGAATATGAAAGACCAAAAGTCAATCAAGATGAGGACGAAACTCCTAATCGATTAAGAGATAATCCTCTTTTCAATAGAAATCGTTTCATCCCTTCCCATCGTAGAGGATCAAATGAAGGTGAAGATGAAGAAGATGACAGAGATGAGAGGATTCCACCCCACCACCACCACCACCTTATTTGAGAAACCGATTCTCTAATCGATTTGAACGGTTCAGGCCAAGATTATTTAACCGACCAGGTCGATACAATAACGATCTAGGTGATTATGGTGTTCACAGAGCGAATTCAAATCAACAGCAAACAATAGACTTCCAATCAAATCAATATCACCCTTACAATAACAATTTTAACCCTTCAAGTGACAACAAAAATTATTTTAAACAGTCAATCAATCAAGAAGACAATCAAAGTGTAATTAACTACGACAACAACGATTAATTAATCAATGAAAAAAAAACAACAACAACTTAAACCATCAACATGTAAATGATTATAATTGTAATCACAATTTCATATTTGTATCATTTTGTATTGTAATTTTCTAACATCACGATAAATGTGATTCTTTATTCTTCAATGATTAAAGAAAATTTAATCAATTGATTAAAAAACAATTTGAAATCGTCTTTTTCCTTAATCCGCCAATAGAAGGCACCAGTATGTGTATGGAAAACAACATCAATTGGAAGGAAAAATTTTCCATTCACAACTCAAACTGTTTTGATTAGTTAATTGTTCTCATTCAACACACGATTTTTAATTAATTATCTTGATTAGTGAATTATAATTTAATCAGTTGAATGTTTCATCGAAATTTGGTTTGATTTTCTTTTTAACAACTCAATTTATTTCTCTGTTGGTTTAGTTGTTTCTCTCTTTTCTCTCTCTTGTTTTCTATCTCCTCTCACTCTAATCATCTGTTACTCATTCTTTGTGTTGATTCTGATCAATGATACAATTACCATGATGTTTATTTAATTGACCAAATAAGTACAACTACAATGTGTTGATTACATGATAAGTGGCGATAAGTTGAAACTGAATCTATCCTCTTAATGACCTTTTCTAATCAGTTGATTTCTTTATATTCAGGTTGGTGTTTATGTTTTGCTTTTTTTTCATCATCTTTAGGTTGATTTGATTTTCTTTTTGTTTCTAATTGTATCCTCTTATTTTTCAGATCTTTTCGGTAAATTTGCTGCTATTATTGAATTTCTGTTGACAATTAAATGTAGTGATAGTTTTTCAATTACTCAACGTTTTCTTGGTTCTTGTGATTCTCAATGATTTTGGTTTTACCAACTTGATGTAAAGGATACATAATATTTTTTTATGTACCAATTGACTTGGTTCCAAGAGGAAGGAAGGAAACAAAATTTGACTGTTAATCCTTTCCCAGTCTCACCTTGATTGATTATTATTGTAATCGCCATCAACTCGAATTTGTTTGATTCGATTTACAATCGCTTGTAATTTGGTACCGATGACCCAGGCCGCTTATATCGTCTCGGAAAGTACTGACTGTGAAACTATCAAGTGTGGCCTTGAAACGGAAATTTCAATGAAACAAGATCTTGAAGATCATTCTCATTGTGATAATTGTATCAAAATCACCAAGTGTCGTTATAAAAATACTCGAGATGCTGCCTGTCCAATTGTCTATTGTATTGAAGGTTGTGGATTCAAATTTCATCGGTGTAAATCTGATGAACATAAACTCCTTTGTGCAAATGAAAAGGTAGATAAATATTCAACTACGATTTATATTCAATATCTCGTATCCTACCTAAAGGACAAAATCTCTCGAAATCAAGCTCAATCTTTGTGCTAATTCTTGATTCAGTTGTTGACAGGTTATTAACTGACATTGAGTAAAATTCAGGGTGATGATTAATTGAGAATCGGAAACTTTTTTTTACCTCTTTTCTTTCAGTTTGTGGTTGAAAGTTTTTCCAGGTCAAGGTAAATCGACCAAGAATTGGAAAATCACTTCGTATGACTGTTAATCTTGTTGCACGATTAACTAATTTCTGTTGTTTATTAACTCATCTTCAAACTTGCCCTCAAGCCCTTTAACAATTATACTTTTGATATAATTGAAACTTTTTCTTTCATCTCCTCCCTTTGAATGATATCATCCTGAAAATCATCCTAATTACTTCCTCACTCTGACAATCAACAATTGAGAATATCTGAAAACACTTATTGTCATTACAATTTAATGGTTGACAATTTAGAACAACAAACATAACCCAATCTCCTTTGATCTTTTTTTTTCACTAATCAATCCAAATGATAAACTTAATTCAATTCTATTTACATTTGATATTTTCTTTTCTCTCTTACAGATTCTTTGTATTAATCACAGTTTCGGTTGTCCTACTTTTCTACCTCGTAAAGACTTGACCAAACACATATCATGCTGTCCAGCGAGTGTCATTCATTGTTATATTGAATGGAATCGATGGCCAATCTATACTCGAGATCGTAAATTAACTCAACCTCTAGTTACCTATTCTCTTAGCAATCAACATTTAGATGTAGCGTTGACCCTTCGTGACCAGCGAATGCTCGAAGAACTTTGGACAGCGACACGTAAAACCCGATGTACACTTCGAAATAGTTTAACTCGTAAATATCCGGCTGTTCCTTTAAAGGTAATACTGATTAACTATTGGGTTATTTCTTGTTCATTTTAATTGTTATTACGTTCACTGGATACCAATGATTTTTATCTCGTTAATTTTGCTTCAGGATGTGTGACTGTTGGATAATAATAATGATGATGATGATTACCTTTTCCATTAACAATTTTCATCTATACAGTTGGTTAACCTTAAGTTTGCACGCACTTAATATGATTAGTTGTATTGCCATGAACACGTTCAATTAACTCATCATCATCATTTGTTGATCATTTCAACAAAAATATCTTTTTTTTCAATCAACTGGTTAGTCCATTGCAACAATTAGATGAAAATCTATCCTATCAACAATTTTATTTGTTTTTTTAGTTGTTGCTTGTTTGGTACTTTCAACTTTCCAAGAAACAACAATCAACAATAGTGATTGATAATAAATCACCATTCAATCAATGATAGAATTGAAAATTATTATCAGAAAGAAAAAAAATTGATTGGATGATCACTTTTGATTGCAGATTAATTACTAACTTGTTGATTGATTACTCTCATCTTTTGTTGTTAACAAAGTTTACCTACACAATTTAAATCACCTCAAGTTGAGATCAATCAATTCTATTATTTTTTTGGTCTTTTAAATAATTTAGATTTAGAGTAATTTACTCAATTCAGATAAAAAATCATGTTAATCATTGGATAAATTAGATTGTCAATCCATTCTCTTAAATCATTCTTATGATTGAAAGAAACATTTGATTACATTGACTATTAATTGTAAATTCGAAAACTAATCAATTGATGTTTACCATTTCTTTTCCTTTCTAATTTTAGCCTTATTGTGGTGCTCATATTCACGAACCCAAGGAAAACGGAGTTCCGACCGGTTCATCATCCGCCTCATCCTTAATCACACCACAAACAGTTTCCGATGACGATAGCGATTCATCCCCATGGCAAATGACCAAATCACCTCCTGGTTTACAGAGTAGTGTCTGTGCCCGTCTAAATGGTAGATCATTTTCTCACCTTAATCACAATAACAATAATCATCATCATCATCACCATGAAAATAATTCTCAACATAATCACTTTAACCATAATCACCACCATCATGATAACCATTTATTACAAACTCACAATTCCCACCATCACCTTAATAACAATCCAGTTATAAATTCTAATCATCATAATCATCACAATTTATCCGGCAATCAAGAAAACTCACCAGTGGACTCTCTTTCAGATAGATTGGCGTTTATTTCGGCAAAGGATAAACTTACTGACTGTGATAAGAAATTACGTCCATCAGCTGAAGATAAATTATCAACCAATGGATTTATACCTAAACCACCAATTCTACCCAATAATACATCGCTAAGTTTAGATTTAAATCTAAATTCGATTGCACAATTTCAGGCTAAACCTAAACTCATGTATACCTTTAAATGTGCCCAAGAGTTTCGTCGTGACGAGTATGGATCTCATTATAAAAACTTTCATGGTGACATTTTGGGTTCGATTAATGGTTGGATGGAGCATCGATGTCCTTTGTGGCAATATGGCTGTAATTTTGTCCAAAGGCGGATTCACCCGTTTCCCGAAGGAACCAGAATCACCTTCAACCCGATAGTCGAAAGTTTTGGCCACGTTATGAGTCCAAATTGTGATAAGATCGATGAATCGAGTGATATTTCCCTTCTTAATCTTCCCTACGAAGTAACAAATCGTTATCACAATTAACTTTAATTGTCTGTTTTCTTCGCAACTAATTGGGTGCAATTTATATTATTCTTTTGCTTTATCAGATTCTACGTCAAATTTGTTTCTCTTTGGACGGATTTAGTCTTAATAATCTATCGATGACCTGTAGTCGAATGCGAGAAATATGTTCAACGCTCTTAGAGAAACGAGGTGTCGTTATACTTCAATGGGAACGACGAGTGTCGACCACTGATTCAACTCTTCGTTGGGTCGTTGGTTCAAAGGTTCGTTGATCGTTGATCATTTTCTCTCATGTTGATTTAATTTCTTCTAATTGTTTTTCTTTCATTTCTTTCTTACTTTTTTTCTCGATCAATCTTATCGATCTCTTTTAGAAATGGGCTTTTAGTACCAATTTTACCGAAATTAAAAACTGGTACTTCGATAGTAAACATGATGTTCTTAATCACATAAAACATTGTCCACACTACGAAATAATTAAACGAACTGAGCCAATTGCTTTACCAGCCATGAAAAATGAAGATGTCACAAAGAAACAATCAAGTTAATTGTCTTTAACTAAATTAATGGAGACACAAATTTACTCACTCAATATTTTCTTCCAATTCAATCGATTATTTTAATAACTATTAATTTCTCTCATAAAACTAATTCAGATTCTCAACTTTAATCAACGGTGATACAAATTAATTCTCATACAATCTGATTTAAAACTATAAACTACACAATTTATTTTCTTCTCAGTCACAATTAACTTATTGTTTTTTGTTTCCTGGTACAAATCAACAAGTCAACTCAATCAATTTGCTATTAATCTTTCCCAGTTGTCAATGAAATCAATTGAATTAATTGTATCTAATTGCCAAACGGACTCCATGTAATAATGATGATTGAAATCTAATCGTAATTAACTTCTGATGACAATGAAACAAATCAACAGAAACTAATTAATCTTAGAAACTCAAAGTCTCTCTCCTAATCTCTAATCAGATTCTTATATTATCTTAATTGTTGAATAATTACATTAATCTCAATGTAATAATAATAATCTACTCAAATTAACCGAATTAGAGAGAAAGAGACAAAAGTAATTAAAAGTTCTAATTTTAATTATTTCAATTAATCAAATGCTCGAAACAAAAGTTTTATCGACTTTGTTTCAAATCTAAATAAAAAATCGTCGACCTTTCAAATTAAAACTAATTGTAATTCTATCAATTTATTGATTGAGCGACGATTCGATAATCATAATAATCATCTCACAATCTAATCAATGATAGAAATTGATTGTTAATCTAATACAATTAAAGGTGAATTTCTAGTTGATTGTTTCTCGCGATAATCAAACAAGATAATTAACTATAGTTACAATTGAGAATTACTTTAATTGCCATTAGTTAAGTAATCATATTGAGATTAACTATTTTCTGCCTTTTGATAATCACTGATTCGGTTATCTAACAATCAATTAATTCTCATTTTATCTTAATTTCAGTGATTCTTTTCTCTTTTTGTATTTGCCTCTCAAAATTTTTTTTCTTATTCTTTTTTTCCTCTTTCTCTTCTTCTCCTTCTTTTTCACACTCAATTTGTTTCTTTCTTATTTTTGTTTCTTCCTCTTAATTAGTTACAATTTAATTAACATTTAAGCTCACACAGTGTTTGACTTGTGAGCTTTTATGGTTCAATGAATCAACTAATCAATGTAATATAATTATTGGAATGTTAAAATCAAAGGAATCAATTGCAAAGGTAAATTGTTGAGTTTATCTTTTCCTCTTTCTCTTTCTCTCATTACGTTAATATGTTTCTCTGTCTGTGTGGTTAACATTAACATCACTTTTTTGGCTTTAATTCTGATTGATTGTTTTTCTTTTTGTTCTTTTCAATTTAATTTGTTTTAATTATTTAATTCGTTAATTTCATGATCATTTTTCTACTTTTCAGTTGATGTCCATTCCATTTTGTTTTTTATAACAAAAAGAATTTGCTGTTGTCTCATCTTCTTTTCTTCGGCTTCGTTGTCATTTTCTTGGAAATTCAACTTGTTCTTTTTGCCGAATTTTCTTTTCTCCTTTGATTTGGAACTGTTGGTTTTTCTTTTCTTTTGTCATTTTTGATTGTTGAATGATTTACGTTTTAGGTGTTTATCATTTAATCCATATCTTAATTCCAACTCAATGAAGGAACAATTTCCGTAAGTTGGTTCGATGTTAATTGTCGTCTTTTCTGGTCTTTGATTTTTTATTCTCGTTCTTATTTTTTCTTTGTTTCTTTAGGTTAGTGCCCAAGATCATCAATGGCGGTATCGCGGGAATCATTGGTGTTACATGTGTTTTTCCGATTGATTTGGTTAAAACTCGCCTACAGAATCAGGAAGTTGGACCTAATGGTAGTAAAATGTACAAAGGTCTATTAGACTGTTTTCGCCAAACTTATCGCCGGGAAGGTTTCACTGGAATGTATCGTGGATCAGCTGTTAACATATTCCTAGTAACACCTGAAAAGGCCATTAAATTGGCTGCGAATGATTTTTTTAGATACCGGTTATGCAGTTCAACAGGTAAACTATCATTTGGTGCTGAAGTTATCTCTGGTGGCGGAGCTGGTCTATGTCAAATTATCATTACTACACCTATGGAATTACTTAAAATTCAACTTCAAGACGCTGGAAGAATTTGTTAGTATTTTCAACAAAAGTTTATACATCAAAATTATTCTATTTTATTTTATCTTATGTTCATCTAATTTTCCTCATAACTTCTTAGCGGCCAAAGGAAGTGAAGGAAATGCTCCAATTTCAGCGACTAAAATTGCCATGGAATTATTTAAGAAACGAGGAATCTTAGGACTATATCGAGGTGCTACTGCCACCATGTTACGTGATGTTAATTTTTCCATTGTTTATTTTCCGTTATTCGCCCATTTAAATGCCCTTGGACCTAAAAGGCCAGACGGTTCCTCTGTTTTTTGGACTTCATTTTTGGCTGGATGTGGAGCGGGTTCAACGGCAGCAGCCATTGTCAATCCATTTGATGGTATTTATTGTCAATTTATCATTACTTTTGATTATCTTCCAAGACTTAATCTCTTAATCTATGCCATCTTAATTCTATGCTTAATTTTTTTTTATCTTATTTATTATTACTTACATTGGATAAGCAGACAAGTTTGTTATATTCAAGGTTATAATTCTGTAATTTTGTTACTTTTCAATTTCCAATCTTTCCAACAATCAAACTTACTCAAAGAAAAACTCAACCTTACAATCAATAACTTTGTATTTTATTGATTAACTATTGAATCCTATTGAAACCTTACCTTTAATAATTAATAGGTTATAATATTTTATTGATTATCTATGGAATTTTTTTTCTCTCCCTCTTTTTATCTTTAGTTGTCAAAACGCGTCTTCAAGTTTTAAAAAGAGCTCAAGGAGAGACCACATACTCTGGAGTAATCGACGCTTTCGCTAAAATCTATCAAAAAGAAGGACCTTCGGCGTTTCTCAAAGGTGCTGGCTGTCGAATGATCGTCATAGCTCCGTTATTCGGAATAGCGCAAACAGTTTATCTTCTTGGTGTCGCTGAATATTTTCTTGGAATTGAAACAAAAAGATAACTAATATGCTACGTAAGTAAAAGTACATAAATCACATGTAAATATCCATATTGATTATTTAATTTTCTTTTCCTTGCTTATAGATTTAATTATTACAATACAATCTTTAATTTACACCTTAATATTTATTATTATGTGATAATCACTCATTGAGACATGACCAGTTCCAAATCTCAACAAGAAAAAAATCCAATACAAGACAAAACCTCATTCCGCATGAAATCTGAAATCAATATATCACAAATTGCAATCGTCTTAATTGTCAATCTATATTATCCAAAACTCACACAACATATTAATCTGCAATATCAATTTACTCATCAAGAAATTGATTTATATCAAAATCAAGGGAAACAAATATTTATTCAATTAACCACTAAATAGCCAAACACAATCAAAAAAAAGAGCGGAAATTAATTGATTCCCAGTTATTATTTTAAATTACTCGTTGATATGTTTAAATCACATGCATTGTTATCCCTCGAACACAATTATCACGTTAAATGCCAAATTTTAATTTGTATGAAACAAAATATTGTCAATTGTATTCACTTTAAATCACTTGAAAACACTTAACTGGTGCCAATCAATTGTGATCCAAAACTATGAAAGAAAATTAAACTTTTGTTGATGTTAACAAATAGATTTTAATTGCAATAAAATGAATTGGAAACAAAGAGTAAATTCAAGAATTAAGTCATTTTATTTGAATGATTTTGTTATTCAAGTAGAGAATGAGAGAGAGAGAGTTAATTTTGCAATTTATGTGAATGATGAAGCAATTTGGTGATAAACACCAATGAAATTAGTAGATTGTTAAATCGGGAGTATAAATGTGAATTTTCAATGATGATTTTGGAAGATTTCATGTTGGGTACTCATTGTCCAGATGATTTCCCTTTAATTGTTTAAACATCACTTAAGCATATTAAACATTAATTGTTGAACTTTGCTTTAAATCCAAATAATGTGAAGTAGATCGGAAAATAGATTGTCCATTTTTCTTTCACCAGGGCGAGGGGAGGATTCACTTTGATTTGAATATTTAGCTGTTCACAGGTTGATTAGTTTTTCACGTAAATTAAAATAATTATCATCAAGAGTCAATGAGTGATATGAAAAAGTAAAGGTAAACAGGAAGAAAAAGAAATGAGGAAAATGAATGGATAATAACAATGGTATAAAGTGAGAGAGAAAGTGGGAAGAGGAACATGAAGAGAGATAATCAGTGTTAACAGGGCATTTATCATGAGAAAAAAAAACATTTCAATGTGAGCTGATCAATTAATTTCGCTTCGACAATATTGCCTTGATTGTTTAATGAATTTTTGAATCGAGATGAATATGAGAAAATGGCAGCTACGTGAAGAAAATTGATTTCTATCGGTAGCCCACTTTTGTTGTTTTCTTTTCTCGTGTTTTCCATAGATGATTAATGTTTGGTGAGTTAGAGCACTAAGAAGTGTTAGTATTGAAGATTATCACATTGGAATCAATGCATTTTAATTGTTGGTGGTGGTGGTGGTGAATTATGGATGATTGGACTGGAAAACTTGACGAGATGCGGTGAACTTTTCTCCGTCGAAATCACTATCAGAGGCAAGTCTTTCATTGATCGATTGATAAACTTGCTGATGATATTGGGAACTGAGATTGGACGTTGAAGCTTTATTTTCAATTTCTTCCCATTTCTCATTGGGAAGTGGACCTTTAGTAGCAATAATCGCTTCTCTAAGAGAATTAGAAAACGGTTTTATTAGTTGTCCATCTCTGGAATTATCACTTTGTTTTCTCTTCTTCTTTGGATTGCCAGCATTATAAGCATCACTGAAAGGCCGCTGTCGACTCAACACCTTTTGACGATCGATATCTTCTTTAATGATAGGTATCCATCCATTGGGAACATGTGTTTGCCATCCATCATTACGTATTCCTCCGGTTGGCATGGTTGTTGATGACTGATTTGGTCCAATATTGGATCTATTTAGAGGATTAAGACTACGGGTTATGGTGATAGGTCCTCCGGGAGTGGCAACACCAACACGAATTGGAGCAGAAGCTTGAATTATGGGTGCACCGTTAGGTCCAGAAGTTATACCTGCAACTGTAGCACCAACAGTACCAGCAACAAGATTTGGTATTTGACCCAAATCAATTTGAACGTTAACTGATGGACGAGGTTCCTCTGGGCTACGAGTAGTTTGATTATTATTATTATTATTGTTACTAATATTATTTCCTGCTACTCTTGCCGAGTTGTTACCCAAAGTTGAAACACTGAGAACCAAATGGCTGGCGTCAAAAAATCCTTGTGGTATATTAATGGTACCAAGAAGTAAATTATTTACTGTTCTATTTCCTGTTTGCTGATTTGTTTCAGTTTGATTGTTTCCTCCTACCCCAATGGATGAGCTGCTATTTCTACTACCAGTTGCGTTATCTGATCCTAAATTTGAATAGCTTGATGAATTGGATAAGCTTGGTGGCTTTTGAACCAAATGGACTGATTTACCATTCACATCTAAAAAAGAAACAGTAAAAAGAGAGAAAGAGAGAGAGAGCGAGAAAGAAAGAGAACCAATAGAAACAAATGGAAACAAATGGAAGGTAATAGAAGAAGAAAAAATGTATAGAAAGAGAAAGAGGATGATGTAAAAAGAAAGAGAAAACAACAAGATACAGGATAGTCGACAAAGAGAAAGAGAACAATTTTCTTCTTTAAAGAGACAAAGTCATCATCAGGTTAGAAGAGAACATCACATGAAACCCATAATTACACAGATATTCTATTCCACAAATCACCTGACTAAAAGAATATTTAACTTTCTAATGGAATAGAAAAAAAAACAGAAAAGAAAACGAGATAACAAACTAACCATATTCTGAAAGAGGCTTGTCATCTTGAAGAACCCGACCACAGTAAATTAATCTCTGCTCTGAAGCAGATATAGCAACTTCGGAAGCGATCAATTCCTTGAACGATTTAATGGTTATCTACATATAGGAAGAAAAGAATTGAACAATCAAGGAACAACAATTACAATGTGTAACATTTATGAAAGGAGAGGAGAAAATTAATTCAATTAAATGACATTAAGGATGACCAATATTCATCTCATTGGATTTGAACAGTTGATGAAGATGCAAAAATAAAAGGCTTACATTATCATCTACAGAGAAATGGTGATCCTTGGAATCCAGAGTTTTCACATTTATTTCAATCATTAGTAATTATCGAATAACAATCTGAAATAAAGGGTTTTCTAGAGAACAGAAGAAAAAAAAAGAAAACAATTAACGATCTAAAAGAAAGTAAATCAATTTTAATTGAATGCGAATGAAAAATTGACTCAAGAAACAAAAAATTCGTTTAAATAACTTAGTCTATTTGAAGAGCTTTTTCTCGGAGAATAGAATTTTTTTCCGATCGGTGATACCTGCTTTTTATAAGAAGTTTAAATTTTTATATTTACTGTGATAATTAGTTTCTTTTTCACTATAAATTTTAATCAGTGTTGTGCTTTTACGAGGTGTAAACGAGATTTTAAAAACGAGATTTTAAAAACGAGACTAAAAAACGAGTATTTTAAGAAAAACTTTTTTCCCTTCTGAACCGGAAGAAGAAAAATTAAAATAATCTTGTAGTTTTTTTTTTTTTGAACAAGAAATGTTAAGTTCAAAGCTTAATTTGAATCGTGAACATCCTGATGATACTTACTAATAAAGCTAATTTATATCTCACAGGTTCAGGAATCCAATCGGCTTCAGATAATCTAAATGTAACCAACCGACCTCAAATAAAACAATGCTGAAAAAAAACACCGGATTGGAATCACTTCCTGATTGAATGCAATCGGACTGAGAATATTAATGGAATACTTGATATAAGGATACAGAACAACTTCAATGTAACAGAGAAAGACGAAAACCTTGATACGGTCACCAATTTGATAGAATATGTAAAATAATTGAAGCCTGTAAAGAAATCATAATTAATTGTACAAATGAGGTAGTAGAATAACCTCTTAGAGGGTGTGACAAGAGCGCACTCAGTTGTTTTACAACTCCTGTAACATGGATGAGACATAATAAATTTCCACAAAATTAAAATTCAATCAATAATAAATCATTGTAATTTAGAAAATTTAAGAATAGTATTAGTTTAATTTATTAGTTATTCTTTAATTTATAAATAAAATCATTGCAATTGGGTCAATGAAAGTTTAAAGAGATCGAGTTGATTAACTGTTGTCTTGGAAAATACAATTTGTGATTTATGACAATTTGTTTTCTGTTAATTGTTGACTAGTTATAAAAATGTGATTAATTGTCATTTGGAATGTAATGTGACAATTAAAAGGTTAGATATAAGTATGAATATATCAATTTGATGTTCTCACATTGATATTCAATTAATTGTGGTAAACAATTAAGTGTTTAAAGTTGAAGGGGAACGATAATGAGTAATTAAAGTTGTTTGATTAAATGATTGAAACAATTGCTAGAGAATTAAGTAAACGACTAAATTGATTAGATTTTATCATTATCGATATGGCCATGGTTCCAATTTGATTCGAAAAGGGTAAATTGTTATTAAAATGGTCTAAATAGTTAAATGGTTTCCAATTGAAAATTTGAATATCACATTTGAATTTGTCCTTTAATCTCTTGGAAAGGTGAGTAATCCTGGATTTGGATATTGAGGATTATCAATGACATTTGATCCAAATTTGTATTCCAAGAATTGAGTTACATTTGCTGGAGCATAAGCTTGCCAACCAACGAACGGAATTTTAATCAATGGTTTCAAAAAAGCCTCAGGAAACTCTTTATCCTGAGGATGATCATGAAACCAAGTTCGTTTGGTCATCATACCGTTTTTAGGATAAAATGGAAACAGATCAACATGAACTCTATTCATTTCACTGAACTGAACCCGGAGGAATTCACCTTCAATCGCTTTCTCCCAAATGAAACCTTCATCATCTTTAACAGGCTGTTTGGTGGCATAAAGTAGCAACGGGCAATTGTTAATATCCTCCTGATAGATTCCTAGATCTACATCAAAGTCCCACGGGATTATGTCGCCGTTTCGGACTGCACCAAGTAAAGATCCACCTTCTAGCCAATAGCGAGTTCCACATTTTTCCAGAACGGAGAAAACTCGACGAGCAGTTTTCCTCAAATTTTCCAGGCAACAAGGTGGAGTCCATTTATTATCGAACAGATAACTTGGTGTATTATTGAATATACTTGGGAAACACCTTGTAGATCCTTTATTACATCCATACCATTCGATTTCTCCGCTTGATGTGGTCACTCTTTTAATCTGTAACTTCTTGTACAATGAGGCAAGTCGAACTTTTCTCAATGATTCCATTTTCATCTCATCCCGTTCACTTGGTTGCCAATCACTGTTTTTCCATAATTTAAGATCATCTTCAAATTTAATCTTTAAACCTCGAATTTTGGCCTGGATAGACAGCGATTCTTGGAATGGCTTTTCAAAGGGTAAATTGAGTTTACTTAGAACTTCCCGTTTGATGAAATAGGCAAATTCTCCTTGATATAGATTACATTTAAATGTATTCTCATCTAGATGACGATAAATCAGATTCCATCTTCTTAAATCAATGTCCAATCCAAGGCAAGTGTATGCATAGTAAGAATCCTCACCGATAACTGGAAGAACCATGAAATTATTATCATTGAGCGAAGTAAATTTAAGATGATCTAGAGGCATTTCTTTGTGAAATTTAAGTGATTGTGGAACAATTAAAACATAATCAGTTTTAATATGTGTTAATGGATCATTTTCTTGCCATTTACTAATCACATCAGGTCGAGTTATAATTAGATGAATGTTACATGTTTCAATTGCAGGTAATTGTAAGGGTGGATAAGGTCGTTCATTACTGACAATTAAAACTTTGACCATTGAGTGAAGAGCACAAAATGTTGATAGGGTTGAATTTAAATCATGGGAAAATGTTTCAAATTCAAATATTACCAAAGTTAAATGGTAATGTAAAGTTGAAGGTGAGATACTTTGTCTATTGGCTGTGGTTAGATGAATTGGAAAGGCTGGTTCACATTCATTACTTATGAACAGATACATTTGGAAGATTAGAATCAGATTGGCAATGAAGAAAAGGAAAGTTAATTTCTTCCAGGAAACGAAAAACATGATTGATTTGTTCCAATATCAATTCTCTAAACAAAAAGAAATCAAAATATTAATGTAAATATAAACATTGGAACAATTTGAATAAATCAAACTTACGTTCTTATCATTATTTAATGGAACCTTTTCAGCCTAAAACTGGTTATTTTTTTGTAACCAAATCAACGGACTTAAGTAAATTCAACAATTTAAATTCTAATTAAAGAAAAATCAAATTAAATTCACTAAATTGAATTCAGCAAATTAAGTTACTCATTGAAGAGCAAAAATAAACATAAATGACCAATAACCAAATTTAAAAAAGAATTGAGGCAATTTAAAGGTTACTGATACTTAAAAGGATGTTAATTGTCATGAGAAAGTGATGATAATTTCAATTAAATTAGTGTTTTAATAAGTTAATTGGAATTGCAATCAATTAAAGTGATGAAAATTTGGAGATTTAAAAAAAGTAAACAGATCGACCCAAACATGTGTCGCGCATGCGCAAACAGTTTGAAATGTGAAATTTTTGTTTTGTTTTGTTTTGGTTCATGTGGTTTTCTTGTCGCAATTTAAATTGATTTAGTTTGGATTTTTTGTCATTGTTTTTTTTTAATTTTATGATTGTATCGTTCATCTAACACTTATGGCTACAGGAAAATCTAATCGACCGGTGGAAGTGGTAAACTTTTCCAGGTACAAAAAGGCGACTTCAAAAGAGAAATCCAAAAATGGTCAACCGATGAAAACCCGGAACCATGAATCGGAATTGAAGGATCAAGAAGCTCAGATGAAAAAGTTCCGTCATGATGTATTCAAATTCGCCATCTCAGGCTTAGATCGAGCTAAAAAGACCGAAGCTAAAGAAGCTCTTCTCATAAAATTAGGTGCTAAAGTGAGTATCTTTGTCTGAATCATTTGTAGCGTTTGTCATTTACTTTTTTTCCAATTCTAATGATTTGGTTTTATTTTTTGCTTCTAATTTTAGCCCCGAAAGCCCAAGGCCATTAATTATCGTGATTTGATGTCTCAAAAAAAGGAAGAAAAGAAACAAAAAGAAGAAGAAAGAAAACGTAATGATAAATCTGGAATCAAAAAGCCAATAAAGTCCAAGTAAGTTGATATCTTATTCCTTCAATTTTAAGACATTAACTTAATGTCATTAAGAACATTTTTTTCTTCAATTACAATCTAATTTACGTTTTACTATTTTCTAGGAACGAAAAACAAAAGAAACGAGATACTAATGAAGTAAAAGGATTCGATTATCAGGTCGGAAAATTCAAGGGGGGAGTTCTTTATGTGAATAAGAAAAATTTTGTCAAACGATAATCCCAATTGGAGTATATTCATTTACGAATAATCTGTGATAACACTAAAGAGATGAACTATTCAGTTAATCGTATCAACTTCTAATTTCATGCTTGTTTAAATGGCGATTCAATGTACCTGTTTACTTTTAGAGTTATTTTCTACCATGGTAACCCAAATTTTGGAAAAGAAAACTGAAAATAATCAAAGCGAATTTTCTTGAAAATGTTCTAATTGTTTCTTTCGTTGATTTAATTAAGTACCTTTCATTTGGAACTTTTTTCCACTCGATGTTTAAGATCCTTGGATTCACTCATCTTCCTCTCACTTATCATCATTTTCCTTGTGAATTGTGTGCTCATCATCACCATCAATGTCAATCATTAAGATGAAATCTTCATTATCTTTTTTGTTGATTCTATTCTAAATCCATCACCTCACACCAATAATGAAAATAGTGATTAAATGTCAATTAATTTAACTACAATTAACGAAAAGTCGTCAGATGATAATATAAAATTAAAACAAATACTAATGAGAAAAGTTCATGATAATATTAATTTTAAATATCGTTTCCTTTATGTTGAATATTGGGTGATAATTAATGGTTAATTAAAATGATGGATATTTAGTAAACTATCAGAATTGATTGTTAATAACATAGTTGGACAATCAGAGTACCGATAAGCAATTAAGGAGATCACAAATGGATCAATTAAAATTGGATTTGATTTCAATTTCAAAGACTTTAAAATGAACAAATGAACAAATGAACAAATAAAATTCAATTGTAACAATTAACTCAAACCTAAACTTAAATATAAACCGTAACAAGAAATCAATCCACCACTTAAGCAAATCTTCACTGATTGTTCATTTGTTAATATTGACTCATCTTAATTAATCTCCATCAACCAACTGATTTGAATTAACTCAAATTGATTAATCAATCCAATCATTTCATTGTGTTTCCTTGATTGAATAATCAAAGTTTTTTTTTTCATTAGAAACCAAGTCAAAGGTAATTTACATAAATTTCCATTAATTAACTAATTGTTTTTCTATGAAAACATGACAATAACAATCGTTAATTTAATTTTGTGATACAAAAGACATCAAACTTGATATCACAATTAAATTTCTATTCACTTTCTCGAATCTAATTAAAACAATCCAATCATTATAAAAGAAACTCGATCAATTTTTATCATTAACATTCTCATAATTTTCGCATCAACTTAGTCCAAGAAATTTTTCGAAACAATTAACCGAGTTAACAATCGATTCCCAACAATTAAAGTTAATTGTCAACACGAAGCGACATCTCTCGTTGATTCTAAACTTCTCTACCTGAAGATGACAAGTGAGAGAGACAAAGACTCTCACATGCTTAGTGAATTGAAACGAAGAAGCTTCAGAAAAAAAAATTCAGAAAACTGATTAACCATGATAATTTAAATTTCCATCAAAATCACCAACCAACTAATTGTTTCTCAGTTCCAATTATCAATCTAAATATTTAATCTTAAAGTTTTTCTCTTCATCAAAAACTGATTTAATTGCCATTCAGTTTTCTTCTCCCTTTCATCCAATTGTTTACATCATCACAATATTCACTTAATTGTAATAATTAGTCTTCTCCATCATCTTTAATCATTTTCCCTCAATAATTACATAGATCGTGAGTGATTTATTCTGATTAAAATTCCATTCAATGGTCAACACGTTCAGTTCACTATTCATATAACTCACTCTCCAATTGGATGTATGCGTAAGTGTCACTTGTATTTTCACGGTGATTGTCAATCTGTTGCTAAGCCTTTAAAATGGTAAATTTAATCATTTACTTAATTGTTTTGAAATTATTTCTACCTTTTTGTTTTCGTGTAAATTTTTACGCAGCCCCCGAATCTTCATTGAGCTTGAGCCAAATGAAGTAATTTTTTTCCTCATTCACTTTGATTAATCAAAACAGTTAATTATTTTTGTTAATTGTTCTCCCTGTTAAATTAATTAGTCTTTACATTCTTCATTCTACTAATTGTTGGATCAAGTGATTATCCATTTGCCATTCTATTATAATCATATTTGCTGGTAAGTTGTTTCTTTTTTGTTTCTTTTTTGTTTCTTTTTTCTTTATTCTCTTTTTGTATTTATTATTCGCCATTTAGAATTTTTTATTTTTCTCTTTTTATTTTTTATTCTATTCTAAATATTTTATGTATGTAACGATTTTTTTTCCTATTCTGTTTTTGTTTTTCATTTATTTTAGGTGATTACGAATTTCCAATATTTTATTTAGTAGTTTTCTTTTTGTTTGATGGTCTAAGATGGTGAAAACAAAGAGAGATACTCCTTTACGTAAATCGAGAAATGAAGAGGAGGAGAAAAGACGAGCAGAAATTAACAATGGTATAACTAAATTAAAATCTATTATACCGTACCTACAAAACACGACCAGTTTACCTGGTCAACCTGAAGATACAAAAAATGATACCTTACGATTAGCCACCAATTTTTTACATGTTGCTAAAAGTAAGTTAAGGTTAACTAATGGTTAACATAATCAATCTAATTTTCTTCTCTTTTTTGTTATACAGGTGAAAAGTTCGTCGATTATATGACGAATAAAGATCCATCTAGTGAAAAGCTTTTCGAGTATTTTAACCAAGTACGATCACAAATTGTAAGTATATTCTTTCCATCCATATTATTACATATTTTTGAATTCTACAAGTTTCCACTTTAACGAAAGTTATCTAATTGAATATTCTATATTTATCTTATATCTAATTATTAGAATTGCTCATTTTTCTTCGCTGATGGAGATGGTAAAATTATCTTTACCCATGGTGATGTTTTCGAGCAATTTGGTTACAGTGCTAAAAATGTTATCGGAAGAAAACTTCATTTACTATTGGATTTACCTGAAGATTTGGTCAAATTTAGTTCCAAACTATTTGCAGTTAAACAAGAATTGTTGAGAAACAAGATGAAATCAAAATACTTCAAACTGTGTTGTAGTATTAAACATAATACAAAGAATACATCGCCCTTACAACGTTCACCGGTTTCGATCTCTGGTAAATTGGTTCTATCTAAATCGTCATTTATTGAACGTTGTGTTACAGTGACCAGAAAAAAGAATGGACATTTTGTTTGTCAAAAGTTATCTAAACCTGAAAATCGAGATCCTTTCCTATTGTTTGGTCAGATTGAAGTTTTATCCGATAAAATTATTCGACATTCATCATTTACAAAAGAAATCAATGAGTACGTACTTTACATGGATCCAGCAGGATATATCCTGGGTGCTGATCATCGGTAAGTAAACAATTAACTCTCACAGACTAATCTACGTAATTGATTTGCTTGCACAACAACAATTATTTTCTCATTAGCTATTTATATTTCGCAATTAATTTCTCAATAATAATTAATGATTGCAAAATCTCATGTTTTTGTTAATTGTTTTTCTTATAGTATGGTAGCTGTTATTGGTTATTTTCCACAAGATGTTAAAAATCAATTTGCTCATTCATTTATTTACGCTGATGATTTAAGAATATCTTTCTATCGACAATATATTCGTGAGTAATTATTGTTTGAGAATTAAGTTTCTTCAACAATATTAACCATTCTTTCTTCAAAATTCTCAATTTCAGTATTACAACGTAAAGAGAAGGTCGTTGAAACTGTTCACCGATTGACCTCTCTTGCTGGAAACACTGTTTGGGTAAAATCTTTCGGTGTAATCGAGGAAGAAAACGGCCAAAGTCCAACCTTTAAGCTTCATGCAGTTAAAATTGAGTAAGTATTTTATTCTGTACTCTTTTATCATCCCTCCAAAATGAATATTTATCGAACTTTTTATCTTGTATTTTAGTGAACGCGAAGGAAACGAGTTACGAAAGAAAGAGGAATCACTTTTACCGGAAGAATTTCGTAAATGTTCAATTGAAAGTATCGTTGAGAAAATAAAACAACTATCCTCCAATTTACTTCCCAACCAATCAGATATTCAATCTGCTCACAACTACAATGTTCAATCTCATCCAATAGAAACTGATATTGATTTTGAAGTAAATTCTGATAATTCAATCAGTCAATCACCTATGAATGAATTATCTTCACCACAATCGTCATCGCCAACATTATCTTCACCTTCGTCAATTCAGCCAAAATTGCTTATTAACTCACCCTGCTACTATAATCACCAAAACGGTTCGCTCAATCATGATCAAATAATTATAAAATATATTCCTGAAGCCCCAGTTGCCCCCGATAATCAGACCGTTTTCATCCCTATAATACCAAATCAACAACAAATATTTAATATTCAGTCGTTGGTTTCATCTACAAACCCTCAAATCATCAACAGCAATCATGTGTTCATACAAAATATCAATATCAACAACTACATATTGACCAAGAACAATCAACAAAATTCAAATGGTGATCATTTTTTGCCTACTGAGGGCGAAGGGGCATTTGTTAACCTGATCCCATTTCTGGAAAATGAAAGTGATAGAAATGATCATAACATTTCAAAATAATCATATCCTGATTGAAATTTTTTCCTCCTTCGTTATAAAATGTCATTCTATCTCTTTCTCTCCCTGTGTTTTATTTTTTTATTTATTTTGTTATTTTCTTTTAAAATTCCAAATTTTGTGATTCTGTGAACCTTTAAATTTAATCAGATATATTTACAAATGTAAGTGAATATCATATATGTATGTATGTTAACCAAATAAGTGAACAACATTTTACTTGTATCATTTATGTAACTATTACAATGACAGTTGAATGTTACTGTTATTGATTAGTATTAATCACTTTGTTTTTCAGAGTTTAAATGTTCATGAGTAAACATTTTCTAATGTTTATTCATTGTTACTATTATCAAGTATAAGACAGAATTGGATCAAACTTTTAGCCACCAAATAAGGATCACAATTACTTGCTGGTCGACGATCTTCAAGGTAACCACACCCTTCATTGACCACAGTCTCGGGTATACGAATTGAAGCTCCTCGATCACCAATTCCAGAAGAAAATTCATTTATATTGGAAGTATCATGTTTACCTGTTAATCGACGACAATTATCTTTACCCTCACATGGATCATAAATCACAATTGATTCTTTATGATGGTTCCTTAAACGTTCTATGTATTTCTTAATTGTATCTAATCCATTTTCTTTTGACCGTGTATCTTTGGTTGAGAAATTAATATGAGCTCCAGCACCATTCCAATCACCAGTAATTGGCTTTGGATCGAAGCAAATTTTAACACCAAACTCTTCACCGATTTGGACCAAAATGTATCGAGCCATCCAAAGATCGTCACCAATTGCGATCGATTTACAAGGACCAATCTGAAATTCCCACTGAGCAGGCATAACCTCAGCATTTGTACCCGCTATCGGTATACCAGCGTAAAGACAAGCACGATAATGGGCTTCACTTATATCCCGACCAATTGCTTTTCCAGCGCCAACACCACAATAATAAGGACCTTGTGGACTAGGGTAACCATTTGAAGGCCATCCAAGTGGACGATCAGTGGCCCCATCAAACAAGGTAAACTCTTGTTCAATACCAAACCAAGGGTCTTGGTCACAATTAACTTGACCCATTAATTTCTCACAATCAAATCTATTATTTGCTGCCACTGGTGAACCATCTTGTTCATAAACATCACATAGAACCAATTTAGCGTTACCATTTCGAAAGGGGTCATTGTACAAAGCACAAGGAATTAATCGTAAAGTTGCAACATTACCTTCGTTGAAACCTGCAAGTTGATGGATCGATTACTGATTAGTTTGGACAATTGAATCGCTATAAAAAATGACATAATTACCTGTTGCACTTCCACAGAAATTCCATTCAGGACAATCTTTCGGTGAATTTGGGATGGATGAAAATGTTCGAGATTTCGATCGTAAAGATTGACCAGTTCCATCGACCCAAACATAAGTTACTTGTACTTGTTCATCTCGCAATGGAAGACTCATGAATCTATTTAAATTCGTTACATTATATTTAATTGTTGACATTTTATATATATTATATTGTGATGTTCACTGAACAAAAGTTAATCATTAAATGAAAAAGAAAGTCAATTTTACTTCATCAGAGATCAACATTTACTATGTTGACCTCTATTTTTTTTCTCTCTCCCTCCCTCTCTCTCAACAATCAATCACTTTATATACACTGTCAAGTTACATTTACATCAGTGTATTGATGTCATCATCACCCAAGTATCAACAATTTGACAGTAAATGTCACTTAATTTAATGTCTACTAATTAGTTTCAAAGAAAATTTTCCAATTGACCTGAATATTAAAATAACTCGAATTCATAATTAGGTTATTCACCTATTTCCACCTAGACTGATTAAGATAATCAAGTGAGGAAAACAGTAAATGAAATTCAAATTTTGATCTCGAAAAGTACGAATAAAATTATCAATAGAACCATCGAGTTTGGACTGTTCAATGAATCGTATCAACTAAGAACGTAATTGTTTCAATAGCGATTCGATTTATCTGTTTACTTTTACAGTTATTTTCACCTTGGTAACCCAAATTTTGGAAAAGAAAACAGAAAATAATCAAAGCGAATTCACTTTAAAGCAAAGAGTAAAGAAGAAGAGACCTCAGCTCTATGAGGAAAAGAGAAGTTGCAAAACATTTGGATCAGATGGCGCTGATTACACTCTTTCAATGGAAAAAGAGAAGAGAAATTGAGGACGATGTGTAAAAAGTGGACTTTTTAATTAAGAGTTGATACTTTGTGTATTTGTAGGTCCACTAATGACAAGTCCAAATATATATATTTCTTTCTGATCTGATTAGTAGTTTTCGAGAAAATCGAGTTCGAAGTTAGAACTTCAGGTCAATTTTTCGCAGCAACACCGTATTTTCAGATCATGAAATTTAAAGTTTAAAGACAACTTTTGATGTTCTTTCAGAAAATGTTTACTAGGATAACATTAAAGTATTGATACTGGGACTAATCAAGGTCCATTTATTATAATACAACGGAACTGTGGCCGGAGGCATTTGTGATAATTTTCTCGACAAAAAAATCTGTTGGTTAAAAAGAACATCAAAAGTCGTCTTTAAACTTTAAATTTCATGATCTGAAAATACGGTGTTGCTGAGAAAAATTGACCTGAAGTTCTAACTTCGAACTCGATTTTCTCGAAAACTACTGATCAGATCAGAAAGAAATATATATATTTGGACTTGTCATTAGTGGACCTACAAATACACAAAGTATCAACTCTTAATTAAAAAGTCCACTTTTTACACATCGTCCTCAATTTCTCTTCTCTTTTTCCATTGAAAAAGTGTCTGATGATGAGTGATGTTCTTTTTAACCAACAGATTTTTTTGTCGAGAAAATTATCACAAATGCCTCCGGCCACAGTTCCGTTGTATTATAATAAATGGACCTTGATTAGTCCCAGTATCAATACTTTAATGTTATCCTAGTAAACATTTTCTGAAAGAACATCAAAAGTTGTCTTTAAACTTTAAATTTCATGATCTGAAAATACGGTGTTGCTGCGAAAAATTGACCTGAAGTTCTAACTTCGAACTCGATTTTCTCGAAAACTACTAATCAGATCAGAAAGAAATATATATATTTGGACTTGTCATTAGTGGACCTACAAATACACAAAGTATCAACTCTTAATTAAAAAGTCCACTTTTTACACATCGTCCTCAATTTCTCTTCTCTTTTTCCATTGAAAGAGTGTAATCAGCGCCATCTGATCCAAATGTTTTGCAACTTCTCTTTTCCTCATAGAGCTGAGGTCTCTTCTTCTTTACTCTTTGCTTTAAAGATTCAAGTTGTTTCTTTTATACATTTAATTCAGTGATTAATTGATTGTTTGGGTTAATAGTTAATTGTGGAGAAAATTGGAGATGAAATCAATCAAAAGAAATTGGAAAGAGATATAGCTCGAGAAGCGGTGAAATGACCTCAACTAGTTTCCTGATTTCGGTCAAAGGACAAGTGATCAGTGGTCGTTTCCCTGGAAATTATAATATTGATTTTAAATATCATTTCCTTTATGGTGAATATTGGGTGATAATTAACGGCTGTTCTCAAGGGTCAATTAAAACTCAAGATTCACGATTATTGTCCATTTGAAATTCATCGATTGTTGTTACCTTTAGATCATCAAATTCATTCAAATGTCCATCGATTATTGTATCAGTTTATGAATTTGGTTCTTTTGGAGATGATTTTATTCTTGGTTATGGATGAATTCATATACCACCGATTTCAGGTCATCATGACTGAGAAACTTGAGCTTTTTATCCTGAATGATTAGTTGATTCTTTTGATGGATATTTGGTAAACCACCAGAATTGATTGCTAATAAAATAGTTGGACAATCAGAGGACCGACAAGCAATTAAGGAGATCACAAATGGATCAATTAAAATTGGATTTGATTTCAATTTCAAAGATTTTCATCATTATGGTAACGGATTAAAATGAGCAAATTAAATCAAATTGTAACAATAACAATCAACTCTAATCCCATTCAATCAACTGTCATCAACTCGCACAAATTATTAATCTATTTTCTGATATGCTGTTACCAACATCCACTCGACAATTAACTAAATCGTCCAAATTGAACCAATCTAAAGGTAAGCAAATTCTGATTAAAACGATAAATCAATTTAACTATTTAAATCGTAAAACAATTAACTTTTCTTCCCTATTTTAACCCAAACAAAATCAACCCAAGTGTTAACTATAAAATCAACAGTTAACAAATCAATTTAGATGTTCATCCTAATTGAACAATTAACTGATTTCGAAAGTGAAAGTTTTCCATTTACCGTTATAATCTAAATCATGTTGACATTTTTGACAAGCGAAAGAAAAACTTGATTTTTAATAACCTTCATTTTCTGATGGAAAACTTTCCCTTTTATTATTGAGAAGAACTGAGAAAATCCGATTAACCCGTTAGTTAATTAATACAATTAGCAGTGAATCGAAATGTTGACCAATAATCAAAGTGAATCATCGCCAAGTAATTAATAAAAACGATAGAACTTGAAAGAGATTTGAAAATATATTTTCTCAAGAAAAGAAAAAGATAAAATTCTCACCTTAATCTTTTCGGGTAATTGATTCATTTCTTGTTCCGTGTTGATTATCATCTAACCAACAATCATGATCGTTCACAGTGATTGTATTTCATGATGAAAACACCAAGAAAATTACTAAACAATTTCAATTGTAATTTAAACCTAAAGCCAGAAACTTATTACCGGTTCATCCTCATGGATTCAACGATCAAGTCGGATAGCGAGATGATCACCGACGATGACCTTTTTAACCTTGAACTTGAGACAGAAAAAAAAAGAAAACGCGAAAAAAAAACAAAAACAAGAACGAAACTGTCGTGACTTTAAAAAAAAGATGAAGATGAAGATGAAGATGAAAGAGGAAGAGTAACAAATAATCAATTCTCTCTCTCTTTTCGCCAGGTAGGCCAACAGAATTTTCATCTTGGTCAATTTTCATCTTCTCTTCCAAAAGTAGCCCTTACCATGTTTGACTACTTATCTTCCTCCCTTTTTCTCATCATCATCATCTTCCTCCTTTCTCTCTCTCTCTCTCTCTCTCTCTCTCTCTCTCTTCCCGGCTAAGGTAAAAAAAGAAAGAAAAGAAAGAGAATCACATGATAAGTGACGTAAAAATGTTTAGAGTAGAAAAGGATTAGGGAGAAGAAGATAGAAAAAAAGAAAAAGAAGAAAAAAAATAAAAAGAAGAGAGAAAGAGAAGTTAAGCTTTTTATCTTCATCATCATCATTATCATCTTTCGTTCTCTTCCTCTTTCTTTTTTTGGCCTCTTTCTCTCTCCCCTCCTCCTCTTCCTCTCTCTCTCTCCATCATCATTCTTGTGCTTCTTGTTCACTGTGATTCTATTATTCCTTCATTGTCTACATTTGTCACTCTTTTCCCATTCGTAAACAAAAGGCTAACATGATATACGTTGAATTTGTCAAACAAGAAAGTGGCTAAAAAACATGAGAGAAATCATCCACATCCAAGCTGGTCAATGTGGCAATCAAATCGGTGCCAAAGTGAGTATTTATCTTCATCCTCATCATCCTTTCCATCATCTTCGTCTCTCATTGTCTTATAACATTTTCCCTTTCACACCAATTCAATGTTACACTTTTCTTATTTTTCTATTCTCTCATTTTTTTTTCTTCTTTTCATTTTTTTTTCTATCTTCATCTCATTCTGGTCATTCTTTGTTTTTTTCTGGTTCCATTCTTCTTGGTTGTGTGTGTGTGTCTCTCTCTCTCTTTACCTTTACTCACCTTTTGGACTAAAATAATCTCTCAAGTTCTGGGAGGTTATTTCCAATGAACATGGGATAGATCCACAAGGAATTTACCATGAGGAATCACCATTACAATTGGAACGGATTGATGTTTATTACAATGAAGCCTCAGGTTGAACATTCATCTTGATTATTTTACTAATTCCATCATCATCATCATCATCTCAATGTGTTGTTCAATTTTGATTTGGATTCATCACCTTCAAACATCATCATGTTATTTTCACCCAAAGTCAACAATCAACCTGCAATTTTAACCTTAATTACCACCAATAGATTGTTTCACCTTCACTTCAATCATCAAATTAGTGTCTTGCTCCATCTCTTTATCTCTCTCTCTCTCTATTTACCCTTGTGTATTATTATCTCTTCTTAAGGCCTTGGATTTATCCTAATCTTTTCTTTCTTCCTACTATACGAACATATGATTTCTCTGTGCAGTCTTTTTTCATCTTTCTCTTCCTTCTACTAACACTATCATCTAGTGACTATTTTTTGTATCAATTTTAGTTGATGATTTCTTGCAATTTTCTCTACAAAACTGTCGTTAAATCATCACGTTGATCATCAGCTGAAAAGAGTGAGTGGGAAAGAGAGAGAAAGAAAGAAAATAACTCACAATGTTTACATTCAATGTCTCCCTTAGAAAAGTTTCAGGGAAACTGTTTCATCTCAATTTCGATCCTCTCTTTCTCTCTCTCTCTCTATTGACTTTGCCCCCTCCCTTTTCATCCTTGATCTACAATCAATTTGAATACAGTCTCTCTTTCAAATCTAATCCTTATCACCAGTTAATCTGAAAATAACATTGTAACCAAAAAACAAACAACAAGGACGATGATTGTAATCACTCAACCCAAACTCTTGAGCTTCATCTCTCTCTCACCGGTGTTTATATCCAATGTTTAAGGTGTTTTTTTTTCTGTCTGTGCGCTTTTGTTAGTCTAATATTTTCAGTGTTTTTTCATGACTCCCAAAATTTTGTGTATCTTTCATGTTGATGACCTTAGGGCTTGGTATAAAGAGAGAAGAAGAAAGAAAAGGGGGGGATGCGTCATTCTCTCAATTATTATATCAGGAAAACTTGTTGAATGTAAGGATAACCTAACATGTTATTGTGAATTGTTAACAAGCATCAGCAGTAAGAGAAGATGATGAAGAAATTGAAAACAAAAAGATGATGATAACTCTCATAAGAAAGAGAAATTTAAGTGTAAAAAGAATTGAAAGAAGATGATAAAAGAGAGAGAGAGAAAATCAAAACAATAGATTTTCTTCTTCTTATTATTGTTTTATTGTCTTGGAATATTTAATTATCTAATTATGGATTACAATTGGTTTCTTTCCAATAGTCTTCCTGAAATCGATTGAATAATTTAGATAATCATTCGTTCAGATACAAATTGAATTGACTTTTTCGTAGTTAAAATAACTTGTTTCATCTTTTTGTTTTCTAATCATCTTCATCTTAATTGACCTTAAACTTGCGATGATCTAAATAACATCGTTAATATCGTTGATTGATTAACCTGTCAATTGTTATATTATAATAATTTGATAGTTAATTTAGTAAATTGAATTTCTTGTTGAAAAAAAAGTTAACGATAATTGTTGATAAACAATTGATATGATAATTTACCTTCCCACTCACTGAGAGTATTGAACAAAACCGTTATAATTGTATTGATAATCAATTGATGATTTTTGATGGTTAACTGATGATGATGATGGATTTTTATTTATTTCTTTTGTTTTCCTTACAAAACATACTAATTGTAACAATTTACTTATTTATTTTTAATCAACAGAGTCAAACACTTATGTTCCCAGAGCGGTTTTGGTTGATCTGGAACCAGGAACCATGGAATCGGTTCGATCAGGTCCTTATGGTCAACTTTTCCGTCCTGATAATTATGTTTTCGGTCGTAATGGTGCAGGTAATTAAATCTAATGATATTCAATATATAATTGATCTAATATCATGTTTCTTTTTTTCTTGTTATCCAAAAATCAATCATCAGGTAACAATTGGGCAAAAGGACATTACACCGAAGGAGCTGAATTAGTTGATATAGTCATGGAGGTTGTTCGTAAAGAAGCTGAACATTGTGATTGTTTACAAGGTATTATTTGATTAGAAGACGATCACGATAACCACCATGATTCATTAATTCTATTTCGTAACTAATTGTTTGTTCAATATTTTCTTTTTTTCTCTCTCTTCATCTCCTATTCTTTTGCTCTAATTATCTTAAATCGCAAAAAAAAAAGGTTTCCAATTGACACACTCACTTGGAGGCGGAACTGGATCAGGAATGGGAACTTTACTAATATCTAAATTAAGTGAAGAGTATCTTGATCGTATCATAACAACTTATTCCGTGGTTCCTTCACCCAAAGTTTCCGATGCCGTAGTTGAACCATACAATGCAACCTTATCCATTAATCAACTAATTGAATACACCGATGAAACCTTCTGCATTGATAATGAAGCCTTATACGATATTTGTTTCCGTACTTTAAAGCTTCCTTCACCTTCATACAGTGAACTTAATCACCTTGTATCAGCAACCATGTCAGGTAATTGATATGTAAACAATGGTTAGAAACACAACAACAAAACCTCAAGATGAACACAACAATTAGGGTAACCAGATAATGATGATAATACAAACGTGTACCATTGATGATTCTGCTAAATCATTAATCATTTTCAATCAATTTAATTGTTTTATTATTGTCAGGTTATTGAGCTTAAAACTTTTCACTTGCAGTTCAATTAATTTATGTTCATCATGTTATCATTGTACTTTAAACAATTTCTAGATATTGGGTTAATTGTATGTACTTTTACTTGGTGATTAACTTTTAATCTGTTAACTAGTTGTGGTTTAATTGTTGTTATATTAATCGATTTGTGTAACTATTAGATTTTTTACTCTTGTAATTTTATTTCGATTCTTATTAATTTAACTTGTTTCTTTTTTTTTCTTTTTTGCTTTTTTTCAGGTGTAACAACATGCCTTCGATTTCCAGGTCAATTAAATGCCGATCTTCGGAAGCTCGCTGTTAACATGGTTCCTTTCCCTCGATTACACTTCTTTATGTCAGGATTTGCACCATTAACTGCCAAGTTATCGCAACAATATCGCAATATAACAGTATCCGAATTAACTCAGCAAATGTTTGATCCTAAAAACATGATGGTTGCCGCTGATCCACGAAATGGCCGATATTTAACTGTAGCTACAATGTTCAGGTACGATTGTAATACATAATCTTTCAATCGATACAATTATTATAATTGTTAACTGACATTATCTTTCTAATGATTATATCTCGTTTTTTTTTTATTATTTTCTTTTGTTCCTTCAGGGGTCAAATGTCAATGAAAGATGTAGATGAGCAAATGATTTTAATTCAGAACAAGAATTCATCAAATTTTGTTGAATGGATTCCAAATAATGTTAAAGTTGCCGTGTGCGATATACCACCAAGAGGTATGAGTATATTAATAAGTTGATCTTGTATTGAATTTATCGATTGTCTTTTGTTGTATCTATTTCTTAAGGCCTTAAAATGTCCGGAACGTTTATTGGTAATACAACCGCGATTCAAGTAATATTCAAACGGATTTGTGAACAATTTACAGCGATGTTCCGTCGTAAAGCTTTTCTCCACTGGTTCCTAGAGGAGGGTATGGATGAGATGGAATTCACTGAGGCCGAGTCAAATGTATTAGATCTCATTGCGGAATATCAACAATATCAAGAAGCCACAGCGGAAGATGATTACATTGAGATTGAGGAGGAATATTATGATGAATCGGAAGATGCCTACTCATTGGAAGACCAGAATGGCTCATAAATTGACGATTTATCCATAATATACAAAATCAACAAATGCTAATTGCAATAAACAAACTGTAATAATTATTATCATAATATCCATGGTGATATTTTACACCAAGAGACAATTTCAAAAGTCCAGTGAGATTGATGAATACACTCATGTAAATATTACATGAATGTGAATCCAAAACAATAGTGATTGATTACTATTGATGCATTTAATTATAACACGGATTGCCTGATGAGAATCCCATCTAATTGGAATTGCTGATAATTGATCTAATTTATTTATTCAACTCAATATGAGTTTGATTGTTGTTGGAAAAAATAATCAACCACTAATTGGATTTAATCTGATTTTCTGCAACCCACCTCTGATGATCATCATTTTTTTTTATATATAAATATCAATCAATATCCTTCCTATGACATGAAAGCCTTTAATTTGCTTTAATCAATCAAAAGTGTATCTTAATTAGAGAGATTAATTTTCTTAATTATCTCAATTCATCCTCTAAATCACCTTTTCCTGAGATTTTGTGTATTACCTCTTACCTTTGACCCCTTTCAACTGGTCATCATTATCATTATCATTATCATGATAACCTCCATCCATTGATGAACTTAACAATGACAACAATTAAATTTAAAATCCTTAATCACCTTGATCCAATTATTTATCCAATACAAAACCAACAACAATTTAAAAGTTTCACTCCTTAGTATTAATAATATTGACCATTAGTTTTTTTAATCAAATGACATAAAATCAACAATTAAAACCTTAATTGTTACTAAATTATAATCAGTAATCACCATGTGCAATTAAATTTGATTCCGATTGAAATTGAAGGGAAAAGTTTTTGTCTATACCAATCGTTGAATGAAAATTAGATTGTGATTGTTGATTAAACAATTTACATGAGCAATTAACTATTTCAATGAGAATTAAGAAATATCGTTAGTTAATTAATTACAATTAAAATAAAAAGAGCGAGAGTAAGTCACAATCAATAGTACATAAAATATTATCTAGTTAAATGTTGAGTATATCTGATCAGTCATAATATTGATAATCTTGAGTCAAGTGTATTCATTAGTTGAACAATCAACTGATTCATTAAATTAAAGAGCACTTAACAATATAATATTAACAATGATCAGGTTGATACACAACAATTTGTTTCATGTTACCAATTTTTCATCATCATCATTTGTCTTGATCATCATTTGGCCTCAAGGCAAATACTGTTAATAATAATCATCCTAATAATGTAATAATAATAATAATAATAATATATTATCATTAATTGAACAGTTATCATTGATGATGAACAATCAATTTCGGTCACGTGTTTAATATCAATTTTCAAATGAAATACATTTAATTGTTTGGAAGAAAAAAATTTTTCTCAAATTGATAATGATGATTATCATTGATAATTGTTGATAATTGTAAAGGCGTTGGTCTATTAAGGATAATACCAGGGATAAATTGTTGATCCTTAATTGTTGAGATCAAATAACAATGATAATCATTTGGTTTCCAAGTTTAATTCTGTTCCCTTTTTAATTGTGATAACTTTTCCTCTTCCTTCACGTTAATCATTTCAGATTTTCCCAATTATCTCAAGTTATTTAATCTAATATGTTTTTGTATAAATCGCCCTAAGCCCTTGATCCTTCATCTTGTTTTTACATCTTCATCTTCATCCCTCATCCCTCATCCAAGGATGATAATGATAATGATATAAAATTAACAAGCAATTTACTTATTGTTGTTGATTAAATTGTTCAACTTTTTTGCTCAACAACATTTTCCCATGTTAACCTTATATGATAATTGTGATAACACCTTTGGCCCTTTTAATTATAATCCTTTAAGATTAACTTTTCAGATTAACTTTTTGTGTGACTAATTAAGAATCAGCAAATTGTTATTGATTGTTTCAAGTTTAATTAATTGTTAAAAGGTTTACACAATTAAGCTGAATCATCACACTTACAATTCATTAATCCTTTTTTTAGATAATACTAATTGTTGTTCCAACACACACACAATTAGATTGGACTGATTAAACTTTTATCTCTCAAGTTAATTCACTTCATCAGGGTTAATTGTTAATCATTAATCAACATTTACCGATATAAGTTTGGACTTTTTTTTCCCTGTAAAACTTTTTCTCTTAATTTGATTCATAATTACTCTTGACAATTGTTATAACTGTTAACAATCAAACCTTTCTAATTGTGGTTGATGTGTTTATTACTACACTAATTCCCAATGGAGATGATAATCTAATCGTAATTTAATCTGGAAACAAGCACGAAACCCATAAGAATAGGGAAAACCCTCTCTGTATATGAGGATCGACTTTCGAAATCATTAATCGAGGTGAGAGGTCAAAACTTCGAGGTCTCGAATCTCCTTCTCATTATTATCGTTTCAAGTTCTTGAATTGGAAATTTGTTTGAAGAACTCATTTAGTAGATATTCGAGAACGAGGTGACGAAATTGTGTCCAAATTCAGGTCAACATCATTTTCTAGATGGACAATATTATCAATCGATTGGTCAACTTTGATTTGACGAAGAAAAAAAAACGCTAATCAATTTAATTGTCTCATTTAATGGATATTATTACATTTATCATTTTGATTCATTTTCCATGTTGACAAATAATATTTACAAAGTAATCAAGTTACTGATTGTTGACAATTTACTAGAGACTAATTTAATTCCCAATTGATGATAACCATTTAATAACCACCACAAAAAAAGCAAAAGCAAAAAATCAAATGACAATCAGAAAGTAACATGAAAAATGATGATGAAAAAATCTCCATTGCAATTGAATTAAACAGTGAAAACAATTAACTAGCAAAAAGTAATAATAATAATCAATTGATCATCTAATCAAATGAAGTTATTATCATTATCATTAATGTAGAGCATGATTAAGACACAGAAAGAGATGGAGAGAGAGAGAGAGAAAGTTAATAATGATGATAATCCTTTAAATCCTAAAGTAATGTTGTTAAGAAGCAGAATCAATGTCAATTTAGATTATATTTAATCCGCTCATTGTTATTACATGATGATCATCATCAGCATCATTATCATCATCATCAGTTTCTCAAATTTCATATCAATTTGTATTGATCATCATCACTGTGACCATTTTATGCTTTGTTATTTGATCCAAAGATGAAAAACTTTATCCATAGAAAACAACTCATATTGTTCATTTGCAACTCTTTGTTTATCCTTCAATTTTTTTCTCATCTTCCTCATCATCTTAATCCCCTTTACACATTCAACTTAAGATTGTTCATTATCTACTTCTTATATCCTCTCTCTCACTCTCTTTTTTTTTATTCTGGCAACTTTTATCCTCATCACTTTCATCATCATCTTTACGAGAATCATCATCAATGTATCAGAGCATCAATTTATCTTCTTCTTCATCTCTTTTTTTCATCTTCATCTTTATCATCATCTGACAGACTTAATCCTTCATCATTTGACAACTACACCTTATCTTCATCTTCATTATCTTCTTTATCATCATCATCCTTGTTACCTGTTATTTTTACGAGCATTTTGATTGTTAAACTTTTTTCGTCTCTCTCATCATCATCATTTCCTTGATTGTTAACTTTTCATTCATTATAATCAACACACAATTACAATCATTTATCATCAATTGATGATCAACAATAAAACTGATTGATAATTGAAAATTATCATTAACTATTTTTATTCTTGTAGCTAATTAACTTGATTCAAATTGATTAACTAATTAGATCATATTGCTAATCCTCCTCTCTCTCTCTCTCTCTTATAATTGGTAAACTAAATTAAAATTTACAATCAACTTACAGGTAATTATGTTCATTATGAATTAATGATAATAATAAGTAACAATTATAACTGAATGTCAACTGAAATTAGTTTTTTTTCATTGTGATAACAATTAATCCCCTAAGGCTATTGGACAATTGGATATGAAAAAAATATATATTGTTAGTCATAACTAATAGTACATAGTTAATTGGTTACAATTAGCTTAATTATCATCTAGTAATAGCAACAATTATAAGGTTAAAAAAAGTTTAACAATTAATGAAAATAAAAGTCAACTGATTAATATTAGCTTTAAATGTGAAACAATTAAATTGATATTGATTTAATTAGATGAATAAAATTGAATGTAATTATTTTGTATTAATAATATTAACTAAATTAAGTTAAATCATCTAATTGATTTGATGATCAATCTAAACTAATCATCATCTTCATCATGATTGTTAAATTAGGTTTTTTTGTTTGTAGTTCCCAATGATTACAATGAAGAGTTGATTGTTTATTCATCATTAACTTAATGATAACATAACAATATAAGAAGATAAGTTTAATTCAGTTACATGTTGATTGTTCATTATTCAGGCTTGATTATTATCATTGTTAGTTGATGATTTACACTCAATTGAAACTTGTTAACACTATACTCAGCTCATTAATGTGTAACATCATCATCATCATCATCGTCATCATCATTTTATCATCATCTTTTCAAGTCTTAAGTGAATAAAAAACTAAACCTTTGAGAGAGAGAGAAAAGTTTTATTTTTTTCTTTCGCTTCGAATCCAAGTGAATTATTAGTTAATAATAAACACGATTGTTATTTTAATCAATTACATATAAATATAGAGGATGAGGATGATAGTGATGATGATGATGATGATGATGATGACAAGAGAAAGAAAGAGAAGAAAGAAAGGGAAAAGGAGGAGCTTATCCAATGATAAACCAGTAAGAACTGGGAATCATAAGGTTAGAGGCGTTAACAATTTCGGATGCTAAGGTTACTAAGGTAACAAGGTAATAGGAAGATGATGATGATAGAGATGAGGATGAGGATGATAATGAGGATGATGTTCACTTTCATCTGAATGATAAAAACTGTGGGAGTTTATACCAGGGAGTGAAAAATGATAACTGGGAGGTGATGCTAACTGATGATAAATTGTTTTGTTTACCTTGAATTTGGTTCATAATTTTTTTTATTATTATTAAACCAATTTGGATATTTATTGTTTTGATTGTTTGTTTAAATTGTGATCAACAACATTTAATAATAAAAACTATTGTTTTGTGGGCTTGTCACAGTTAATCATGATGGTTGATCCGATCATATCTAAATTAAGTGATACAAGTTCTAACTCGTTAATTACATCAACTAATTCATCTTTTTTCATCAAGGATATACTTTCAGAGTAAGAACTTTTTTTTTATTCAATCTTGCTTTCTGATTATCGGCTAATTGTTGCAATCTCACTTTTTGGATTAAATTGTTTTATGTTGATACACTTTCTTTGCAGGAAAAGTTTGGAAAACAATCAACAAGAAATCAAAGATATTCGAGATTCATATTATCATCATCATCATAATAATAATCACAATCATAATAATCTTAATCATAGTAATTCACCTTCATTGGGTAATAATCATAATCCTTATTCACCAAACAATTACTGCTCATTTCATCCGATTAATGGTAACAATCAGTCAATCAACTCGAATGGTCCAGCAAGTTTAGCCGCTGCTGCTGCGGCAGCGGCTTTGTTACATCCTTCATTTGCAGCTTATTCAGCAAGGTAAGTAATCAATGACCTTAACTTATTCATTAGCAATTAGATAATCTTATTTAATCATCTAATTCACAGTCATCATCATGATTTAATATTTCAACACATGCAAAGAGCAGCGACTGAAGCAGCGACTCATGTTGCTTCCCATCGGCGGCGAAAAGCCCGAACAGTGTTTTCAGATCATCAACTGCACGGACTCGAGAAAAGGTTTGCAAGATTGCGACAGACAAACAATCAACTAATCAATCAGAAAAAGTAATCAATCAATTTTTCAACCATTTGAACAGATTTGAATCACAACGTTACCTTTCAACACCAGAGAGATTGGATTTAGCAACAAGTTTAAACCTAAGTGAAACTCAAGTAAAAACCTGGTTCCAGAATCGCAGGTAAGATTATAACTATTTAATTATGATTATCAATCATCAAATTAGCAACAAATTTAACCTTTGATAGTAAATCATTATGATGATTACGCTTATAATGATCCGTTCAAACCAAATAACATGAAATTGTTAACCAATTACTTTATACTAATAGTTGATATTTAATGCGGATTTGTGATAACATATATTTGGCAAAAAAACTCAGCAAAATCCAAAAGTATTATCTCTTTACTATCATCATGATATCATGATGATTTTATCCTCATTCCTTACCGATTGAAACCAGAAACTCACACACAAAACCAGGTAATTCATTGAAATAATAGTTACAAAGGTTAAGCAAAATTGCAGCAAAAAAAAAACGCAAAAAAAAAACAAAACGTTTTTACCCTTAAGCTTAACTTATATTCATCAAGAGATGATGATGATGATAAAGAGCAGGATTAGATGGAGATAATCAACTGAATAGAGTCTATTAATATCAGATTAACCATGAGATCAGGGTGATAGCATATTTGATAACAGGTAAAAAAAGTTTACCTGAAGGGAGTGAGAGAGAGACAATAAAAAAAAAGTTTCAATTCCCTGAAAACGGTTAAGGTAAATATTAATAGTCGATTCATATTAATATTTAGAAACATTTTTTATAATCTAATTAGTAAAATGAATTATTGACGTAAACTGATTATTAGTTTAATTCACTTATCTAATTTTAGTGATTGTAACAATTAACTGATCGGGAGATCTGAAAACATATATAATGTGATTAACTAATTACCTTAGGTAATAAAATCCAGAACTTTGATTGTGTTTAATTTGTTGAACTAATTATTGTTACTCTTGAAATAGATTTCTAAATTGATTAATAGTTAGAAATCGGCTGATTGTTACCTAATTACAATTAGAAGGGCAAAGAAAAGGAGAGAGATCTTTTTTTGGTAACAATCAAGTAAATTGATTACTATTTTTAAATTTATTTACCAACAATCAAAAATATCAACACAAATCCATAGTAACATATCAACGGAATTTTGAATTAATTGTCAATGAAATATTTTCATGTTGATTATATTAATTTACGTCAATTGTGAAATTTGATGATCCCAGATAATGATTACATGACTAATCAATGGTTTCACTTAATTGTTGTTAATTGTTTATCATTTTTTGCTCATTTGTCTCCAGGATGAAACATAAAAAGATGCTAAGAAAAGGCAACAATAAGGATAACAATCAATTAACCAAAGGATCAACTAATTAAATAACATAAAATATACATAAATATAAATACATAATTAACAATTTAATCATATCAAAACAAAAGCTTTAACAATTAACCTTTTCAATTTCCACCTATCGAGCTTAATTAAATCATATCAACATTGAACTTTTCCTAAATATTATAAACTGTACATTCAACAGGTAAAAACAATTGAATAAATTGTCAAATACAAAGTCTAAATATAATTGCAATTAGTAAATTGTTGGAGAAAAACAAATTCTCTCGAAATTTTGATGGAGACTCGAAAAAAAAGTCGAAAAGTTCTGATGAAAGTTTCGATCAATGTTCAAATATCTTATAGGTTGAAATACTTAGGATGATGATGATGATTGAAAAGATTACTATTGAATGGAAACTCATCTAACAATTTAACAATCAACAATAAATTGACCCTTTTCATATCAACCAATTCAATATCTTATCATGTTATCATGATGCTTGTCATCATCATGATGAAATAAGCTGAGTTATTAGAGGAAGAAGCAAAAAAAACCATTGAAATCTGAATTGAGACAATAATCCAATTGTAAGTGGATGGTAACATTATTATTATGATTATCTGATTGATTCACTCGAGGATACAATCAACAACAATTTACTATTAATCAAGCAACAACAAAATGATATGTTGAAAATTTTTCATTCATCATTAATCATTGTAAATGAATCAATTTTTTTTTCCTACTTACTATTGATCAGCAATCAATATGGTAAATACATTATGGTTAACATGTTGATTATAAATGAAACTGGTGACAACAATTAAACTAAAATCAGTGTTAATTTGATCTAAATTGAAAACAAGTCCCTTGGTAATTTTTTCTGATCAAAAACCACGTACAGGCAATAAATTAATGTCAAATTAACGTTAAATTGTCAACAATCAACAGATAATAATAGTAAAACCAATACTCATCATTAGATTAATTTTCTGAGTATAATCAATGGTCAATCAAAATCGAATCAGGAAAAAAGGGAAAACTCAACAATCGAGGACTTGATAAGTTTCCTATTAACAGGAAGAAGAAGAAGAAGAAGAAGAAGAAGAAAGTAAGACTTATCATCCATTTATCATCCTCCCTCTTATTCCTGCATTTATATAACTCACCTTCTCATCATTTTCTCCACCCCCATTATCATCTTTTTTCTTGTTCGAGTAAAAAAAACACCAACAACATTATTATTCAAATACGATGTTGAGATGATAACAATTTAGCATCTTTTCCTTTTCCTCTTTTTTTTCACCATCATCTCTTCATCCTCATCATCTTTAAGCATCATTGAGATGATGATAAGACATGAAATTGTGTTACAACTGAATGGGATGATAACAATAACGCAGCTCCCATCATAATGATAACGATAATCATGATAAAAGTTCTGAATTCCGAATCATAATCTGATTACCTTTTGGAAAAAAAATTTTTTTTTCTTCTCTTTTCCCTCTCAACTTAAGCTTCTTATAGTAAATAATAATAATAATTGAAACACTTTAATCATTTGATATCAATTTAAGTTAATTTAGTTACCCAATTAACATGTTACTAACTAATTAACTTAAATTATTTCGGCAATATCGTTATTGGAGTTAATTTGTTATTAGTTATTAATTATTATTGATTGAAAATTAAAAGGGTTTTATTTTTCTTGATATCTTAATGGTAACAATTAAAAAAAAACATTTACATTTTTCACTAATTTACATAGTTAATTGTTGTATTTAAATCAATCAGATTGCGCTTATACAATTGGTTAATTTGATTTAATTTATTACGTTAGTTTATTAATTGTTTGGCCGGAAGCACAGGGCATTCAGTTGAAGTAATTGTGATTGATTAATTGTTACCAGCAATTGGATTAACAATTTAATCAAACAATTCAATTGCTTCTTGTTTTGTTTTTGTTTACTAGTTTTACAATTTGATTGACAATCAGTTAATTGTTATTTGATTTTTTTTGTCTTCTTCTTAATCAAAATCAATATGATCAGAAAATCATCAATTGTTATTAACGGGAATGATCAATGGAGTTAATTGTTGGGATTAATTAGTTAATCGTGATTGTGGACAAAAAAAAGTTAAAAGTTTTGTCTTGATAACATTGACAACAATTAATTAATTTTGACAAATTAACTGTCACAATTAGTTTAGATGATTATAATTGATATATTAGCATCAAGACAGTTGAAATGATTAAGTTAATCATGATAATGATGATAATGATATTTATGATTACGGTAATGATATAAATTAATTACAATTAAAAAGGTGTAATCAGTTGTAAAGGTTAAGGGGATTAATTTGGGAACAATTTGTTTAATTGTAATAATTGACATAATTGATTAAAGGTAAATGATTATGATCAGAATGATAATGATTAACAAAAAGGCTATTATTGATTTATGATTAGGCAAAGGAATGCCAATGATAATTAAAGATGATTAAGATTAATTAACAGATTAGTTCATCTAATTGTTGCTGATTAGGAAAATGTTAAACTTAGATATTGATTGTTAATTATTCACCATTCAGGATGAGACAACAATTAATGGGATAACCAGGAAAGTTAATCACAACAACAATTAATAATTGATTGTTTAAAGGTGTAATTGGATTAAGGGATGATACTGATATTAATTGTCTGTAACAATCAAGACAATTGTATGATAATTGTAAATCAAAATGATATATTTAACTATTAGTGATTTGGTTTGATTGTTTCAATTTGTTTTTGTTTTGTTTTTCATTCATTGAAAATTAACAACAACAAAGAAAAAAGTTTTTCAAATTAATTGTTCATTAAATTATATAATTAATTAATTGTCATCGAGTGTTTTTGATTATTGATTTTGGTTTTAAATTAAATTGACAAAAGAGTAAAATTAATTAAATGATATACATTGAATCTCTTGCTTGTTGATCAACTAAATTAAATGCTTAATTTGATTAATATGTATTAAAGTGTATGCGATTTGTTTTTTTTTTTGCTAAAACAGTTGAATGATTAACAATTAATTGTAAAAAATAATTGATATTGTTGCTTTCATTTCTTATTAGGATACATGCTTAATCAACGGATTAGATTGATTATAATTAAGGGAATCTACTAATTATGACAAAGAAATTGCAAAACAATGAGTGATGATGATAATTCAATAGGATAATAATGATATTGAGGGTGGGAGATTAAGACTGAGAGAGTGAGAGTGATTTGTTTGTAAAACTTAATTGACTCGATGAAAGCTCATCAATTAACTAATTGATTGATAATATGAGATACAAAAGCTTCTGACGAGAAAAACATTGTTAGTTAATTGGTGAGAGAGTTGATTGATTTTTCCTTTGCATCCCAATTCCAATAGTGATTCAGTTTGATTCCATTTGTTGATTGTTTAATCAGAAGCTTTTTAAATTTCCAATGGATTTTGATTGTTACTTTGTTAAATTGTAAATTCAGGTGAGTGCAAATTAAAAGGAGATCAGATGAGAGATATTGGTGAATGACATTAGTTTTTTTCTTCGTGATGTTCATGAGATGAAATTTCATCTTTGATTCAGTTCCTTTTTGTTTCCTGGTTCACAATTTTCTTGATCATGTCTCTCTATTGCTCCATCATCTTAAACATCTCATTTCCTTTTCCTTTTCCCTCTGGTTAATTGTAATTATAACTTTGTCATATTAATTTAAATAAGGCAATCATTGTGTTTCGATAATCTTTTCATAATATCTTGCGGTAAACAAACACACACAAAGCGGCAATTTGTCACTCGAGTTAATTGATATCGTCCAGTTGAATGTGTTTGCGTTTCTTTGTCAATTGTGTAAATGAATTGGTTTGTTTGTTTGGATACAAATTTGAAAAATATATGCGTTTGTATGGTAACATTGGAGGAAGACATCGAGGTTGATGATGATGAAGGTGATGAAGATGATGATGATGACGATGTTATTGGTACTGGTGGTGGTATATTGGTAATGATTATTTGATGAGATAAGATGTAAATGTTATTCGCTTGTTAATCAATTAGAATCAATTAATTGGTGAAGGTGAACTAGTGTAAGACGCTTCACTATGGTATTCATGGTACTCTTCGTGCTTTTTTAAAGTGTATTTCGCTTTACGAATTGCCGTTAATTTTTCTTGTGCATCTTTCAGTTCTCTCTCTTTTCTTAAGATCTCTTCTCGAGCAAGAATTTCCTGAGCAATTACTGGAACTCGTCTCTGGCTGATTACGATACTTTGCTCTTCATCATGTTGAATTGCTTGTTGTGCAGATTTAACCAGATTATCGGTTGCCTTTTTAACTGCATTACCAGCACCTTGTAAGCGAACCATTGACTTGGAATCTGAATCTGCTTTTACTTTACATGCAACCAAAAGTTGAGCCGTTGAGGAGGCAACTTGTTTAGCCGATGATATTAATCGTTCTTCTGAGGCTTGACCTTGAACAAGAGAATTGGCCGCTTCAACAAGTGAATGTGTCGCAGCAGCAACGTGTCGGGCTGCTGAGATTAGCCCTTCTGACCATTGGCCATCATCTGAGGTTGATATTGGTCGACGGGAAACTTTACCAGTGGTGACCAGTTCACGTTGAGCTGCTGAAGCAGCTCTAACCAGAGCCGAGGTTGCGGTAGTAATTGATTTGGCTGCTTCCAAAATCATCTCGTCAAAATTAAGATCTTCATGAGGAAGCTGATTGATTGGGAAGTACAAAATTTATTTATCCAAATTGATTGTTGTAACATTTGGGTGACATGCAAACAATTTAACGAAAAGAAAAGAAATAAAAATTAGCAAATGATAATAAATTAAAAGTATATGCAAGTGTAAATGGGATAATAAGGTAATCAATCAATTAATCAATGATGATAATTAGGTATCGATCCTGGGCATATGTCTGATTCTTGGTTGATTATCGTTAAATAATTTACAACCAAGAATATCAAACATATCTCAAAAGCGACCCATCAGATATATAAGATTAATCAATTTAAATCAATTACGAGGATGAAAGAAAATTAATAAGGTTCAATTTAATCAATGGAAATTCATTTAATTACCTTTATACTTGTTCGTCTAGGTTGGAGTTGAGCTAATTTCTTAGCAGCGGCATCAATGGACGAAGCAGCACCAAGTAGTTCGTTCTCAGCGATAACTGTTGGATCATCGGGATCGACCCAATCGGTTCCCTTAAGAGCCTCGACACAAGAGACAATTTCGGTAACGGATGAAGCGATGTTTCGAGATTTTTCAATCAGCATTTGTTTCTCTTCGCCTGAAGCACCGTTTGGCCGTTGGATACATTGGAGAACCAATTCAAGGAGAGACTGATATTTATGGGCACAATTTCGTCCAGTATCAAGGACACGTTGGGTTAATTCGGGTGAATCAGCTGTGTGAGCACATTGTTTGGTTGTTACGAGTAGATCGAAAATGGCTTTTCGTCCCATATTAGCGGCGACAATAACATCATCCTGTTTACCACTATTTCCAGCGGCAACCGCTTTAGCTGTGGCCAATGTAACGGGCTTATGGACTCTAAGAAGATCCTCTGGTGAACCCTTTTTACTTGGTGGGTCAGATGAGTTAAGAACTTTAAGTTCTTGACCAATGGCTTCGATTGTCGATTCCAAAGCTCGTGTTCCTCTCTGGTGTTCATCTTCAACGATTTTAACAGTTTTCAGTAGTGAAGTTACATTGTTTATCATAACCTATGGAGGAATAACAAATTGAAAGATAATTATTATCAATTGAGAAAAAGGTTAATCAAAAAAAAAAGAGAGGAGAAAACAAAGTTAAACATACAATTTAATAAGTGTGAAAGATAATATATTTGTGTTGTAATGATGTGTAAACTCAGATGATAATTGCGGATGTAGATTGAATGATTATTTATCAAATTGTCGATTATTATTACATTGATGATAATAACTGATAATTAGTCATTTGATAAATTAAACACATAGAGCAATATGTTTACCTTTCCAACAACAATCTTTTTTTCAAGGTGACAATTGAAAACTATCAAAAGTTTCTTACCAAATGAATATTTTACATTTGAGAAACGATTTATTTGAGAGAGACGAAGAAGAGAGAGAGAGAGAAGATGATAAAGAAGATAAGTAGAAAAAAAGACAAGAAGAAGATCGGACGATAACCAGAGAAGAGGATAAAGATGATGAACGAAGCATGGATGATAAGAGAGAGAATCGTCTTTTGTTACATATTCAGACCATTTCTTTACTTTTCTCCTCATCGTCAACCTTTTGTTTTACATATCGTGAGAGAGAGATGAAGATTTGTATAAAGGAGGAGAGAGAGAGAGAGAGAGAGAGAGAGAGAGAGAGAGAGAGAGAGAGTCAATTGTAAAGGTGGAGAGAAGATGAGGAAGATAAAAAAAGAGATGAATAGACCTTGGAATTGAATGGAAATGTGAAAATAGTAAATGAGGTTGATAATAATAAAGGGAATGAATCTGTTAACCTGAAAATTAACAACATTGTTTCAATAGGAAAACAACAAGAGTGAGACACGAAAAAAAATCAAGCTTTCATGATCTAAAACAATTAAATTAATTGTAATATTGTTCAACACAATTAAAGGTTAACAGCAAGACTATTGATTTAAGTGGTGTGTTAATACACAATCAGGTTAATTTTCAACTTGTAATTTAGTAATTATCAAACGATCAACTCAATAATTACGTGCAATGGAATCAAATAAGTGCAAAAAGTGGTAACAATTAAACAATTTAAATTGAATAACAAAATAAAGCAATTAAAGAGAAAGATTTAACTAGCTGGTTGCTGGAAAGGTAATTGATTAAATTCTCTTAATTCTCATCAATTGAGAATTAAATTGCTCTAAACCATTTTCATCATTCAATCAAGCAAATTTTGTTAAGTGTCAATGATTAAATAATCATAACTTTTAGCAAAGTCATTTGGGTTTACATATGAGGCGATGGTTAAAATGAAATGAAAACACAAAAATAATATTATGATTGATTGTATGTTAATTAGCTCAATGATTGCGTTGGATTAACAGCTAAGTTAATCAAATGCTGTTAAGGTGATTGATTTGAAATCTCGTAAGCATTAATTAAGGTGCGGTACTGACCTTTGCTGATTCTTTAAGCTGAACCATTGCTGGATCTTCATTGTCTTTACCTGAAGCGGATTTAGTTGCATGGATTAAATCACCTAAAGCTGAGGCAACGTCTTTAATTGCATTTAAAAGTAAAACTTGAGCCTCTAAATTAGCTGAACCAAGAGATGCAGCGTCTAATTTAATTGTATCAGAAAGGTGGACAATTGTGGTTACAGCATTTTGAGCTGCATCGGCTAATTGTTCCTGATTAGATGCTGCTCCAAGTACCAAAGACTTTGTATCCTCAACCAGAGCTTTAGCTGCTCTTAAAATGGTTTGTCGATTTGTTGTAAAATTGTCAACCTCATTTTCAGGGTTAAGTGTACCCGCAGTGGCAAACATGATTGTCGTATCAAGATCACCAATTATACCGCTCACGGTGGACACTGCATTTGACCAGGCAACATTGGCTGGATATCGGGGTGAAGGTGAAGATGATGTTGATACTTGATGATATCGGGTGTTGATTACTTTCTCACTTAGTACACTGGTGGTTGCAGCTAATCTAAGATCTTCGGCTGCTTTTCTTAGGCTACTTTGTGATTCAGAATCATCGGGATTTGTGGCACAGCTTTTGGCAGCTTTCATCAATCGGGTTGATGCTTCGGCAAGAGCCTTTGCTGCGGCCAATAATCGCCGTTGAATATCACCATCTTGTTGATCTCTAGCATTACTTTTAATGTCAATAATCAATTGAATCGTAGCGTGAGCTAAAACTTTTGCTTGGCGAATGATTTCCGGTGGATCACAAGAGTTACTGAAAAGACGATCAGTGGCATCGAGAATTGTATCAACGGATCCTTGCGCTTGAGAACAACGACCAGCAACGCTAAGTAAAATTTCCGATGTCTCCTTATCGTAAACCTCATATTCCTCATTAATAGTTGATAAAACGGAATAGGAAGCAGTTTCAACTCGATTGGCAGCCGAAAGAAGAGTTTGTCTTGGTACTTTTGTACCAGGTTCGGCTGCTTTAAGTAGATCAGAGAAAGCGTTACACAAATTTTTGGCCGCTTCAATTAGACCATCACCTTTACCATCATCATCCATTAGGGAAGCGATTAGTTTAACATCTTTTGACATTTCAGGTAAATTTGTGGCTATAGTTGAAAGAGCAGCATCCAAAGCGGACACGTCGATCTCATTTTCAGGAACCGAGGTGAGAGTGACAATTTTTGCTGTCGCTGCATTCATGGCGGACAATTGTGACGAAACAGCGGATCTTTTAACATCTAACTGATCACGTTTCGATTGTATTGATAAAGAATCTGAGCTTTGATAATTTGGTCCATCGGTTGGTTCATCTAAATCTTTCTCAACTCTGGCAATTGTGATTCGACAAGTTTCCGTTGTGGTAATAAGAGCTCGTTGTGGACTTGGAGTTCCATTAGTGTAAATATGAGGTACTTTAGCTCCGATTCCCGATGGAGCGGAATGACCAACGTGTGCAGTACCTTTAACTGAAGTAATAGACGCTGATGGAATCTCATTGGTTACAATGGCCTGTGAACCATTGGTTCCAGCACGGAGGATTGCAGGCATGGCGATATTACTCATCTCAGGTTGAGCGCCTTTAGAAAGGGTTGAATATTGAAGTACCGTTGCTTTATAAGGTGAAACTGAATCTTCAACCATGGTTGATCCTTCATCACCTTCAATACCGAAATGATCTTTAGCCTTTTTCCTTTTTAAGATAATATCAATGTAACCAGCAATTAATTGGGAAATTTGTTCACCTTCACTGGTTTGAACTGAATAATAAGAATCAGCGTAATCACCAAAATCAAGAGTAAATGAGTTAGGTGATGCCGCCCATCGTTTAACGGTAGTTAATGGCCACGTTTTTAAAATTTCCTTCGTCTTCTCATCTAATCGTAAAACCGATTCTTTGGTTACACCAAGTAAACGGGGAACAAGCTTATTTTTACGATTCATTTTCTCTTTGACAAGGAAAAAAGTGACCCCATAAGTTTTCAATGATCGCGCTAATTGGACATATTTTCCCTTTGATTCTAATTCGGTGAGACCAGCGTGTTTCATATGCTGTTGGAAAACTTTCTTCTCGATTCCCTTCATTTTGGCATAATCTTTGGGAAGAAATTCTTTTAAATCTAAGAAACCAGTTCGGTGTTTCCCTTCAACATGATCACCAAATTGTATCTGACACTGAATACCAGCAAATTTACAAGCTTCCTCAACGGCAACCGGATGAGTACCAGCGATAATTGCATCACGAGTTTGAACATAAAGTAAATTAAGTTCAACTGGATCTCTTTGGTCAATATTTTGATCGGAGAAGAAAAATTTTCGCCTAAGAAGTAAAGTTTCATCTTCAGCTATACCCTGTTCACTTAAAGTTAATGAATGGTCAACCCAATTAAGATCATCATCGGTTTTCAATTTTTTCTTTAATTGTTCCATTTTAGCATCGATTGTTTTATCTCGATCTTTTTTATCTCGACGTAACGTTAATGTACCAGTTGAATAACTGGCCGACTTTTTATCCTCAGGTAATTCTCGTACCAAGGAATATTCATCATGATTCGTAATTCCTATCAAAAGAAAAAGAAGAAAACAATTAATCAATTAAACCAATATAAAGATAATCATCAAAAGGAGAGAATCTAATTAAATAACAATTACAACTAATACAATAAGAGATCAATAAATTTCATGATGATACTAAAATTTTGGGAAACAAACATGATAATCAAACGATGACGCTCAATAGAAATGATTGATTTCCAATTACATTTGAAATAATAGTAAATTTTTGAAAACTTTAGTAAAGTTGTAAAAATTTTCTGAATGAATATAAGTGCAATCATATAATTAACGATTTATTTAGCAATATCTTAATTAAAAGATTAACTGACAAAAAAAAACGTGACATGTCAGTGAGCATCATCTTAATAGATCAACCAACTAATGATAACTTTTTTTTAGGTCATCTTTCAATTGATTTATTTTAAATTTCTATTAATTTAACTAAATCAATATGATAGATTTTTCCAGCAAAATATTAACCACCACCGAAAACCACCCATCCTTCATATTTAATCATCTACTCACTAATCATTTTCTTCTGTTTCATGTAATCATCCTAATCCTCATCCTCATCATCATCATCATCATCATCATTTATAATAATAAATAAGGTTTGACGGAAGTCACCAGCAAAAGAAAAACAAAACCAAAACTGACAAACTTCATATGAATCAGGGTGAACTTCCGATTTAAGTTCCGTTAGAATCGATATTTCCTCTGAACAAGGTTAAATACCATGTAAATTGATTGTTTTAAAAAAAAGGTTATCATAATTGAACAGGTAAATTTTCAAATTAAACACAATTAGTGTATATCTAAACAAATATTGGTTAATCATGATTAAAAGTAAATTGACAAACTAAATGGTCAATAATTGGTTAATCCACCTTTTGAAAATATTGCTAATCCATGACTTTTAATGAGTAATCAAAGTGAGAATATAATTTGTATCTAAACCTACTTTCGTTAATCTAATCCTAATCATCCTAATAATCATCATCATCATCATTTACTACAATCAGATAGGCAGGGTTAATTTGGATCACAATTTATATACCAAATATGATTAAAAGAACCAAATATTATCATTTAACTTGAGTAACCTTTTCGAAAAGGTATTAATCGGATGTAGATTGAGAAAGAGAGAGAGAGAGACAAATTAAGAAGAAAACAAATTGTAATGAATGGAAGTGAGTGTGTGAGAGAGAGAAAGAGAGTAAGAAAGAGACAGAGATGGAATGAAAGAAAACTTTTCATGAATGAATATGCGTGGCTGGAGATATTGGTACATGTGTGTGAGTGTAATTCTGCGTAGGAGCCTTTAAACCGACCTTTTTTTAAGATTTACAATTTTTTCTTTCCATTTTTTTCTTCACCTCATCATAAGAATAATATGTGTACACTAATTGAAAGAAATATAGAGGAAAAGAGAGAGAGAGAAAACATATCCCAAACTTACCGATTTTGGTACAAATAACGACCATTAAATTGGCTACATTTTGACTATCATCAACCAACACCGTTTTTACCGATCCATCTAACATGCGAACTCGTATCTTCCTCTTGTTTTCTTGATTTTCGTACATTGTCAACGATTAGATTGATCTATCTCTCTTTCAAGTATATAAATATAATTAGTTTGTATTTCCCTTGATTATATGACTTGAGAAACCAGGGAAAAGGAAAGGCCAGAGGATTAACCCTGTAGAAAAATAAAAAGAGAAGAAAAGAAAAAAAAAGAAAATGAATTAAAAGAAAAAGCGAAACAAGATGAACCGCTTACACCAAGTGACCAGTAACAACCGGTTCATGTTGTTAACATGTTATTCATTAGTAAAGGTGTAAAATTGAATCTTCAACATGAAAGATTATTGAGATAAAACACCAAGAAAATCAATACAATTAACAGAATAGGAAAAGTAAACAAGAGAGAGAGAGAATAGAAAACAAAGATCCTTGAGTCACAAATGGGACACAAACACTGAGAGTCAACAGGTGAGAAACAAAATGTAAGTAGAAAATGAATTTACCTCGTAAAGATGAACACAAATTAGAATTTGTTGAGAAGTTGAGATTAATTACCAGAGGAAGATAATAGAATAGAATAAAAAGAAAAAAGAAAATGAATTAAAAGAAAAAGCGAAACAAGATGAACCGCTTACACCAAGTGACCAGTAACAACCGGTTCATGTTGTTAACATGTTATTCATTAGTAAAGGTGTAAAATTGAATCTTCAACATGAAAGATTATTGAGATAAAACACCAAGAAAATCAATACAATTAACAGAATAGGAAAAGTAAACAAGAGAGAGAGAGAATAGAAAACAAAGATCCTTGAGTCACAAATGGGACACAAACACTGAGAGTCAACAGGTGAGAAACAAAATGTAAGTAGAAAATGAATTTACCTCGTAAAGATGAACACAAATTAGAATTTGTTGAGAAGTTGAGATTAATTACCAGAGGAAGATAATAGAATAGAATAAAAAGAAAAAGAAAGAGAAGCAAACAAAATGGAGATTGTGGTAGAGAGAAAACAACAGTAAACACAGAGAAGAGAAAGAGATATGGAAAAGCGAACGAGAAGAAACTGAAGCGGTTGAAATGAAAGATTTTCTCTTTTGAGTAGAACAACAAATATTAAATCATTCGAATGTTGAATTGTTGAGAGAGAGAGAAAAAAAGAACTAATTGTTTTTAAGAATTATAATTAAAATCAATGAGAATTTGTGATGATTAAAAGTTGGGATCACACAGTCAACAAGAAGATGAAATGAAGAGTGAAAGTTTAACTCTAAGAGCAACAGAGGGAGTAAGAGAGAGAGAGAAAGAGAGGGAGAGTCACTTGGATGATGGAAAATGATGATAAAAAGATGATTGTGAATAAAGATGAAAATGAATGTTGTTCAATTGATGATCTCCATTGAAACTGAGCAAAATTGAACAATTGATAGCGAACCAAAGAGTTGATATAATCTTATGTCTCTCTCTCGATGCAGTTACATGTTCATCTTCAGGGGATGTCTGAGGTTCTGTCCGCTAGGGAGCAGAACTATTTTCAGTTTCGTTGAGAGTTTTTTTCATTTTCATGTAGGAAGTGTTTTCATCTAATTTATATGTTTTACTCTAATTATTTGTACTCTCATCAATATCATCATCAGGTTGTGATGATGATGAGTAAGACTTGAGGGAGAGAGAGATCGAAAAAGTTTGAAAATGATCAACTTCCGATTTTTCTGATTTCCTGTTTGAAAATCAATTTTTCCTTTTAATTCTAAAGTTAAATACGTAAATTGTTAATTGTTGGTTTAAATTTACGTCCATATGATTGTTTATTTCTAGGTAATATGATAGGTAAACAGGTAGATCGTTGATTGTTTACATGAAAAGGTAACAAGTGGTCAACGAATAGATTATCATGAAAGGGATGGAGATTAACTCTGATTTAATGGAATTCATTTCAACAACAAGTCTGAGCTTCATCATTATCGTTTTTAATCAGATAGGCAGGGTTACAACTGACAATTAACCAAATATGGGTAAAAGGATATAAATAGTAAGCAGAGAGAGAGAGAGAGAGAGAGAGAGAGAGAAAGAGAGGGAGAGTCACTTGGATGATGGAAAATGATGATAAAAAGATGATTGTGAATAAAGATGAAAATGAATGTTGTTCAATTGATGATCTCCATTGAAACTGAGCAAAATTGAACAATTGATAGCGAACCAAAGAGTTGATATAATCTTATGTCTCTCTCTCGATGCAGTTACATGTTCATCTTCAGGGGATGTCTGAGGTTCTGTCCGCTAGGGAGCAGAACTATTTTCAGTTTCGTTGAGAGTTTTTTTCATTTTCATGTAGGAAGTGTTTTCATCTAATTTATATGTTTTACTCTAATTATTTGTACTCTCATCAATATCATCATCAGGTTGTGATGATGATGAGTAAGACTTGAGGGAGAGAGAGATCGAAAAAGTTTGAAAATGATCAACTTCCGATTTTTCTGATTTCCTGTTTGAAAATCAATTTTTCCTTTTAATTCTAAAGTTAAATACGTAAATTGTTAATTGTTGGTTTAAATTTACGTCCATATGATTGTTTATTTCTAGGTAATATGATAGGTAAACAGGTAGATCGTTGATTGTTTACATGAAAAGGTAACAAGTGGTCAACGAATAGATTATCATGAAAGGGATGGAGATTAACTCTGATTTAATGGAATTCATTTCAACAACAAGTCTGAGCTTCATCATTATCGTTTTTAATCAGATAGGCAGGGTTACAACTGACAATTAACCAAATATGGGTAAAAGGATATAAATAGTAAGCAGAGAGAGAGAGAGAGAGAGAGAGAGAGAGAAAAACTGATGAATGAAAAAAGAGAAAGAAAATTTTTTTTTCTATGAATGAAGATGCGTGGCTGGAGATGTTGGTACTTATGTGTGTGAGTGTATTTAGCGTGGGGGTACCACTTAAACCGACCTTAGATTATCATCCTTTCATCTTAATCTTTTCATCAATATTTTTCTCTTACTGGAGTTTATTAATATTTGAATAGAAAATGAAACTTACTTAAATTCCGGTGGAAAAGTAATCGTGACAATTACGAGTTTGTGACATTTTTCCTTCTTCTCCTTAGTCCATAGAGTTAATTGTTCATCTTCCAACTTAGTCAATTCTCAAAATGCTGATAATTTTTTTATTTTTCGGCTCTTGATTTACGTTTATTTCGTTTGGGTGTTTTTCTTTCTTTCTGCTGTTAAATCGGAGGCCAGTCAAGGTGAAGATTTACCTTCAACTGAGTGGGTGCTGGAAACGTTGTCTTTCCGGTTTTAAATTGATACCATTCGATTGTATTGTAAGCGGAATCAACTCTCTCATCTAACATCTTCTTCTCTTAATATGTTCAGTTATTGTTTTTCGTTTATTCTAATAACAATTAACATTGGAATTTCTTCTTCAAGGAGAATTCATCCTTCTAGGGGCACAACGTTTTTCGGGAATCATCACTTTGGATTTAATCATCATCATGATGACAAGGAAGAGAGAGAGAGAGAGAAAGTTTGTAAAATGCTTACGTTCGAGCGGGAAGATAGTTGAGTGACATCGAGTTCGAGTTTATAAATTCTGTTTATTGATTCACAAGAACAAATAATTTGGTTGGTTGATTTAATTTCATTTGAACTGTTCAGTGAGAAAACTTGAGAACTTTATATTAAAATGATAATTGAAACACAAAGAGAAAAAGTTTATAGGCAAAGAATTGGATGATTTTGGATTTCGAACTTGGAATGTACTAGATTAACTTGTAGTTCGAAGATGAGTACACAAAAAGAGTTTTTAGAAATCACAACACTTCAGTTTATAGAAGAAGAGAATTGGGTGGAAAGAGTGATGGTGAGGGAGTCGAATGATTCTAAGGAAAAATGGAAAACGAAAGAAAAAGAGGAAAAGAAAAAAGATTCGAGGTTGACAATAGTAGAATTTCAAGTGATCTCCCACTTCGAACTAAGGTTGTAATATAAACTTGAATCGAACTTTTCCCTTTGGAATATCTTTCTCTTCCATGAGAAAATGTTGAATATTCGATAAAAAGAATCGCGCAAGTCAGAATTTCTATGGATAAAGAATAGAGAATCATTTTCGATTGGCTGTTCTTCCAAGAAGAGGTAATTCTTCCGCCACCTCCTTCTTATCATCATCATTCTCTCTCTTTCTTGCTCTCTTACACTCCTAAGGTTTTTCTCATTGTGAGTTCTCTTCCATATCATTCCCTGTTCTTCCACTCCCTTACCTTATCTTCTTATCTCTTTCTCCATTATTTCTACTAGAAGAAGATAGAAAAAGGTGGAGTTGAAAGAGAATCGGAAGATAAATAAGTTCCAAGGAAATTCCGAGAATCTCCTTCCCTGTAACATTAAAGGAGAAAAAATTAGCCACCTTTTTGCTCTCTTTTTCTCTTTCTTTTCGGTTTTCTGAGTTCATTTAGCTTCCTATCTTCCACCGAGGACACACCTTATTATCTTCATCTTAGAATTCTTGTTGAGAGCAATCTCAGTGTTGCCATTTTCTTCCTGAGTCAATGAAGATATCGTATTGTAAATCTTTCACCTTCTCTGAAAATTGTGAGAAGTAAAAACTTGTTCTCTATTCATATCTATTGAACTTTTCATGTGTAGATTATCTCTTGATGAGAAGTAGAGCATTTATCATCTTTTCTTTACGAACATTATCACACCATCACATTTGAAACTCAGAGCTAATCATTAATTTCTGTTCTTTTCATCATTATCTATTTCTTCATGACAAATTCTTAGCGTGAATAAGGAACAGAGATAGAAGATAAAAAAAGATCCAAAACAAAAAGATGATTTGGAAAGAAGGAGAGAAAAAATTCATATCTAAAGAAAAAGTTCATTCATCAATTGGGTGAGATAAGAAAAAGTTCTGGTACTTTTTCTGTCAATTCTCCTCAATCATTCAACTGTCCAGGAGATAGAAAGTTACATTAAAATAAGATTAAAGGAATAGAATTCAAAAGTGACCAAGATAATGGAAAAGAAAACGAATCCATTTTTGCATCAATTTCTTTTCTATTTAATTTGGCGAAGAGAAAATTTCTCTCTTTTTATTCTTTTACTTCTCTTCCATTTCATCTTTTTCCTCATCTTCTCGGGACTTTTAGCTTATTTGATTCGAGTGAAACTCCATAAATCAGAGGAATAACATCCAGAGAGAGAGAGAGAGAGAGAGAGAGAGAGAGAGAGAGAGAGAGAGAGAACATAGAAAGTAAGAGGATACACATAACACTCAACAAGAAGAGAACAACTTGATCCTAAACTCCAATTCAATCAATGGAATGACAAAGATGATACTTAGATGATGAGAAGAGAGAGAGAGAGGAGATGAAAAGAAACTCAAGAAGAATATGGAGTAGAATTAATCGATGAACCTTCATGTAGTATCTTTCCATAGATGTAGCAAGAAGAAAAGAAAATAGAAAAATATTCGAAAGGGAATGAAAAGAAGCGAAAAGAGAAACTCAGAGAAATTGAAGAAATTGAATATGAGTAAATATACTGAGACAGAATCTCCATGTCCCGGGATGTTACGAAAGGAAGGAAGTGAAGAAAAAAAAAGAATAGAAAAAGAAATACACTTTCTTCGTTCTAATGATAATGTTAATAATAACAATGATTGTGATGATGATGAGGATGAAAAAGTAACAAAAAAATGAAGAAAGAAAAAGATTCATAACAATACAAGTGATGGATAAAAAAAGAGATGAGGATAAACTGATGCAGCATCTTTGGGATGAAGGAAGTGATTGTAAGAGGAAAATGTTGACGTTGTTTATGGTCCGAGGAGTGCAAATGGATCACTTAAGGTTGTTATTGCCTCTGTTGATTATTTCATCCAAATATATTATCATCATCATCTCCATTATTGTGATTAGCAGGACAGTAAATGGTTAATATTTTTATTCCCAGAGACATAAATCCCTTTGCATCCCTTTTCTGTTGTATCAACTCCGATGGTGGCGGTGGATTAGTAATAAACATGATAAAACCCTCCAAGCACCAACATGACGCTCTCATCATCATCATCATCTTTATCTTCATCCTTCCTTTTATCTCTATCACTCTATTGCTCTCTCTCTCTCTCTCTCTCTCTCTCTGGTGATAACCTTATTAATCTTGACTTTTGTATTCACTTTTTTTCATCTTCTCATCAATAGGTCAAGTTGATCACTTTTTTCTCTCTCTCTCTCTCTCTCTCATCGATTTTGTACAATTTTCATATTCTATTCTATTGAGAGGAAGTTTAAATAATAACCACAATATAACATCAATTATATCAAAGTGAATATCAACTAATCCTCAAAGGGATTGATAATATTATTATTATCCAATCAATTGATTAACATTCAAGTGGATGGTGAATTAGGATGCGGATAAAATCACAACAAACGTTCAATGTTGTTAAATGTTCACATGTTAACACATCAATTTAAATGTAAATCAACAAATTAGAAATTTAATTTTCATCATCATCAGTGAGAAAGAAAGAGAAGAGAAGAGAGAGAGAGAGAGATCATTATAAAGATGAGGATGCTTTTTGGGCGTTGGTCTATGCAACTACTGATACAATTGAGTCAAAGTCCTTTTAATCCTTAAGATTGTAAACAAAATGAAGATACAATTAAAAAGATTAACATTAATCCGGATTGTGTATCTTTTTATTATCATAATAATATAATTAACCAATGAGAAGATTATCTGAGGATTAACATGATTAACTGATTTTACAAAAGGATTTCATTGAAATTCACTACAATTAAATGATTGTTACTTTTTTTTGTTTATCAAGCTGTTTTAATTGTGAAGCAATTAGGATTATCTACTTAATCCAGTAATTGTCAATGAATTGTTCAGTTTCAAACTAATCTGGTTGTTGAAAATTATATAAACGTTATATCATTAAATTAATTAACTAATCAAAGCTGATTCGTGGTAATCAAGGTTAACTAATATTTTATTCAATAATAAGCTTTTTTGTTAACAACAATTTAAGTTAATCAACAAACAAGTTGGAAGTTGATTGTCATAAGATTGTGTTAGTTAAGTTAATTGTAGACAAACCTTGAAAAAGGTAAACAAACAACTTAAGGTTTAACCTTGATTAAATTAACAAGATTGTTAACTAATCAACTTGATTCTCATGTTAATCAATTTTAATTTAATTCATTCAAATGTTTCAATTTTCAATTGTTATCAAATTTCTGATGATTCAATTCAATCACCAAATAGTTGTAAGGTAAATGATTTAGTTGATTGTTTACTTTCATTGATTTTGATTACAATCCAACAACAATTAAATGATTAGTTGAACCTTTTTTTTGATTATTTTGTGATTGATTTAACCTTCATGATAATATCATCATGTTAATCATAATCAAATTGATTAATTGCTTATTTCCGATGTATAAATGAACAAGATCTTAATTGTTACACAATTTAATTGAGAGAAAAAAAGTTTCAGTTTCAATTTAAAGCTCTCAGTTAATTACTAGTTATCAGTTAATCAGTTTCAATGAGTTTTAATTAGTGTAGGAGTAAAAAGTTAAGTTGAAATCAGTTAATTGTTGTTGGTAAGTAACCAAGTAAATGCAATTGAGATAATTGAATAATATAAACTGGAATTCATGATGAAACTGAGTCGCCATTTAATCAGCCTTTCATTGAGTATATGTTGAGTTCGTCGCCATCTTGGATTCTCATGAATCTTCACCATGAACGAAGCTCATTTTATATCAGATTAGAACTGAGTTCCTATCATGATGATCATGATCACGAAATGTCATTGGCCGAGAAGATGAAAATAGGAGAAGCCTGGAAATGGATAAACATTGAATAGAAACTGAATTAATCAGAGATTGCGTATTAAACTATTATGATTAACATGTAACAATTGATTATCCAATTGCTTAATTTTACTATTAAATGATAATTAGTTAATGATAATCAATCAACACTCCAAACAATTTGAATCATTAGTTAACATTAAGCCAGAAAAAGTGAATAAAATAATAATATTATTTTGTTTTCAGAATTTGGTAATTACAATTTCATAACTTTTTCTGTTCTAATTTTTTTTTCTTGCTCTTTTCGCAATCACTGTGATTAAATCAATCAAAATGATTAAGTGATCATGTTAATCTATTGATAGTAAATGTTAACACAATTAACTTTGTTGTGTATTTAATAAGTTGATGTTATTTAAACTTGAACATCAGAATCACTTCTCAAGATTAAGTTAATCCAGGAAAAAGCAGTAAAACTTTATATTAATATTGTGAATTGAATTAAGTGGTTACTGTGTTTACATTAAATATACAATGATGATGATGATGATGATGGTAAAGATGAAGATGAAAAAAAGATGAGGATGAAAAGTAAGCAAAACCTACAGAGGAAGAAAAAAAAATAACTGTAACCTTACAAGAAGATTTGATCAACAAAGTGGCAAAAATGTCAATGTGGTTTCAACATAATCTCAATCAATACAATAATAAGAGGGATGAAGATGATAATTATGATGATGAAAAGGATGATGATGAGGAGAGGAAACTGAATATATATGAAAATAGATGTACAGTTAACATAATTAAGCTGAGTGACCTGTGATCGATGTTGACCCTTGGATGATTTAATCCCATTCACACAAGTTGATTACTGAAATATTATCAGAAAAATGTTTCCAAACTATTAAAGTATAATAACAATTGAGATTATTATTATCATTGATTTGGTATGGATATTGATCATTATTATGATTGGAAAGTTTAATTGTATTAACTGTTTCAAATTGAAGTTATCAATCAATGATGAGCATTATATTGTATTTAAAAAGTGATTTAATGATTTAGAAATTGTTAAAGGAGAAAGATGATCAAAGAGGAGGTAGAGGGTGGAAATTGATGATGGGATGAGGATGAGGATGATGATGAAGATGAAGATGATGCAAATAACATTGAGATTGATTGTTAACATTGACAATCTAATGAATAAGTTGGGAGGGAAATGAATTATAACTGGGAGTGAATAACAACATCAATGGGATTGACATTGACTCTTGACAAGATACTCGGATGAAAAGGATGATAAAGAAAGAAACAATGAAGATAAAGATGAAAATGTCTTCAGAGTTTTCCATCACTAAGATGGACAGTCCATTGGGTCAGTACAAATATTAAAAGAGAGAGAGAGAGAGAGAAATCGAAAGTGGAAAAAAGTTGTAAAAGAAAATAATATAATCTTTTCATATTGATTATCTTTCCATTCCAATCTTTTAATTGTGCTGATAAATTTTCTGATTGTAAATTCCAAGTGCAATTTAATTCGATAACAATTGGATTAATAGGAAGTTAAATTTGATGATAATTCAAATGATTCAACTGATATTGTATTGAGAAAATTATTATTATTTTCATCCTCATTTTCATCTTCTCACTTATCAAGATTATCTTTATCATTCTGTTTACATTTCGATATAAATAATGAACAATATAAATGTCCAAATGTCGCATTGACCATTTATAACCTTATCATCTTTTCACATAACAATAAGAATGATAATATTTGCAAGTTTATGAAGATTTATCATCAGCATCACTTAATTTTATCTCATTATCCTTATCATCTTCATCTTCATCATTGACCATTTACCTTATTATTTTTAAAGCTTAATAAACGTTGAGCAAAAACAACCAGAAAAATTTCATCCTCATCCTGAAAGTTATTTTAATCATCATCAAATTTAAACACATCTCACTTGATTAACTAATCGTTAATCATTATCCCTGCATCAATCAATACCATTAATAGTAAACCATAAACCACAATTTAACCTTTGAATTTAATTTCACTCTCGGCAATTTGAATGTCAACCTGCTGAGGATAAGGTGAAATCGTATTGATCTAATTAATTGATTGGTAATCAATATAATCAACAAGATGGTGATGATAATGATCATGTCGATTAAGATGAGCATGTCATCAGCTCTGCAAAGCATCATGAAGATGATGAGTAAAAAAGTGATGCGGATGAAGATGCTTCTTATAGGATTTTGGAATAGAAAAAAAAATTCTGTTCTCTCTCCATGGAAGATGAAAATATTATGAATTAAATTTTTTCCATTTGATTTCTATTCTAATTCATTAAGACAATCAGATAATTTATTATTTTATTATTATTAAATTTCTGTTAAAATGAAATGATCATTATCTCAAAAGTCATAAGCATCCATTTGGAAGATGAAAATTTAGATGAAGATGAAAAAAAATATATAAACATAACAATGGAAAAATTTTGCATCCTCATCACTTTTAATCCTATTTGGTGAATGATTAAGTTGATTGTTGGATTGGAAAATAATTTAATTTAATTTGATAAATGATATTTGGTTGGTGAGGATAACATTTACATTAGATTAAGCTTTTGATAATGTTAATATCATGTTGATGTTTATTAAAATAAATTGTTGCTATTAAATTTCATTTAAACACCTCAATCAAATTAACCATAAAAATAACAATCAATGAATGAATTAGTGATTGATAATAATAGTTACTCAACAATTAAACAAGTGAAAATTGAAACAATTTCAACAATGATCCTTATGAATGATGATGAGACACAATTATGAGAGTAAAGGTTTACGACAATTAAGTTAATTGTTACGAAATTATGAAGAAAGAAAATTTTAAATTTTATTATATCATTAACGGTACTTTTTCCAGTATCATCAATATCAAAGTGATGACATTTTTATTGTCCACTTTAGAGAGTAAGAAGTAAAGTCTTTTAAAAAGATGTCATTTTTATATCTTCCTTTTATCATCATCATCATCTTCTTCTTCATCTTCATCCCATTATCTTCATCAGGAGCAGTTTCAATTAGAAGATGAGAAAACATTAACTGAAGATGAAGATGAAGAAACTTCCGTTATAAACATATCACAATGGACTTTATTCAACTGATGAAATGAGATGAAGGATGATGATGATGATTGGACTTCTCATCATCTTGCAAAAAGAAAATGTTATCCTTTCATCTTCCTTATCATCATTATCTTCTTATTCATACCCTCAGTTGGGTCTCTCTCTCATCATCATACGACTCATTTAGTTTTTACCGTTATTATTACAAATACATTTCAATGGACCAAAAGACTTCAATTAATCTTATCATTTAGTATCATCATTTTGGATTAACTTTCATTCATCTTGTTGTTGTTTTTTTAATTGTAATCATCTCAATGTCCATTAGTTAATTATCATTGCAACTCTTTTGTTTTTTGCTTCTTTCTAATCAACAATTTAATCCAAATTTGTCCACATACGCAAATTGATGGTAGAGTAAATTTAACTGTTCATTTTGATTTAATTGTGCGTCTACATTGATTGTGATTAACTTTTTTTCCTTCACAATTTGATTAATCTTCTTATAGATCACGTTTTTGAGTTAGTTAATTGTTTATCTAACTGACCTGTTCTTGACAGATCTCATTTAGACCCGGTATCATTTGGCTTATTGGTTAATCTACTTTTAATCCAGTTAGTAAATTAACATTTGATTATCTAATTAGATGATTCATTTGACTGGTTATTGAGCAAGAGCATTTTTTTCAAACTTCAATTTATCACATTGAGTAGTTTTTTTTTTGATAATCAGTTCTGATTGTTTCAAATTGTATTCAAAGTTTTGAACAATTAATGGGAATTGATTAGGTTTCACTTGTGTGATTGAATTTGTACATTTTCAACAGTAATTAACTTGATTGCTTTGGGCTAGATAACAACATGATTGGCAGAATATCAAAAATGTTTACAAAAATAATCATATTCTTTGTAGGAAAATCAATAATTCATAAGGGGAGAGAAAAAATAGATTTTCAAGATGATTTAAATATCTTTACAATTTAGAACGAAAAAATTAAGACGATTGTGAACATTTCGATGCTCGAAAAAGAGAGAGAGAGAGAAAGAAAAAGAGAGAGATACAAAAGATGAATAGAAAATGTTCAGATAGAGCGATCGATCTTTGAGAAGAGAAAAAAATAATATTCGATTGGATATTGATGATTAACACTGATTAACACAATGGAAAGTCGGACTAGAGATTATCTCTGTGATGGGAGGTCAGGCAAGATTGACGATGGCGATGAGAAGGATAAACAAAATTTTTATGGAAGAAAACAAAAAGTTGATGTAACCAGAATGAGAGATGAAAATCAGGATAAAAGCGCCAATGATTATCATGGATAAATGAGATACACTGTTGGTGAATAAATCAAACAGTTAACAGGCGTTGATGTTTCTCAGATGATTTTATCTTGTTAAATTGTAATAACTGTGACGAATTAAGTTGACATAAAGCGAGTAGCCCATCCCGAGGAGAATCCTCAGCACATGCCCAATCAGAATCCTATGGAATTAAATAGATAACAAAAGTCAATCAATTCATTTTCATCTTCATCATTTGTTGTAAATAAACAGCAAAAGTATAAGTGTTCATGTTGTTACCATGAAATAGGTTGGAAGGATAGACGATAACCAGATTCCCATGGAAACATCTTCGCCCTTAGGGTAGGAAAGTGAGAGAGAGAGAAAATATTTAAATGATTAACTTGGACAATCAATTGATCTTTAAACTAAATTAGATTTTCTTACTTGATAGTAGTGAAGATAATCTTTATTACTGTTAATCCATTTGGCGATATCAATTGATATTACATAACCAGAACCACAAGCGAATGATGGATAAACAGAACCAGGGAAATCATTTTCAGACCATTTACCATAGATATTGATTAAATTGTTCCGCCTGAAACTGTTTAGTAATTGATATTCACAATTAGTTGACAGTTGATTTTACTTTTTGCTTCATTGTGTTGACCATCACTTACTTTCCCCACCAAATTGATTCTCGACTGGTCAGTAATTTAATCTTAGAAGTTACTTTTTCCAAATCAATGAAACAATCATCATCAGTTTTCAAGATGAAATCAGCAAATTGTAATGATGATGATGATGATGAGACTATCCTATTGATGAAAAACAAAAGTTTACAGTTAAATTAATGAGTTTATGATCAGTTGATTACTTGGACTCACCAACTAATAGCATTGACTAATTTTCTTGGTAAATTACGATAAATATCAACATTATCAACCAAAATTATATCATTGAATTGATTGATTTCATCTTGTAATTTACTTTCTATCAGATTTAATTGATTAATGTGATTTGTATGGACTTTTTTTGCATCCCTAATGATTTTCCGATATTCATCTTGATCTGATTAAAGAAAAACAAAGAAATTAGTATAATAATAATGATTTAATCAAGATAGAGTTCAAGTGCATGATTAGTATTATTATTACCTGATAATTCAACCACAAATGATGTTTTCACTTGATCATTTCCGTTGAATTTTTTTGACTCAAAATCATTAAGATCATTATAAACCTGAAGTAAGAAAAATAAGAGATTATTTCAATTCTGATGCTAAATTTACTGATCAATCTGATTGAATGATCAATAGGAAACAAGGTTAATCACTAACCCTAAGTGTTTGAGTGAGTTTTGTAAATTGATTCCAATAGTTAATTTGTTTGGGTTGACAATTGGAATCATCTTTTCCGGTTGCAATCAGTAATCCAATGAATCCTTTTGGAAGAAGTAAAATGGGCGAGGCATCTTGATAATTATATCCATGGAACTGACCACTTACTGACCCAAAGCTTTGATTATATAAAATTTCCTATGGAAAAATAGATTAACCGAGAAGAAAAAATTAGAAATCAAATTGAACAAACTAGACTTTGACTCTCTCACCTGAGTTATCACATTGGTCAGAATTATATTATCACAGGTACATGAGGCCAGGCAACCGATACGTTTCAATAAGAGATCATGATGAACCTGAAAGAGCAAAAAATAAGGATAAATTTCATGATAATTGTTGTATAATTGTGATTGAATAGTTTACCTTGAATGAGAATCCATTGAAAATGATGAGCCGTTCAGGTGAATTGATTGATACCTGAAGATGACTGGAAATGTTTGTCTTTAAATCTTCCGTTTCATTATGGACCAAAGATGAGCAACCAAATTTGTCTTCAAGATAATCTTTGGGTACCTGACAATCAGAATTGCCAAGAACAAAGTAAGATTTAATTGTCACCCCAAGATAATCAACACTCTTAACCCATGATTCCCTCAACACTTTTCTTGCATTAAAATTGGATCGACTTGAAAGAATCAAAACAATCAAGTGAATAGTTTCATTTTTTCAGAAAATAGTAGCAAATCATTTCTACCATGATCACTGAGTAACCTGTAAACAGATAAACTGATGAAAATCACAATTAAAGATGAAATTAATAACCATTGGTAAGAAAATAACATAACACAAACCAACAATTAACTCTCATATGTTTACATTTATAGAGAGATTGAAAAGGTTCAATAGTTACAAAAGGTGAGAAAATTATTTAAACACTGTAAAGATTATCACGATAATAGATTATTTAATAACAGTGTCTAAAGAAAATCATGGTTCAATGATGGAGATAAATTGTCACAATCAATTTAAGTTAATTAATGTTCATCATAAACACAATGTTTACATTAAGAGAAAAGCTAAAAACTGGTTAACATTTACCAGTTTCATGTTCGCTGCTTTTTATGCCGAAAATTATTCTCTTTATGCTTTATGCTTTTCTTCTTTTCCATTGGTTTTCATGTTAACTGAGAAAAAGAATAAATGGTAAAAAGCATAAGCGCACAATTCGAAAGCATAATTGGCATAATTCTTATGCTGTTTATAAGTCGAGTTAATGTTTTTTACCATTAACACTTTTCATCTTCCAACAATCAACTTTAATTTTCTTCTCTACTTTAACCATGATTTAGTTAATTGTTAACTTGTTGTTTACCTGGAAAAAGTATATTTGTTGTACATGTTGATTATTCAACAAGTCATTTAATTGAATTTAATTTCTATCTCCATCTTCATCTATCTTGGTGTCTCTCTGTTTATTATTTTGTTTTTGGTTCTTCCAATGTTTTCAAATCTTTTAATTGTGACTTTAATTTAATTATTTTGGTGCCATTTAAAGGTAAATTGGACTATCTTAATCACAATTTATCTGGTAATTGATAGTTAATTCTAATATTCTATCAACGATTTACTCAGATCTGGTTAATCTCTTTGTGTCTGTGGTTTTCTTTTTTTGGGCTTCCATTTTAATCGCCATCTTAAAACCCGGTAATTTGTTTTTTCTATTTCATTTAATTCTTTCAACTAATTACTCTTCTTCTTTAATTTAATAATCAACAAGTTTACATATTGAAAGGTGACAATCACAAGATATTTTTCAGAGTTCGTCTCATCTTCTGGTTGTAAATTCAGCTTGAGCTTGTTTATTTAACCCGAACTCTAGTAATGAGATGTAAACAGTTAATTGTGGTTTTTTAGTCTATTTTTGATACTTTAGCTTTTGGAATCAAAGATAATTCATAGGAATTACCATGAAATTAAGTGTCTATTTTCTACTGCAATTATGGACTTTTGGCCTGTTCATGTTGACAAATGGAAATCAATCCAGTGGTGAGTAAATATAATGTTCTATTCTTTTTTTTCCCTTCCCTAAGCAACAGTAGAAAAGAACATTTTATTTTCTTAGAATATGTAGAGTTATGTTCTTTCCTCCTTTTCTATTTATAACCACAAGTAATTCGTTCATTTTTTTTCTTCTCTTTTTTTCCACCATAATTGTAATTCCATGATTTTGTTTTTTCTCCTTTCTCAGGATCAATTTATCCACAAGATCTTTTAGTTTTAACCGTTGCCACTAATCCAACTGATGGATTTCTCAGACTTAATCGGTCACTTCATCTATTTGAACATCGATTCGAGGTGAGTACATTTGAATTTCCTCATGATTTAGATGTTAATTAACTTGACCAATTAATCTTCTTCAGGTTCTTGGGCTTAATGAACCTTGGGTCGGTGGAGATGTCGCTACTTCACCCGGAGGAGGTCAGAAAGTTAATCTACTAAGAAAAGCTCTGGAAAAATATTCTAAAGAGCAAAATCTAATTATCTTATTTATCGACAGGTAAATGAATTGGAATTTCTAAACTATCATTAGTCACATAATCTCAACTTTTTCATGTTCTCTCTTTGAATTTTATAGTTACGATGTTATCATAAATTCTAAACGTGAAGAAATTCTGGATCGATTCAACACACTAGGAGCTAAAGTCGTTTTCTCAGCTGAAGATTTCTGTTGGCCCGATCCATCACTTGCCGTATGTTTTAGTGAATAATTCGCGAACAATTTGTTCAGATTGTTTTTCGTTCGATTTCATTAATTTTCATTCTTTTTCTCATCTACAGAAAGATTACCCTGACAAAGACAAAGAAAATATTGGCCATCGTTACCTGAACTCTGGAGGTAAAAGTTGATTTTGATTCTGATTATTTAGTGATTGAAATTACTCAAAATAATTAATCTTATTTACATTTAACTCTTTATTTTCCTTGATTCTCATTATCATTATTTTTCGCTTCGTGTGTGTTTGCAGGGTTCATTGGATTGGCTCCTCAGCTTTACGAGATTGTCACAAGTTCCGCAATAAAAGATACTGATGATGATCAATTATTTTACACGAAAATTTACCTGAATAATGAACTTAGGGTAAAAAAGATTACTTTAGATGAAAAGAGAGATAATAATAAAATCTCTCTCACATGAGTTCATCATTCCTTGAAGAACGAAATTAATCATCTCTCTTTCTTTCCTCTCTTCTTCCTCTCTGTTAGACTAAATGGTCCATCAAGCTAGATCATAAGGCAGCCATTTTCCAAAATCTTCAAGGAGCTGTTGGTGATGTTCAGTTAAGGTTCAATGACGATGGTTGGGCCAGCGTTCATAATGCAGCATTCCAAACGGATCCTGTAGTTATTCATGGTAACGGTCTCAGTAAGGTAATAAGATTCATCTAAGAAACACGAACGGAGTATCATGAAGATTATAATTTACAAACTTAACAGTTGACAAGTTTTTCCTCTTCAATTCTAAATTCAACCTGAACTTACGTTTGAATATTATTATCTCACTTAATTCTCTCTCTCTCTCTTTACTGTCAATAGGTAGTACTTAATTCATTAGGAAATTATATTGCCAAATCATGGTCTACCAAGCATGGTTGCTCCTCTTGTCAAGACAATCGTATAAGTTTGGATGATAAAAAGGTAATGAAATTAAAAGAGTTATTGATATAAAGATTTGAATAATTCATAGATAATGAAGAACAAAGTTAATTAACTGAAAATATGTTACTATTTAAAAGGCAGCAATCAAATTTTCTACATGGCTTTTGCATATTCTGATTATCATGAAGTGAATGAACGTTATAGGAATTATCTTCATTTAAGAAAATGGAACATATGATTCAGTGATAAAAGAAAAAGAACCATTTCTGCATGATGATGATGATGATTATGATGATAATATGATGAACATCATGATGACAAACTAACAAATTTGCTTACATTGTCTTTTCCTATTTACAGGCTGATGAATTTCCTTCAGTTTTAATTGGTATCTTCATCATTCATCCTACTCCATTCATAGAAAGCTTTTTCAACAGAATCGTTCAATTAATTTACCCAAAGGAAAAGATTAGCCTGATCATTTATAATAAATCAGCCTATCATGATAAACATGTAGCTGAATTTGTTAAGCATAATACCAGTGTTTATGCTAATGTTAATGTGCTACCAGATTCAGTTGACAAAGATTGGCAAGCAAGAAACATGGCTATGTAAGCATCTTAATTAGATAAATTTAATCAATATCAATATTAATTAATCCTTTTTAATTGTTTTCTCAGGGAGGAATGTGTCAAGATTAACTGTGATTACTATTTCTCAATTGACTCGGATGCACGTCTTAACAATACTAAAACTCTGATTAGTTTAATCGAGCAGAATAGGTAAGTGATTAATATAATTAGGAAAAAAAAAATGAATTACCCAAACGAAATTAATTGTTGTGATGTGATTTTGATTTTGATTGAATCAATTTTTTCATCTCTTTTTAATTGGGTGATGATAAAAATAATTTGAGTAAAACAATCTGTTCATTGCTGCTCATTTAGCTCAAAAATATATAAACAAAATTAAAACATTTTCATTTTAAAAAATGATAACTGTAATTAATTGACAATCTTAATTGTGATCATTTCTTTTAGGCGCATTATCGCACCGCTACTTGTCCGTCCTGGTAAACTTTGGTCCAATTTTTGGGGAGCATTGTCATCTGATGGTTTCTACTCACGATCTCATGATTACGTTGAAATCATCAAGAATGAAAAAAGGTAAACAAATGATACAAAAAAATATTTCTCATTTTCACTTGAGTAAGAAGAAGATTTAAAGATGATTTATGTAGATTTAACAATGGATAATCCAAATTGAGATATCACATCCATGGACACAACACTCTTTTGCTAATTCTAATTGTTGAAAAGATAGAGAGAGAGAGAAAGAAAGAAAGAGGTTTGATTTAATGATTAGTGTTGTTGAGACACTTTGATAAAGGTTTCGGAAACGGAACTTACCTCGAGCTGATGATAATCTAATCTTGCCCACACCTCCTTTAATTGCGAAATCATTCATTTCACTTTGACGCCTTGCAACTGAACACACCATAGATAGAACACCATGTAGCTCACCCACTGTACACGCTTTATAAACTTCGCACTCAACGTAATTGCATGTTAAGCTGATGGTTAGGAAAAGAATGAGTATATTTGATGAGAAACTCATCTTGATTGATTTAATACAATACACAATTTTTTGTAATTTCCTTCTTTTTAATATAACCTTCCAAGGGAGCTTAGTGATTGTCTTGAATCTTATCGCTGACCAACCATTAGAAAGGTCAAGAAAGGTGAAGATGATGATAATTTTGTCAACGTAAAAATCATCAACAACCAATGACCATGTTGCTACTTGTCTTATTGATGATTATTGGTTTACAACCAAAGGTTTTAACAATTAACTCATTCAATTTAACAATGACAATTTTATAGAAATACAATTGTAACAGTAATATCCAATCATCACAACCTTATGACTAAATTGCAATTGTAAAATTGCCACTAGAAATGCTTTCTTTTTATCTAATTGTTTCAAAGAGTAATGTGATAACGAATCGAATGCTAATTTATTAAGAAAAATCCTTTTCCATATTTAATCGAGTAATTTGATCAAATAATCAAACAGATTGAACAGGTAACATTAATTAAATGTTGAGAATTGATTTTTGCCCATCAGGTTAATTTGATTGGTAAACAATTAAAATTACAATACTTTCCAAAGAGTAGTAACTTATATTACTCTTTGATACTTTCACTCTCTCTCCTAATCAACTAATCCTTTTTAAATGATGAAACGGATATAATTTTAGTATTAATATACGAAAGATTAACTGTTGATCATAAATTGCAAATACTTAACTTTCTCTCTTGTATTTTTCTGTGTTAATGTCAACTCTTTCAATTAAATTGTTGAAGTAAAAATCATAAGCCAATGAAATGGAAACAATTTAATTTCTTGTTGAGAAATCATTTTAAATTGTAGCTTGTTGTTGTTGATTTAATTAGAAATCAGTTTTAAAATGTCTCTGATCAATTGCATATTTATTATTGGCTTGACACATATAATTTCCTGAATCCATTTGTCGAGCTGGATCAATTTCGAGTTTACTTTTAATCGCTTATTTAATTACTTGACAATTAAATTAATAGTATCTCTTTTTGTTCAATGATTCAATCAAATTGACTACCATTTTGAGATTCTCATCCATAACCAGTAATCCGATGTTACCTTGATTTCATATCCTTGAACTTAATCTAGGCCACATCTTAATTTCTTTAATTGCCTTCGGCTATTCAAATTATCTTATCTTTTACTTGCTATTCTTTTCCTTAGGAGTAAAATAGAGCTGAATATCAGCGTTACATCAACGAATCAGCGATTAATGAATTGAAATCACAAACTATCAGTTGAAAATTTAGTTACACTGGTATTTTGTATTTGCATCGGAAAATTTTACTCTTGAAATTGTTTTGACAAATTTTCAACGATTATACAATTTTATCGTTTTCATGATCAAATTCATTATTAATTTGATTAACTGAGTTGGCCAGAATTTGTAATGACGATTCTCTTGCTAGGTTTTCCACTTTGACTTCCCATAGCTTCGATTTTCTTGATAACTTCCAGTCCTTCGACGACTGAGCCGAAAACGACATGTCGATTATCTAACCAAGAAGTTTTGACGGTAGTGATAAAAAATTGTGCTCCATTGGTGTTTGGACCAGCATTTGCCATGGAAAGAGTACCAGGACCAGTGTGTTTGAGTGTGAAGTTTTCGTCCTCAAATTTGTTTCCATAAATTGATTGACCACCGGTTCCATTGAAGTTGGTGAAATCACCTCCTTGGATCATGAAATTTGGGATAACTCGATGGAATATTGAATTTTTGTAACCGAAACCCTTTTCTCCAGTACATAAAGCTCGGAAGTTCTCAGCGGTTTTTGGTACAACATCAGATCGCAACTAATCAAGACATGAGAAGAAATTAAATTATCCAGTGAAAAATATAACCAGCAAACAAAGAGGAGATAAACTTCAACCTCAACCTCGAACTATTACAAATTAGAATTTTAAAATCACTTACCTCCATAACAAATCGACCTATGGGATGATTGTCCGCTGCAATATCAAAGAAAACTAGTGGAAGTCTACAAAAAACACTATCAACAATCAATAGAGTCAGAAGAACTTTTATCAAACACTTTGTCGCCATTTTTATACAGAATAATAATATGAAAATACTCTCAAGTTTATCTCAAAGGATGTAGAATGTAAATGAAATCAGTTCCTCATTGATGATCTCGTTTTATGTGAAAACGAAGATGAAACTTGAATGAGTCTAAACTTGAATTCAATGAAAAGTCATTGAACTTTTATCATGAGGGATATAAAAAAGGGTTAAATTAAATCTTAGCTCATGATGACCTTTTCAAGTTTAATTCTGTTAAGATCAATATTTAAAAGATTAACCGATTCTAAAGCGCAAATGATTAACTTTCTGTCTTAAATGTCATCCCTTTCAATTCAATTGTTGAAGTACAAATCATCAGTCAATTAAATGGAAACAGTTTAATTTATTGTTGAGAAATCAGTTTTAATTGCGATAGTCTGTTGATCTAATTAGAAATCAGTTTTAAAATGTCTCTGATCAATTGCATATTTATTATTGGCTTGACATATAATTTCCTGAATCCATTTGTCGAGCTGGATCAATTTCGAGTTTACTTTTAATCGCTTATTTAATTACTTGACAATTAAATTAATAGTATCTCTTTTTGTTCAATGATTCAATCAAATTGACTACCATTTTGAGATTCTCATCCATAACCAGTAATCCGATGTTACCTTGATTTCATATCCTTGAACTTAATCTAGGCCACATCTTAATTTCTTTAATTGCCTTCGGCTATTCAAATTATCTTATCTTTTACTTGCTATTCTTTTCCTTAGAGTAAAATAGAGCTGAATATCAGCGTTACATCAACGAATCAGCGATTAATGAATTGAAATCACAAACTATCAGTTGAAAATTTAGTTACACTGGTATTTTGTATTTGCATCGGAAAATTTTACTCTTGAAATTGTTTTGACAAATTTTCAACGATTATACAATTTTATCGTTTTCATGATCAAATTCATTATTAATTTGATTAACTGAGTTGGCCAGAATTTGTAATGACGATTCTCTTGCTAGGTTTTCCACTTTGACTTCCCATAGCTTCGATTTTCTTGATAACTTCCAGTCCTTCGACGACTGAGCCGAAAACGACATGTCGATTATCTAACCAAGAAGTTTTGACGGTAGTGATAAAAAATTGTGCTCCATTGGTGTTTGGACCAGCATTTGCCATGGAAAGAGTACCAGGACCAGTGTGTTTGAGTGAAGTTTTCGTCCTCAAATTTGTTTCCATAAATTGATTGACCACCGGTTCCATTGAAGTTGGTGAAATCACCTCCTTGGATCATGAAATTTGGGATAACTCGATGGAATATTGAATTTTTGTAACCGAAACCCTTTTCTCCAGTACATAAAGCTCGGAAGTTCTCAGCGGTTTTTGGTACAACATCAGATCGCAACTAATCAAGACATGAGAAGAAATTAAATTATCCAGTGAAAAATATAACCAGCAAACAAAGAGGAGATAAACTTCAACCTCAACCTCGAACTATTACAAATTAGAATTTTAAAATCACTTACCTCCATAACAAATCGACCTATGGGATGATTGTCCGCTGCAATATCAAAGAAAACTAGTGGAAGTCTACAAAAAACACTATCAACAATCAATAGAGTCAGAAGAACTTTTATCAAACACTTTGTCGCCATTTTTATACAGAATAATAATATGAAAATACTCTCAAGTTTATCTCAAAGGATGTAGAATGTAAATGAAATCAGTTCCTCATTGATGATCTCGTTTTATGTGAAAACGGAGATGAAACTTGAATGAGTCTAAACTTGAATTCAATGAAAAGTCATTGAACTTTTATCATGAGGGATATAAAAAAGGGTTAAATTAAATCTTAGCTCATGATGACCTTTTCAAGTTTAATTCTGTTAAGATCAATATTTAAAAGATTAACCGATTCTAAAGCGCAAATGATTAACTTTCTGTCTTAAATGTCATCCCTTTCAATTCAATTGTTGAAGTACAAATCATCAGTCAATTAAATGGAAACAGTTTAATTTATTGTTGAGAAATCAGTTTTAATTGCGATAGTCTGTTGATCTAATTAGAAATCAGTTTTAAAATGTCTCTGATCAATTGCATATTTATTATTGGCTTGACACATATAATTTCCTGAATCCATTTGTCGAGCTGGATCAATTTCGAGTTTACTTGTAATTTGATTATCTCCAACTCGCCATTCAGATACCTGTGATTAAAAATGATAATAATCACAATTAGAATCAAATTAACAACCTTCAAAGATTTGAATCTACAAAAAGTCAACAGAAAACTAAAATTATGAAATGATTATTCATGAATTCATAAATTTATGAGAATCATATAGACTTTTATTTCTTTCTGTAAATTGTTGATCTACATAAACATTAAGAAATAAAATGACCTCTCATTTGCTTGATAGATGGACAATTTTTTCCATTGACCATCACCGAGAATCATCATCACTTGTAAATAGAGAGATAAACATGAAGAACCCATGAAATATGATTCCGAGGTTTTTCCATTCAATTTACAGTTGACTTAATTTCTGTGACATTTTTCACAACACAATCGCAATTCTGTCTCAACAAAACTTTCTCACTGACCATCAGTAACCTTATACTGACCCTTTTTTGTCGTTTAAATGTATTATAGACCAAAAGATTTGATAAATTGTTAACAAGAAGTTGTTTTCCCTCAACGATTACAATTTAAAAATCGAAAACACAATTAACAGGATAAGAGTGTAAGTGAGAGATTGTTTCATCTTTCAAGTATCATTTTGATTCACCAACAATTAACTTCTCATCTTTGAACCATTAATTAAGAGTAACTGTCAACTCAACAATCAGCCAATTTTCTGATGCAATCAAAGTTAATTCTCCCGTTGATTTTTGATTGTTGTTAACTCTTAATTATCTCTTGTTCATTAATTCTCTCCAACTGATTATCCTAATACTTTTCATCTTCTACTCTTCCTCTAATCGATTTAATCGTTTCTAAATCATCTTGTAAATTATTTATTCATTTCTTACTCATTATTCATCATCATCTTTTCCTCTTCCTCCAACTTCCAATGCATTCATAATGATTCATTGAGATTTTCTTCTAAAAACACTCTTCAATTCAGAAGAAAAGAACAAGGAAGAAAAAACTACTTACTACATCCTCATCTCTCTCTCTCTCTCTCAGCATCATCATCTTCTTCTTTCTCTTTGTCATCATGTCCTTGATTTAAAAAAAGAAAACTTTTCTACTCTAATTTTTTTTCTAAATGATAATATAACATATTTTTTACTCTTGTGCTTGATTAAATTTCACTTTCAAAACATTGGCCTCAAATGTTCCGTGTTAATCTAGTCAGTGCCGTTTCCTGTTCCTCTTTATCCTCCATCTCTCTCCTTTCTCTTGCAAATCTCCATCTCTTCCTGAATTTCTCTCTCATGAGTCCCCTCATCCTAATCAAGATCACGATGATGATCATCAAATCTAATCAAAAGTTGCCAATATAAATTGACTTTGATTTTTTTCTTCCACAAATTTGATAAAATTTTCCTTAGAGACTTGTAAAGATATTCATCTTTTCAAAGGATTAACTTAATTGTTTAATGGTGATTTATGATTACCATCTAATAATTTGCCTTTGATTTGTTATTATTACCTATTGATTGCTTTCAATATTTATCATCAACTAAAAACCATCCAAACATGTTTACCTGTAGAAATGGATGAAATATAATCTCGATTCCATCCTTGAACCAAGTTATCCTTGGGATTGGATCTCCTCTCGCCATACAGATTAACTTAATCTTATGTCCAAGAAAAAATTCACTATCAAAATGTGATGCTTTCAATATATTAGCTCCCTTTTTGTGTACAATATAAATGTGATGTCCAGATGATGGCAATGAAAAAGAAGAAAAAAAAATGAAACAAGATAAACAAAAAAAATTATCATCATAGTCAATAGAAAATTGATCTTTGATGGTCACTCATTTCCTCATCTTCTATTGACCATTGATTAACAGTAAAAGTAACTCTCTCTCTTTCTCTCGCTCTCCCTCTTCCCGTCTCAATGAATAAATTGCCAACAACAACAACAACGTTTGATTGATTTGTCAATCCATGAATATGGATCAGTGAAGAGCAATTTTTTCCCTTCCATTCCTCATGTCCGGTAATGTCCAGTCCACAACGCAGTCTTTATAATTGCCTCTCAAAATCCCCTGTGAACCCTTCCCTGTATCATAAACACCCTATAACCTTAACCTTATACAATGTTACACAATAATAATAATATATTAGAGATACAAAGATCAACCTATACAAAAATCGTAATCGTAATTGTTATTATTCATTTTTAATAGGAAACAAAAAACTAATAATATTAATTTGCTAATTGCTATTCTTCACAATTTGATCATTAGATGATAATCATTAACCATAATCTTAATCTATCACAATTTAGTTGTTGATTTATTGATGTTTATCGAGAATCAATGATTTGATTACAATAATCAATTTCTACATTTGATTAATTAGTTTTACATTAATGATTATCGATTGATTCAATTGATGATGATACAATTAATTAATATCACTTTGTCTCAACTATAGATTAACATACGATTAATATTTGATTGATTAACTTATTTATTATTGAGGAAAATTGGAATATATTTTGATTTAACTTTTTCTGTTGTGACAATTGATTGGAAATATGAAAGAAAACAATTAACTTGATCATTGATTATTGACAAGGAAGTGACCAGTTATTATTATTGTTATCAATTCTCTGGGATATCTTATCATGTCTTACTTATTGTTATTCATTTAATTCTTGACCATTGGTCAATCCTTTTCAATCAATTGAACATGGTGACAGTTTGATTATTTGGATGATCTTTATAATAATTAATTCAAATGATTAAGGGAATTAACTTACGTCTGGGTGATCATAATAATCTTTAGACTTGGAACTTGTATGATGAATAATTCGAGGTGAATTATATTTACGAATTTTACCTCGAGAAACTGATTTACTTTCCATTCTAATTGTTAAACTACTAATCAATACAATTAGAATTAAATTTAATCTATTGCGATTAATAAACAATCGGTAAACCAGCATATTGATACAAAATCCATAACAAAATAGTTCACAATCACAATTAATCCAAACACATTAAGATTTACAAAGAAATGAATTGAAAATGATGATTTTCACTCTAATTTCCTAAACTCTGCTCGTTTCACATGTAAAAATTAACTTTAACCCAGTTACAATCAATTGAATGGTTGATTATTACTACCAAATGAATATAGTTTCACTTGTAGTCATCAAATTGACAATAATCATGATGATAATTGTTCATTTATCATCATTGGTTTTATAATAAACAAATTCTGATGGTTTTCCTACTTAATCCACTTAAATCAGTAACTTTCTGTGGGCAATATGGTTTAAATAGATTTACAAAAGGTTTTAACAATCAACTTACACAATTTAATAATGATAATTGTATAAGAGTTACAATAATATCCCTTTCGAGTAATTTAATTACATTAGATTGTTGTTAATAATACTATTCGGTGTGTCGAGAGCATCAATTTAATTGAAATCATTTGAAAAGGTTTCCTCTCGTTTTTACATTAACTTCCCATTGTTTATCATCATCATCATCATTTCCATCTTCATCTTTAAAGTGACCACTGTCCAGTATATTTTGTGAACATCTAAAAATAGATTGTCCTTCATTACTTTTTTTATTGCCAATCCAATTGCGATCCTTATTCACGATGATGACGATAACATGATGATAATAATTCATAGCGATTGTATAACCTTATACTTTTTCAGTTGATAATCTAGAGCAATTTATACAAAGTATAACTTGTTTTTATATTACAATGTTGTCATTTGACAATAATATGAATTCTCTTTGATTCATTTTAATTTGATTGTCATCTAATTATTGTAATAATAATTATCAATGAGATACTATCATAAAAATATCGTGATAATATTGAAAAGTTTTTGATATGTTGACAATTTTTAAGAAACAATCAAAAAACTTAATTTGATTTATGTGAATTATAACAATTGATTTTATCGATTGACAGTAACTTAATCATTTCTTGTTGATTATCATTACGATTTAGTTTCTCTCTCCCTCTATTTTATCATTCACATGAGAATGAGTAAATTGTTGATATCCATCAACTCAATATAATACAATGTATTTATCATTATAATCAATTCAAATCTGATGAATACCAGAGATTTGAAGCAATCAAACAAAAAAATCAGGACATGAGATAAAAATTTTGTTGATTTCATATCCTTAATCTTAATCTCGTTTATTGCCTTCGGGTATTCATGTTATTTTATATTTTACTTCCTATTCTTTTCATCAGAAGTTAAATAGAGTTCAATATCTGCGTTATATCAACAAATCAGCGATTAATGTATTGAAATCACAAACTATCAGTTGAAAATTTAGTTACACTGATATTTTGTATTTGCATCGGAAAATTTTAATCTTGAAATGTTTCACTTGACAAATTTTCGACGATTATACAATTTTATCGTTTTCGTGATCTTATAATTAACTCAGTTGGCCAGAATTTGTGATGGTGATTCTCTTGCTAGGTTTTCCACTTTGACTTCCCCAGCCTTCGACTTTCTTGACAACGTCCAGTCCTTCAACGACTGAGCCGAAAACGACATGTCGATTATCTAACCAAGAAGTTTTGACGGTAGTGATGAAAAATTGTGCTCCGTTAGTTCCAGGACCAGAATTGGCCATGGAAAGAGTACCAGGACCAGTGTGTTTGAGTGTAAAGTTTTCGTCCTCAAATTTGTTTCCATAAATTGATTGACCACCAGTTCCATCAAAGTTGGTGAAATCACCTCCTTGGATCATGAAATTGGGGATAACTCGATGGAATATTGAATTCTTGTAACCGAAACCCTTTTCTCCAGTACATAAAGCTCGGAAATTCTCGGCGGTTTTTGGTACAACATCAGGTCGCAACTAATAAAGACAAAAAGAAATTAAATCTTCCAGTACAAAATATTACCAGCAAACTAAAGAGAGGAGATAAACTTCAACCTCAATCCCGAACTATTACAAATTAGAATTATAAAATCACTTACCTCCATAACAACTCGACCTACGGGTTGATTGTCTGCTGCAATATCGAAGAAAACTCGTGGAAGTCGACAAAAAACACTATCAACAATCAATAGAGTCAAAAGAACTTTTATCAAACACTTTGTCGCCATTTTTATACAGAATAATAATATGAAAATACTCTCAAGTTTATCTCAAAGGATGTAGAATGTAAATGAAATCAGTTCCTCATTGATGATCTCGTTTTATGTGAAAACGGAGATGAAACTTGAATGAGTCTAAACTTGAATTCAATGAAAAGTCATTGAACTTTTATCATGAGGATATAAAAGGGTTAAATTAAATCTTAGCTCATGATGAACCTTTTCAGGTTAATCTGAACCTCCATGCTCCACATGCTCATTATTGCTCGAGGCCATTCAGATTATCTCATCAACTTCCTACTCTCTTTCTGGCTTAGCTTTTGATTTAAATGAGTTCAATCTTTAGCAATACAAACATTATCTCACAATATTTTGTATTGATTTTGATTCGATTCAATTTGATTATCATCACAATTCAGTCTCTCTCTCCCTTTTGATTTGATTACTATTCTCATGTTAATATAAACGATAATCATAAACAAATTGTTGATAACCATCAATTGATCAACTCAAAATAATATGTATCATAAATTTATCATCATGACTTTAAATTTAATTCATTGATATATTCACGATAAGGGAGTAAAAAACTTTGTTATCTCTCATTTTCTCAATGTGAATATCATGTTATCATCATGTAAATACTCACATTGGAATGAAAAATATACAAGGAAATTTTTACCAGAAAGATAATATTTAAATCTCTTGATAAAGGAAACACTGAATTATCATAAAAAGTTTGATAAACCGATAACTCGGTAAGATGATTTCAAATTAACCGTAGAAAATCAATTTGATTTGATATATTTTCCCGAATTATCATCATCATCATCATCATTTTAGATGAAGATGATACTTTGATTATCATGAAATGGGAAAACTTTGTTGTTGTTGTTACAATTGATGAAGACTCACAATTTTTACATTAATATATTACATTAACTGATGACATTTATGTTTCATGTATTGATCATTTTGATGACTGATGATGATGATGATATTTTGGATTCTTTCATCAAGAATTGTGATTTGATTGTAGAAATAATAACAATCTATCTCTATATATATCTATTGGAGATGGACTTTGTTTTCATCAATTCCTGAAAGCCAATGATTATTTTTGATTGTCTTTCCATTCTGATAATCAACTTGAATACTATTTTCATTTACAATATTGACCAATTGGTTCAATCGGTCATTTCCTTTATGATATTTATCTGTATTTCCTTTCGGACAATACGATAAATATCAATATTTCATCTTGAGACTTTAATAACCTTCAATATTTATCTCTGTCCATTTGTGGTCAGTTTTCGTTGGACCATTTATATAACGATCGTTGATTTGGTTAAATTGTTATCTATCGATTTATATATTAACATGCTAATTAAATTGATCTTTTTTCATCTTTATCATTTTGATTTCTTAACAGGGGAATCTGGAACGTCCCTCATATAACTGACTGTTATCTCATCAATGGAACCCTATTGAAGGAGGGATTAAGTGGATTAAGTTTGCCCAGTGGAGAAAATTTTGAATCTAATCTGATTGATTCTGATACAATTGATGAGATTAAGGTTAAAGGAGATTCATCTAAAGATGAGGTCAATGGAGTAACGGTCAAGAGGGAAACTCCTAAGGATTATTATCCCTCTTATAGAAATGAAAAGGATCCTTCCTTGGATTCTGACATGGCTTTTTCAGCTTCTCTCCGGTCAAGGGGAATTTTCATCTTCGTTATCAATATCGATGATTATGGTCATCTGGTCAATTCTGAGACCTTTGAGACAACTCATGTTCACAATGATTTATATGAAATTTACAATAATCAATACGAATGGACAGAGAAATACATTCATCCCAATTATTCAGCAGTTCTTAAAGATGATTATCAAATTGACCAACCCTGTCCTGATGTCTACTGGTTTCCAGTGGTCACTCCAGTATTTTGTATCAATTTGATTGAAGAGATGGAAAATTATGGAAAATGGTCCGACGGATCAAATTATGTATGTTGATTGTTATCATTTATTACAATTCATTATCATCACAATTAGGAGATATATCTAATATTGAACAATAATTATATTGTTCAAGTTTGTTTTTCCATCTTCGAGATTAATTGTTTGCTTAATTATTACGATGGAATATCAGTTAGCAAGTTTTTCTCTTCATATTTACACAATTGATGATTATTTTTTTCTCTACATTGATTAATCATCTATTAATATTTACACCATCATATTTTAAATGATTATCTTCATCAATTATATTACCAGACTTGGAAGAAAACAGATCGGAGAGAGAGAAAGAGAGAGCAACTGTTTTTGCAATCATCCTCATCCTCATCCTCATCCAGTTATCCATCAACCATTTAAGTTAACAAACAGTAAAATCATCAACATGTAATGAAAAAATTTCCAAAGGCATTTAAGTGCTCTTGTAGAGAGAGATGAAGATGAAGATAAAGATGATGTTGCGATAGATTTTATTACTTTGCTAAGTTTGCATTTTCGCTAGTTTGTTTTCACTCCTTGTCCTCATCTCTACTTTTTAGCATCATCTTCATGTCTCTCTCTCTCTCTCTCTCTCTCTCTCTCTTACTTAGTCTTTCCTTTCATGCATCATCATCTTTATCTTCATCTCGATATGATGATATAATCAATTTTAAGTCTCCAGAAAAAGAGCAATATCAAAATCGATTGATATCATTTTATTGTCATCACATTTCTTCATCTTTCTTTAATAATATGAGTATTAATGATGAGAAAGATTCTTTTTCCTTAGTTAATTTCTGATATAATTTAAAACTTGATAAGAGATGATAATCTATAGAATCATAAAATTTGTTATTCTTTTTTTAACAACTGATGAAGATGCAAATTGTCATTATCATCTTTGAGATTATGTCATCACATTGCATCATTGAGTTTGCATCATCCATCTTTCCCCATTTAGCTTATTGAAGCTTCATCATCATTAACAATATAACACAAACAGAATAGTATATGAGCAATAATCGTACACTTTTTGTAGCATCCTCATCATCATCTTCCTGTTTTCTCTTCTAAAATTTGAATAGAAAAATACTAGTATCTTATGACCTTTTCTGTTATTATATGAACATTATTCTTTTCTTTTCATCATCATCATCAGTGAGGAGAAAAAGAAGAGAGATGAACCTTCTCGTTCTCTTTCATATTATTAGCAAGACGAATTGAGAGAGAGAGAGAGAGAGAGAGAGAGAGAGAGAGAGACGAAAGAGAAACTTAAAGACCTATTTCTTTATCCTTCGCCATAGGAAGTACCTTGACATGGTTGAGAGATTCTCAGTTGAATTATATTCCCATGTATGATAATCCAATGGAAACCCTTTACTCAATTCTTTTGTGAATCTTTAAGGAAGATGCTCATCTCTCTCTCTCTCTCAGAATCGTTTACAACTTCACCAGAATTTTACTCCTTCCGTTTCACCTCGAATTTTTCGAACTTAATTCTCTTTTTCTCTTTCTTTTTCTTTCTCTCTCGTTTTCATTTCCTCTTCTATTTCCTCTCCTCTCCTTTTATTCTCTCTCTCTCTCTCATCATCATCTTTTTATTATCCATATAAATAGTGATTCTCATTCATCTTCATTTACTAGAGAAACATTTTTGTTTAAAAAAAACATTAATTCACTGGTTTGCCTGATTTAACATGTGATTGATCACCAATCCAATCAAATTATATCTTAATCACCTTATTCAATTATCGATATCAACTTGATAACAATTGATAGATTATTAATTTGTTAACAAATGTATTATTTTCCTCTCCCTTCAGGATCCTCGATTATCGGGTGGATATGAAAGTGTCCCAACCGTCGATATACACACAAGTCAAGTGGGCCTCGAACAACAATGGCTCTACTTCCTCAGGGAATTCATCCGACCCGTTCAAGAGAAAGTGTTTATCGGTTATTTCCATGATGTAAGATCGCCCATGTCACAACTTTCATCAACTTTTCCAATAATTTTCTTCTTCTTCTTCCTCAACAGCCACCCAAAGCAACCATGAACTTTATCGTCCGATACAAGCCCACCGAACAAGCTTCCCTGAAGCCTCATCATGACACATCCACTTACACAATTAACATTGCCCTTAATCGACCTGGAATTGATTATGAGGTAATTTTCTTTGGTTTTTCCAATTGTGATCTTTAATTACTAATTCGATTTAATTTTCCTTTTTTTCTCGGGAATTGTACAGGGAGGTGGTTGTCGATTCGTTCGTTACAATTGCTCAGCTGTTAATCTGCGACAAGGATGGACACTCATGCATCCTGGTAAACTGACCCACTACCATGAAGGATTAACAGTTACAAGTGGAACTCGTTACATTATGGTTTCTTTTGTTGATCCATAATAACAATCAGCTGATTAGTTTGACAGGATAATCTTTCAACAGGATTAGTTGGTCAAATTCACTGGACATATTAACTCAATTGCTTTTGCATTACAATTTTATTATTTTTAAATTGATTTGCTAAATCATTTCTGGTCAACAATTTTCATACAAAACAATATTTACAATTACAATTGTGTACAGTTTAATTGTTAGGGTATTTTGATTTGATAATTTAACTGTTTTCTACTACAGTTAATTGCAAACCAAACGTTAAATTGATTTTAAAATGAATTCAAAGTTACTGAAACAATTAGAGTTAATTAGCATCTTTGATATTCAATGAGAATCAAATCAAATCTAATTGATGATTTAAATTGATCATATCATTTATTCACTTTAATTGTTTCGCTTAATTATCAATAATCAATTGGAAAAAAAGTGAACAATTTAAATTGAAGAAGAAGAAAAAAAATAAGAAATGTTAATCTAATCAATTTAATCTTAATTATTATTATCAAACATTTAATTGAATGACAATTAAAAACAGTATTTATATTCTTGTATTTGTAGCTTAACAATTAACTAATGGTCAATCCATTGGAAATTTGATATAATCAACAAATCATATCAATGATAATAAAATACAATCAATGTAATAAAAGTAATTACAATGTATTGATTTTTCTTGATTCGGTAATTGTAATAATTAATTGCTGAGAGACTTTTAATCACTGTAATCAACGGGGAGGGACAAAGAAGTGATTAAAAGATAATGATTAAGGATTTAGAGGATAATGATTGGAGGATAATTTGTTGATTGTTGTTAACTGATGATTAGATGTTGACATTATCTAAATTACTGAAATGATTAAATTAAATTTCACTTGAATGATGATCTCAACAAGATGTTGAAAGGGAAACTGATTTTGTAGATTAATGGCAAACTAGAATCTTAATTAGATTATTTATAATTTAAGACAACAATTTAAACTGTAGATTAAGAGGAGGATGAGGATGATGATGATGATGAGAGAGAGAGAGAGAGTGAGATCTATGGGGTAGGAAAATGATGATTGTACTAATCGTGGGAAGATTAATGAGATTTGATTTACAACAATTGAGCATTTGGTTAAATTGCTGAAAACAGATCACTATTGAGGTAAGATTGATTATTTAATTGTTTTCAGACAAATTAATGACTGTAACGATGTTAATATTTTTACCGTTGATTGCTAACAATTAACGTTAATGATTATGATGATGGTGCTGATGATTAGATATCTCAATGATAATTATTTGTCTAATCAAAATGATGATCAAATATCTATTTAGTATCTTTGATTGTTCATCTTTTCAAATCATTAGATTGATTGTTTGACGTTGATTGTATTGTTTCAAGAGAGAATCAAATTAATCGTGATTAGAATCATGATATTAATAATTGAAATTGACCATTGATTGTGAATATGTTGATACCAGATTCTTAGTCGAGATACAATTTGTACTAAAGTTTTTTTTGCTTCTTTTTCTGGTTCCATGAATTTAAGTTGATTATTATCAACATATGATGATGATGTTTACTGAAATTCAGCTGAAAGGAAGTAGAGGAAATGGAAAAATAATAGAAAGTGATTCATGAAAGAGCCAAAACTTGAACAATTTACGGTAAATCAACTTTAAGGTTCCATAAATTGTGATGGTTTTTTTTTCTCTTTCTCTCTCTACAACAATCAAAAAAATGTTCTGAAAATCTGGAACTATCATAGAAATTGGTAATCATGATGTTTTTTTTTCTTTCATCAGATTAGTTCAACTTTCAGGGAAGAAAAAAAGTTCATCTAGGAAGTTATCATAATCCATCATCATCTATTTTCCTGGTATCTTTTTTATGCTCATTGTTATTTTCTTTCCAATTTTTTCATCTTCATCTTTCTCCTCATCATCCATGAGATAATGATGAAAATAAAGAATCAGAATCATAGAATCATCTAATTAAGAAACTCAATCAAATGATTAGTTAAAATCGATGGAGAGAAAATAATCTCGATATGAGAACGAGTTTAATTTTCCACAGAAAATCAAATGGATTGAAAAAACAATTGACCAACAAAAAGATTCAATTCTCCACCAACAACAGTCCCTTCTAATATCATTCTAATCTATTTTTCTATCAACAATTTAATTTAATTGTCAATTAATTCGTTACCTTGTTAACAATAAAATTCACTAGATGGCATTAGAACTCCAGTGTCTCCATCTATCGGATTTTTCTTTTTCTACAAATGAAACATTGGAAAAAAATTTAATCTTTTTTTTTTCATTTTCACAAAAACGGTTGTTCTCAAATTCAAATTGTAACAACTTCTTTTAATCTTTGATTGTTTTCCTTTAATTTAGTTTGTTTCTTTCATTTTAATCAATTAATAATGTCATTTATTGCCATACCTTTGAAAAAATCATACGAAGTTGATCTGATAAAACCTTTGAAAAATTGTCTCACCTCAAATTATAGTGGTGATGACAGTCCTATCAATGTGGATTCAGTTGTTGAGAATCTCAACAAATTAAGGTCTAATTGTATTAGTAAAAATCTTGATCCTAAACATGAACAATCACTTGAATTATTGGAAAAGTAAGTAACTAATTAAATGTTTCTTTGTCTTTCTTTCTTCCATATTACCTTGAGCTTCCCTTTCACCATTTTCTTTTTTTTGTTCTATTCTTTTTTGTTTCCTTCTTTGTGTCTCTTTTGTTTTTCCTCATCATTAAGCCTTTTAGCCTCTAATTGTCTCAATGAATTAACATTAACAATGAACAATCTGTAAATTAATATCTTCTGGTTGAGTCATTAAATTGATTGTATAATAATTAGGAGATTCTCGAGATGTGTCATCTAGATATATAAATACAATTTATCATAATGATAAATTTATCATCATTTTCGGTTATGGTTTCAATTTATATATCAATTCTATTGATTTATTTTGATTTTTCTTTCTTATTTCGACAGGTATTATGATCAGATAACATCATTGGAACAAAAGTGTCCCCAACATGAGCTACAAATCACTTTTAAATGGAAAGACGCATTTGACAAGGGAGGATCTTTCCTTATGTCATCCAATACGTTGTCATTAACTAGTATTGTCTACGAAAGGTGTTGTGTTTTATTCAATATTGCAGCAATTAAAAGTCAAATTGGCTCAATGTTGGCAAATGAAGGAATCAATAATGATGTTGCTCTTAAATTGGCTGCCAAACATTTCCAATCAGCGGCCGGAATATTTCTTGCCCTTCGTCACCTTACACCAACAATTGGTCAAGATATTACGCCTGATCTTAATTCTGACGTTCTTAATGTTTTACATACAATTATGCTCGCCCAAGCTCAGGAATTGTTTTTCTTTAAGGCTTCAAATGATAACATGAAGGATAATATTATTGCTCGAGTTGCTTCACAATGTGAAGAGTATTACATGGATGCATTGAAACACCTTCCAATCCTTAAATTGGCTGGAATTGAGAAAGATTGGAGTTCAATATTCTCAATGAAACAAAGCGTTTTCACCGGTATAGCTGAATTTCATCAGGCCAATGTTTGTCAGAGTAAAAAAGATTTCGGTCAAGTTGTCGCTCGCTCTCAAAAAGCCGATGAATGCCTTAAATTGGCTCAATCAAAAGGTGGAATGTTTTTCGCTAATGTTTACAAAAATTTTTTAGCTCGAGCTCAGAGAGTTTTGGAAGAATCTAAAAAAGATAATGATTTTATTTACCATGCAAGAGTTCCCGAGGAAAAAGCATTGGAACCTATTGGTAAAGCATCTCTGGTCCAACCAACACCCTTACCAACCAAATTCAGGCCCAATATTCCTGATCCGTTTGCCAATCTTTTACCTCTTGCCATTCAACAGGCCACTCAAAAGCTTGAGTCTAAAAAGCAGGAATTGGTTCATCAAGAAACGGCCACTTTGCGTGAATTGACTCAAATTTTAAATGGTGTCTTAGCTTCCCTTAATTTACCTGCTTCTCTTGAAGATGTTATTGGTACCGAATTACCTGCTTCTATTAAAGAAAAGGCTCAATTCGTGCGAGGACAGGGAGGTATTGATGCTTTGGATAAATTGATTAACGAGCTTCCTAATTTGCTTAATAGAAATAAGGAAATATTAGAAGTAACTGAGAAAATGTTGGAACAAGAAGAGACTACTGATAATAATTATCGAGCTCAGTTTAAGGAGAAATGGCAAAGGTCACCTTCGTCTAAATTGACTGGTGTTTTCCGAGAGCATGTGACTAAATACACGAATATCATCAAGAATGCCATGGATGCCGATAAAAAGATTCAACGGAAATATGCTGATTTCAAAGAGTTGATTCAACTTCTTTCACAGGATAATAGTGAAATTCAGAAAGCTATTCCAAGTGGTTCTGGTAATGGTTCAGATTTATTGAGCTCCCCAAGTGCTAAAGAATTGAAATCATTAATGAACGAAGTTGAACATTTAAGAAGAGAACGTGAAGAGCTTGAAGAAAATCTCAAATCCGCTGTTTTCGATGATATGAAAGCCAAATTTTCCGCTGCCTTGTCCGCCAATGGATCTATCAATGAAGAAGCTTTAAGCGTTGAGACTATCGCTGAAGTCTATGCACCTTTACAGAAACAAGCTCGTGATATTAAGGTTAAACATGAATCGCTTATTGAACGGATTCAACGAGCAAACGAACAATTTGTTAATCTAAAGCGAATGAGTAACCAAGGAGACTCACGTCGAGAAGATTTTCTCAGTCGACTGGCAAGTGCCCATGATGCTTTCCAAGAATTGATGACCAATATTGCCGAAGGAACCAAATTTTATAATGACTTGACAACTTTATTGGTTAATTTACAAGGAAAAGTGGATGATTTATGTTTCGCTCGTAAAACTGAAGCCGATGAACTTGTCAAAGCGATTCAAAATGAAATCGTTTCCCGACCAAGTCCAAGTCCACCCTCCGCACCCTCATATCATTCCAAACCTGAAGATAAGCCTAAACCACCTCGACCACCTCCACCTCAAATATCCTCAGCACCCGCTGCCCAAACCGCTGGTGCTACCGCCCCAACTCCAGCCGCTCCAACCCCAAGTTACCCCTTTAATCAACCCTATCCTAATCCTTACCAACCCTACTATTATCCTCCTCCTCCACTCCCTCCCACCTACAGTGCTTACGCTAATCCATATGCACCTCATCCTCCCCAACAACAAAACCTTACCCAACCCAACCTCAACCCGGTCAACCCCAACCTGGTCAACCCCAACCTCCTCCCTCTGGATACCCACCTTATCCTAATCCCTACTCTAATCCTTATCCACAATATCCCAGATAAGAAAAAGTCTTGACCCACTGAAATTCACATCATTTAATTTTTCCCCGTTAAATTGAAACTGAAAACATTTTTAAATTGCCAACAATCTGTTAATGACAACAAATTATTTGCCTTGTGAATCTTGTTTCTTATTATTTTTGATTTAATTACATCAAAAATTATTATTGCAAAAAAAATTACCACTAATAAGAAACATATTAGGAATGAGAAATTTATCAAATGAATGCCAATCTAAATTCATTTTAAATTGTTTCAAAGTTGATCTAAAGTCAATTAATGAAAAAGATGATAAAATGTAATCACCATTTATTGATTAATCCAAGAAAATACTTTTAATTACATCTTAATGAGATGTTGATCAATTTTCATTAATAAAATGACTCAAAACGATAAATGATAATAATTTTCTTTCTCTCACTTCAATTAAATTGACAATCATCAAAATGATATCAACTAATCACTCATTCAATCAACTCAATTAAATGATAACTTATTGTGAAAAGCAATTGAAATCATGTTAACAATTAAAAGGAAAAGGTTATAAATAAGGTAAACAAAATGCTGAACAAATTAGCTAATTGTTTCACTCTCAAAGTTATACATTCATCTCAGGAAAATGTAATTAGCTTTTTGGTAGTAACTAATTTAATCAATTGTTATTTACACTTTGATCAATTGATTAAAACTACGTAATTTAAATTCAGCTTAACTTATACATTTAAATTTCTATTTGCTTAGTGTCGATTTTAACACCGATCTGATCAATTAAGATAAATTTTTCTCCGGTAATCTCAGGCCAACTTTTTTCGCCGCTTCTTCAACCGATGCTTCCCCTTTGTTGTAAATCGCTGTTAAATCGCGATAATTAGAGACACTTTCCAAATAGATTGCGTATGTTTCGCCCATGAATTGTAATTCCTCTTTAGATCTGCACGTTCGCTCATCGGTAACATCGTGTTTACGAGTCTCTGTTAAGATACATCGGATTGCAGCATTTTCGCTGATATTTTCCTGTGAATAGAATAAAAAAAATGAGTTAGATGAAATAAATATAAACAAATGAATTAGAAGATAATAAAATAAATCAACAAATTAATCATGAGAAAATATGAAACCTTGAAAATCAGCTAATCGGTAATCATTTGTCATGGTTGCATTTTAATCAACCAATTAACCAAACAAAACCCGTCGATAGTCATATAATCATATGATAATTCACTAAAGGCGTGTTTAATTTTTACACAATTAACAAACAATTAGATATTACAATTGATACAATTTATCAAAAGACGAACAAAAAAATAACAAAATAAAATCAAGTTAATTCACTTACCGATGGATTAAGTTTTCGTAAATAGTGAGAGATCCGTCTAATTACAGTTAATGGGTTGTTGGTAATACAAGCCATTAGAGAATAGAAATTAATTACAAATCAATTTAATCGAAATTATTAACAATTGTTGTCGAGTGATGAAATTGTGTTGACCAGAAAAAAAAACAAAATCTTTTTTTTGTTTACAAACTGAGAAAAAGATAAAGTGTGTGGAATAGCTAAATAACACACTTATCCCCAACCTTAATTTCTAAACTTGATGAGTTTTAATTGTTACAATTAGTCAACAATTAGTACAATTAAATTGGGAATTGATTATTTTTGTCCATTTCAGAGACAGAAATCAATGGAAGGTGAATAGCGGACACTTGGAATGAGTGAAAGAGTTAAACTCGAAGGCAAAATTGTTTCGATCTTATTTTAATCCGATAATTAAGATTGAATTTGATTTCTCTTGGTAATTTTTAATCAAATCCAATATTTCTTGATGAAAACTGAATGAAATCAAAGTTATTGTTATGGCAATTATCTGATTGTTTAAATGATTATAAAGCAGAAGTAATTAATGTTGGCAAAGGATTTTAATTTTGATTGTTATTCATTGTGATTTGATCAAATAATAATCCAATAATAATTAGACAATTAGTTAACTAATAAATATCAATGAAAAATCTAACAAAAAGTGTAACAATCGGTTGATTGCAAAGTTATTAGCCTAATAAGAGATTAATTTTAACTGTTTGATTGTTATTCAGAAAAACTAATTAGCTAATATTTATCAAACTGATTTTACCAAAAGATTTAATTGTTACCATGTAATTATTGTTTCCTATTAACAATCAGAATTGATAATTTGCCAGTAAAAGAGTTGATTGATTAATTTAAATTCTTTGAATTGATTTTCATATAAGAATTAATCACAGAATTCTAATGAAATCAATAACTATTAATGTCCACTCTCTGATTGGAATTATTATTATAAAAATAGTAAAAACTGTTGGACAATTTATGGAATTGAAATTTACATTCTAATGATTTGATTAATTGTCACAAATATGACTGATTGTCAAGTAAATTAAGTAACGTTTCCAATATTCATTTGATTGTTTGTTTAATTGTTCAATCGAAATCAAGTTAAACTTGAAAAATATTCTAGCTCAAAGTAAGAAATAAACAGTATCAACAATGATAATTGTTACAACTAATTCTGTTGACAATCAACGATATGGAACTTCAAGTTTAAGGATATAAACAACAATCAACTAATCATAATGATGATGATTAAAAATGAGAACATAAATGATCAAAGGAAAGAGAAACAATTGGGTCAGAAAAGTTTCTTGTAAGAGAAAAAATTAATCGACGAAAGTGTTTTCTTTTTCTCTTTTTTTTTCTCTTTTTCTCTTTTATTCTGATGAAAATGATGCAGATTCTAATTAAGATGATGAAGAATCGGAATAAAAGGACTAATTGTTACTCATCCAATTCTTTTGTTGCCATTGTGACAATTTGTCCCAATTGATGAGGATAAGTGAACAGAGAAACTTTGAAATCGAATATTTTTAAATCTAAAAGGTTAATAATCTAAAAGAAAAATTCAAATTCTCGACGAAAAAAAGTTCTAATGTCCATTCGTTAAGTGGCTTAGTTTGTTTTCTTTCTCAATGGCCACTTGATTTTCCAAATCTAAATTCTAGTCACTTTTTTCTTTCATTATTTCTCAATATTTTATTCGGAAGACAGAGAGAGCAAGAGAGAGAGAGAGAAAGAGAAAGAAGATTAAATAAAGAGGGATGAGTAGAAATGATAAGATATTGATAGAGAGAGAGAGAGAGAGAGAGAGAGAGAGAGAGAGAGAGAGAAAGAAAGAGAATCATCCCAACAGGTATAACATTCATTTTATTAACTATTGAGTCTATTATCAGGTAAAGGGCGGATTCTAACATCTCTCTCTCTCTCTCTCTTCATCTCTCCTTGTCTCTCTTTCTCAATCTTCTTTATCTCCTCTCTCTCTCTCTCTCTCTCTCTTTACCTTTGGGGTAAATAGAAAACAAAAAGTCTACTGTACCTGTAAACCCACTTTAGAATGAATTAGTTGAGTGTAAAGCAGAATCTAAGCAACATAACAATCGAAACAGAAAAAAAACTAATGTGATTTAATTGTGGAAACTTTTTAATTCTTTTGGTCCAAGACTCGTTCAACTTTCTTGATATTTCCTGTTATTCGTCATCTTCCTCTTCTTCATTTTCTTCTTCCTCATCATGTTACATGGGACATTGAATTGTGTTTATCTTTCGAGTCTCAATCAAACCTCATCTTCGTCTTCACCTTTACCTTTACCTTCACCTCCATCATCGTCTTCTTCATACACTTCTTCATATACTTTATCATCTCCATCGTTTTTATCTTCATCTTTTTCACCATCAATCATGTCCAATTGTCCGAGTCCTTCGTCCCTCTCGACATCTTCATCATCTCCATATGATCCATTGGAATCACTTTGGCCCAAACACATCGACGACGAGGTTTCCAATCTCGCACTCGAAGCTTGTCATCAAGAAGTTAAACGAGTCTCAGAGAATCTCCGAATATCACCAGGTAATTTTTTCTTTTTTCTTTTCTTCTCTTCTTTTCTCTTCTCTTTTCTTTTTCTTTCTTTTTCTATTCTTTATCCAAATCCATATTCTCATATTAATCTGTTCTTAATCAGATCCATTCACTTGGACTGTCAACGATGTCATTTCATGGTTATCATGGCAAATTGAACAATTCGGATTACCAATGTTTCCACTTAATTATTTTCACATGGATGGGATGAGTTTGTGTTCCTTATCTGAATCAGATTTCAAGGAACAAGCTCAAGTTTGTGGTGATTTACTTTATGCTCAACTAGAGATTTGGAAAACACTAAGTGAACAAGGTAATTAATTAATCGATTCATCAGTTAACCAGTTAATCAGTAAATTCCAATCAATTTGTTTTATCGTTAATTGTTTTTCTTTTTTCTTTTTTTCTCTTTTTTTTCCTCTTGTTTTGTGATTGTGATTGTGAATTCAACTTGTGGATAAATTCTCATCTTTATGTTCATCATTCATCATCCATTTTATCTCAATTGCCTCAATTATCTCCATGATCTTCATGATGATGATCATGTTAATCATCGTTCTTAATAAACAGAAGCCGGTAAAAGATCGGACGTTATGTTTACAAGTGATTATTATGGTTCCGAGGGAATTCAAAGTGATGGTGAGTACAAAGTACCAGTAACCCTATGAATTGGAAAAGATAAACAAAAATCTTTTTCCCCTGAATTCCCCTGAATTCCCGTGCCATCATTAGCCCACAAACAACAAGAAAATATAAAAAAAAAAAAGAAGAAGAAAATATTCTTGTTATCGATTATCATTTCCTTCCTTCCCCTGCATCATCATCTCTCTCTCTCTCTTGTTCTTCTTGTTTATCTCTTGTCAAGTCCATAGTTACCATTAAGAGAGATAATTTCATGATACATATCATCCTCATCTTCATCTTCATCTTCTCATCTTAATCATCAATACATTTGAAAGAAGAAACTTGTTCTTCATTTTTGGCCCCTTTTTACTCGAGACTCCCCTTAGAATTAGTGCCTTCAAGGTAACCATTTAAATGGAAACAGTGTGTTAGCCTAAACCCGAACCAGTGTCTTAACCCGAACTGAACATCAATCCTGGTGCCATGACCTTTTCAACCCTGTAAACAGCTTCAGTCTAGAATCTCCATCATCTCTATTATTCATCATCATCATCACCATCATTTATCTGCAATCTCACTAATCATCTTAAATCAATATCATTGTTTTCCTTTTTTTCTGCCTTTTCTCAAACACCAATTAACCAGCGATTAACTTTTCCAAACTAATAAAACTTTTCATTAAACAAGTCAAGTTTTTTCTCTAATCACATCAACTAATTGTTTCTAATTAAGCCAATAACTAATACAATTAGCGATTCGTAATAGTCTTGAAAAGTTAATCAATTGGCTATTTAAGTTTCTTCCTCTTATTAAATTGCAATGTAAACACATTAAACTTTCATATTGCAAATATGATTGATTACCTTGATTAATGTTTTCTGATTGTTAGAGCTGTAAATTGCAACAATCAGTTACACAACCTAGCAAATCAGTTGACTTTAATAATAGTTGAAATAATTATCTGTTTATAATAAGGAAACTAAGAAAACTCAATCAAGATTAAATGTAATCACAATTCAATGAATCTCAGGTAATTCATACCAAAAAACAGCATATGGTTGATGATGTTGATTAAATTGTTGATTAAACGAAATTAACACAATTTTTTTCATCTCTACCTGTTAACCTAATACAGTTAATCATAAATGATGATTGTGATCAAATGTTCAATCAACAGAATCAACACCAAAATTGATTAACAATCTATTTTCTGGACAGAAGAAGGAAAAAAAATTGCTGCTAATTGTATCATCTCAACAGTTATCAACTTAATTATCTTCAACTTACCTTTTAATTAACTCATTTAATTGAGTTACTGGGATTCTGATCAATATTATAAGGTCACTTTTTTTGTTCCTAACTTTAATTGTTAACATAATCGTTGATTAAATCAATTAAACGGTTGAAATGATTAGAATCAGTGAAAAAAACAATAATATGATATTGAAAATGTTACAATTGAATCAACAATTATTAGCTAAATTGTGAAAAGTATTACAACAAAATCAAGAGCAATTAAGGTTAATATGAAGATACAAAAGTTAATTGTTAGTATTAATATTTAATAATAGTCAATATTAGTATATTAATAATTAAATTAGTTGATTGTTTTTGCTGATTATGAAGCTGATTTTGATCAACAGTTTAAACGATTGATTGTTTGAGTGGTTACTTGCTGTTTTTATTAATAAATTTACCGATAAAAACAATTTGTTTAAAATAATTGATTTAATCAACTATTGATTGACAATCAATTTACTAATTGTCATTGATTGTTGTGTCTAAATTAGGTAAAAATGATTGTTTGTTTTTTTTGTTGTTGTTTACAAATTGATTGAAGTTCAGAGTTTGGTGTTGATGAGTTTTCATGCTCAGTGACCCATCTAGTTAACTTGATTACATCAATACTGATGCAATTTAATGCTGATCATCATCATCACCATGCTCACCTGTATCTCTGACATAAAGAAGATGATGAAAAAAAAAGATGAGGATGAAAAAAATGTGAAAAAAAAGCTTGAAAGTCAAGTTTTTTTCTTATACTTTTTTTGTGTTAAATTTCAATGTCAAGGTTGTTGTTTTACCTGTTGATGATGATACCTGATGATGGTCAAGATGATGATAAAAGGGATAAAATTCTGAGTGCTTATAACAGTTTATCATACCTTTAATTCAATTGATTCACATTGAACATCATCTTCACCATGATGATGATCAATATTATGATTTAAGTGATATCACAATTTAACTGTTTCCTTATTTAATTTTGACCTTACCTTGTTTAAATTGTGGTCAATCCTGTTTCTTGATTATCATGATTAAATTTAACACACTCAATGGTAACTAAGATATATTTTAAGTATTTTTAAATAGTGTAAATTAATGATTTAATCAGATGATGATGATGATGATCTGCCTGATGATCAACTTGATGATTTGTGTGTTGATTATGTCAAAAATAATTAGGTTATCATGTTAATTTGGTCTTACAATCAATATATTTTCATTTATAATCTCCTTTCAATTTAAATCATTGAGATTTTAACCAAAATAATGATAATTTACTCTTAATCATTTGTAGTTAATTAATTGTGATTACAAGTAAAATCTTGTGATGATGTTGATGAATGATTATAAATCTTGAGATGATCAAAGTTCAACTTGACTTGATTATCTTGATCATATTAATCAAATTAATTGTATTCCCATTAATTAATTTGGTTATCATGACCACTTAAAGTTAATATTAAAATGGTCACAATTTATTAAAAGCTAACTGAAATTCACAATTAGTCTAAATTGTTGCTAAATTGTAAATAGACAATCAATATAATCAAGCCAAGCAAACATTATCCTTGACAAGGTAATGATAATTAGCGGCGGTAATTAGTTTGATTATCGTAATAAATTGTTGCCAATAATCAATATTTAACCTTTCCACTTGAACTGTCATATGATTTATTTAATCACAATCTAAGAATATGGATTGATTATCGTAAGTAATTAGAGTGACAATCAAAATTAACAATCAACCTACCGAAAGCTTAGAAAAATTAACTCCGAGAATGAATCTCAATCACAATTAATTAATTAATCCAAATATCCATTGATAAGATTAAAAAATTAGTCTATTCATTATTAATATTAAATATATTCACGATTTATTTAGTTAATTAAATTAATAGTAAATATTAACAACATGAACCTACAATAGAAACTAAATTAAACTTTTCAAAGTTAATATCAAATTTAGTTTTAAAATAATAACATAATCATCATTATGATTTAAAAATGATTAACAATCAAGAAGTTAAAACGTTAATTAAGCTTGTTGATGAGGAGAAAAATAAAATCCTCTGGTTAATCGTTAATTGTTTACTAGAGTCAATTGCGGTTTTCTGGTAAATTGTGTATTTAAATTGCAAAGAAAATCAAAATAACAAGTAAAAGAAAAGTTAATTACCCGAAAATAATACAATCGTGAATATCAGTAATGATTAACCATTAAAAGTAATAATAATTGACATTAAAACGAAACCAACAGTAGCTTAATAATAATCAAATCATGACTTAAATCATAAGTTAATGATTAGTCTCTCTCTCTCTCTCTCTTTCGTTAATCTTAAAACATTGAGAGAGATGATAACGTCTTATATCCCAACGATCCCGTTGGGAGGTTTTTATTCAAGTTGATATTCAAGTTAATGGTTAACATTTGATTGTATCATTTAGATATAAATAATATTTGAACAGAAAAGATTTTCAAAGATGAAAAGAAAGAAATTTATTTAAAGAAAAGAAAGATGATCAAGATGAAGATGAGTCTTAATAATTAGATAGTGAAGACCGAGTAACAAGAAAATGAAGAAAAGAAGATGGAGAAAGAGAAAGAGAAAGAGAGATGATGATGATAATGATGATCTAAAGTAAGGTAGTATTGCGATTCTTGAGAAACTAGTTTTCTACTTTTCTAGTTATTTTATTTTTCTATTATTATGATTATCGTTTATTACAAAAGGTAAGGCCTGGGCTAAAGGGGATCGAACCTTGATTTCTCTTCTCTTATGATGGCCTTTGGATGATTTTCCTTGTGATGATGATGAAGAAGAAGAAGATGATGATTATAAGAGGGAAGCTTCTTAAGTTGCTGTTTGGTTTATCTCTTTTTAGACTCTCTCTCTCTCTCTCTCGTCTTCTTTACCTGAATCCACCTTTAATCTACTTGCCATTTAACCTTAGCTCTTGTGTGTAGATTATTATTACTGGTGTTTCGGCCTCACTCTTCATCTTATTTTTACCGAACTTCTTTGGCCCTACCTTAGTAGCCTCTGCTTCTTAATCTTCATCATCATAAGTTTTTTTATTCTCTATCTTTTCTCTTACCTATTCTCATCATCTTCGTCATATTACTTGATTGGCATGAAAAGAAAGAAAGAAAGAGAGAACTTAATATGCATCGATAATATTGGATTGACATTCAACTTTGGCTGAATTTCGTTGACAACGATCGTTGTAACGAAAAACACTTTATTTCATTTTGAATTTGTCTTTTCTTCATATTTTAATGACGATGATAATGATTATGGTGATAATAGAGATGATGATAATGAAGAAGAAGACGAAATATTCTCTTTTGAGGGAGAGAGATGCTTCTTTTTCTCTTTATTTTTATCATCCTCATCATCATCATCATCTTCTTCTTCTTCTTCTTCTTCTCTCCCTTGTAAGACATTGATTGGATTCTCTTCTTATCTTGAGTGAAACTTGTTCAATTTACCTGAAGATGATAATGAAGAAGCTAAAAGACCAACCCAACAATCATCTATTACATTACATTCTTATCATCATTTATCTTCATCTTCATCTCTCTCTCTCTCTCTCTCTATGTTCTTTTTTCTCTCTTCATGTTATTAAATCATCGTTACAATCAACTAATGATAAGAATAAATTGTTTGAATGAGAAATCAGAGTGTTGAAGACTCTCTGTTGTTATCAAGGATAAAAAATAGACAAACATCAAAATAATGATAATTATTTTCAACTGATACTTGACCATGGGTCAACAACCATGTTTGCCTGTTGATTACTATCGGTGAAAGTTAAAATTAGTTTAATCATCATAATAATAGTAAATATTTACTTCTCATGGGTAATCATAAATCAAAGTGAATGAAATAGTTTATATATTCAGAGAAAAGTAATTAGATTTAATAATAAGAAAGAAAATCAAAAAAAAAATTCTATCTTTTCAATCATCTTACTAATCCAATAGAAAATTATTTTGACGCTTAATCTTAATTCCAATTTAACAATAGACAATTAAGAATTGGTTATCCGAGAAAATGATTCCAAATCTAATTATCAACATTCATTGAGAAAATAAAGTTGATTGATTTTTTTGGGAATTCGTTCAGTTTCAGTTCTGATATTAACGTTTCTTAACAATTTCGGTTAATTATTTGATCATCTTAGGGAATTATTGTCATTTAATTGTTACTGATTACGATTAATCTTAGACAACCTTCCCTTTCGTCCTTGTTGGTAATTAAATGTTCTCAATGTCTTATATAATCTTAATTGTTGTCGTGGTTTAATTAATCATCAAGAACAAGATTTTTGTGACGAAAATGGTGACAATTATTAAGAGATGACATTATTATTATTATGGTTGTTGTTGCTGTTCATTTAACTTGATTAACTTGTATCATTAGATTATCAATGATGATTAGTCATTTAATTAGATTATTTATATTCAAATATAAACGATCATTAATAGACTTTAGATTGTATTTGAATCAATGAAATGATATAATTTGATTGTTGCCATTTAATAGGAAGATGAAGGTAGACAGAAAAAAAGAGTTCGTGATTAAATATTCCTCATCTTTTTCTCTATCATCATCATTATCATCATCCTCTGAGATCGTGAGTAACTCAGTCTCTTTTTAGTGTAATAATGATGATCATCTCATAGAGATCATCATCATCATCATCTTATCTTCATCTCTCTTTCTCTCTCTCTCTCACCTTTACACCAATAGTTTTAAGCTTCTTGTAAAGTTAATTCAACATTTCATCAACAATCAACAATCATTATCACCACAATTACCTTTATCTATTACCTATTATCTATTATTTAATATTACTCTTTGCTCTTGACCCTAAAATTGACCAATACAATTTATTGATTGTCCACTTGAGAAGATCATTGATCATAAACTCTCAACCTCAATAGAAATGAAATGATATCCACTCAACAACAAATTCAATTGTTTGTCAGTTAATTGTGGTAATTGAAAGAATAACAAAAAAACCATAACAATTAATTAACTAAATCATTTACCTTTTTTTTCAATTTTCTTTTTCTTTCCTTTTCCGGTTTTCTTTTCATTTTTTATTAATTTTCTCTTTTTCTCTTTTTATCTTTTTATCTGTTTATTTATTTATTCCAATGTTCCAGATGAATTAAGCCAAGATGGAGCTTGTGAAGTTTCGTCTCCCATTTCAATGTCACCTTCTTCTGTTTCCTCTTCCACCTCCCACTCTCCCATTTACTCTCCTTTCTCCTCTGCTCCTTCACCTCTCTCATCTCCATCTCTATCTCCTTCTCCCTCTTGTTCTCCATCCACATCCATCTCTTCTTCTTCATCTTCTTCGTCTTCGTCTTCTCTCCCACCACCAACATCAATTGTCTCCGGAAACACTTCACTCCCTCAATCTTCCAATCGAAACACATCCGGTTCTCATATTCACCTATGGCAATTTCTCAAGGAGCTTCTTGGTCAATCTCAACAATTTGGTTCGTGTATTCGTTGGATCGATCGAAGCAAAGGAATTTTCAAGATCGAAGATTCCGTCAAAGTGGCCAAGTTATGGGGTCGACGCAAGAATCGACCTGCAATGAACTACGATAAACTCTCCAGGTCAATTCGACAATATTACAAAAAGGGAATAATGAAGAAAACGGAAAGAAGTCAAAGGCTCGTTTATCAATTCTGTCAACCTTATTGTTTCTAATTCTCTTTTTTCCCAATCGACAATCAACAATCAACGAGCAATGACCAACAATTAACCACAAACAACAATCAACCCACCTCAATGTGTATTATAAGTAAATCAGAATAACGAAAGTGATTCATCTTAATTAGGCTGGATTCTAATTAACTAATCACTTGGTAACTGTTGACACTTTTAGTGTCTTGATCATCTTAATCATCACCATCATCATCATCATCTTAAAATCATCAACAATCGAAGGTATTATTCGTAATTGTTAAATGAAAAAACCATTCAATTAATCATAATTCATTTCCATCATTAGACTAATCAAAATAATCACAATCATCATTACTCTAACCAGAGAATCAGTTGATATTAATAATTATCTTTCTGGTTAATTGTTATCTCTCTGGTTACAATTACAATCATTATCCCCAAGAGATATGATAAAATTACCAAAACCCAAACTTCCCCCTTTCTTATCAACTGTTGATTAATTAATCTGATTAATCAACACAATTAAAAATCCATCGCCATCTATTGTTAGTCTAATGAAGTAAAATGATTCTCATCTTCATCTTCATAATTTTCATAATCATCCCGATCACAATCACAATCACAATTTACTAATCATTCAGTTAAATTATCAAAGAGTTACTTTAATGATTTAACTTCACCAATCGATCAATTGATCAATTTAATTTCATCTAATTTTTTTTCACTTAAATTGAAATCATGTTACAATTTAACGAATATTTATCAACATTTAGCTCAATTGAATAATTTTAATTCTTAATCATTTGTGACTAATGATTAATCAAGAAAAGTTTCTTATTCTTAAAGTACCTCAATAGTAATGATATTAACAATTAACAATCAAACTATTGGATTAACACGCAATCTAATATTTGCTATTTGATTATTAGAATCAAATGAAGATCATGTATCGTGATTTTCATTCGAGTTAATTTATCAAGTTAATTGTTACCATTACAATTAAACAAACCATGAGATTAATTTAGTTTTACCCAACTTTTATATTCAAAGACTAAACTTTTCTTGAAGTAAATTAAATTTACAATTACAATTAAGAATTAAAATTGAGCTGAATGAGATGAACACATTCCCATATATCAATGATATATCCACTTAAATGTATGTTCTGTGAACATTAAACATTCATTGAATAGAAAAGTTAATCAACTATTTCTTAACTGTTGATTACTGATAGAATTAGTTTTCGTGTTTACATGTAAATAAGATCGACGAGAGAAACTCGCCTTTAAGCCCATGTCGATATTTTGTTGGAGGCTCTGCTCTCATTCACCATCTTTTACAATGTACTTGTAGTTTGTGAGCATAGAGATTCAGCAAACTCAACTAAAAGGGCTTGAAGCGAGTGCACTCACTTACAAGCACCGTTCTTATTTGCACGTAAACATGGTAATTGTATTAACTAATCGACTTTTCATTCAATCCAAGGGATACGAACTTTCTTATCTCAACTAATCCATCGTATCCTTAATCTCCTTTGATTTCACTCGATTTCGTTTCCTTTTCCTTTCATCTTTCCTTTAATCGCTTAATCTCTGCACTTATTGACCCTTCTAATACTTGTTATTATCTAAATTCAGTTAATTAGTTACAATCAAATAGATAATTTAATCCAATAGCTAATCACTGCCTTCTATCCCTAAATCAATGTTTCCTTCATATTATCAAATTAATTGTTTCAAAATGATCAACAATTTATTTCTCTGGGTCCAATGGCAATCACTTTATTATTAAATTCATTTCAATTTATCATCACAATTTCAATCAATTGATCACAAATTAAAAACCACAAACTCTTATTTCTGGGATTATCAAAGTGGTAAAAACTTTATAATCAATAATCAACAATCAACAATCATAATCATAACCATCGCCATCATCTAATATCATGTAATCATATCCATCAATGTATCATTTTTATTGATCAATTTTAAATTGTAAAATATCAAACTCATGCGATCTAATTAACTACTAACAAGTTACCAATCTCTTATTAGTAATTAATAACCACAATTATATTCATAATCAACTGTTCAGGGAAAATGTAAAACAATTTAAAACGTTAGATACTTTGTCAGTTAATAATGATAATCATCATCATCATCATCATCATCATCAACAACAACAATTAACAATTGAAAGAAAATTGTTATTAATCTGAAAATGTTAACTAACGTAATCAAAGTTAATTAATTTCGCTGTATTTGATATTTACTATTGAAAGTATTGCATCACAACAAATCACCAATAATCAATCAACTAATTAATCAACAACAATACATCACATGAATGACCAATCGATTGATAAATTGATCAATTTATCATTAACCATTAATCATCAATCATTATTGTTTAATTTTCTAACAAATAAAAACTTCAATTAAAAGCTCAATCATCATAATAATTTCAATGTAATAATAACAATCATTTAATTGAGTTGAAAAATTAAAATGGGATAAATCATCATAATCACAATCAAATTAAACATCCAAACAATTTACCTGAAACAATTTATTTTATTAAAAAATTTATAATTAAATCGTCAAATTCAATTAATTAATTCACTATTAATACTAATAAATGTAAGTTTTTTAATAATCTGCAACCAGTTAATTATTATTAACTAAAAGTATATATACTTTTAGTTACAATGAGACAATTAACTAACTGTGAAATTAAATGTTTGTCATATTTATAGCAATTTAAACGTAATCATGACTGATAATAATTACAAGCCAAAGATAAATGGTTTGTTAATTGTTGAGGCCTTTGTAAGCCTAGTGACAAGCGATAGCGTAATTAGTTAATTGTGGTTTAAAAAAATTAAAGGTCGTCTATTAAATTAAGGGTTTATTGTTATAAATTGTCAACATGAACAATTAACACTTTAATTACTCACTGGTAGTAATTATTACGATAAGTTTATCCATTCATCAAATCCTTGTTTCTGATTAAAATCAGTTAATTATTGTTAATATTTGATTGTTCAAGGCTAGAAAGGATCACCGTCAGTGATTAAGGGGAATGTCATAAATTAAGATGAGCAATTAATGAGCTGATCAAAGGTAAGTTTTAATTAATTTACATAATGATTGTAAAGGGTATTAACTAAGATCAAGTGGAATATGAATGATTGATGATTAACAGTACCAACAATTAAGTGTAACAATTAAAGGATAAAACCAAGAGACAAGTTTGATTTTAAGCGGCCATTGAAATCAGCTAATTGTTACTATTAATCTCTAGTTAAACCCTAATAATTCACATCAATCAATAAATCATCAACATGATTAACATGAAGAGAGAGAGACATAGACAATAATCATCATGATAAGTACTAATTAGCAAGGTAATTAAAGATGTGGAAATCATCAGTATGTTAAATGTATGTCAGTTAGTTAGTTAATCAACATTGATTATATTATTGTATTATTAACTGTTTTAATGTTAATTACAGTCCAATTAAATGTAAATCAAAATTTATAATCAACCTTTAAATTAGCTTAAAAGGTTAAATTGTCAGTGGGTGGCTGATATAATTGTTATCAGGTAACAACAATTACCTACGTTAATTTCCTGTGAAATTAACTTGATTACAACAACAACAATTAAAACTTTAACCGAGTTGAAAGTTGAAATAATCAAAGAAAATGAAATTTACCGTTATTATAAATCCATTGCTTAATATACTGTTAATTGAGTGTGATCTTATTAATTATTGATTAAATTAGATCATCTAGTTTCATATTATTGTTTGTTCATGATGATGATGATGATGAGGATGAGAATGATGATTGACTCCACCTTTGATAATTCTTATCATTTTTTCAGTTTCTCTTTTTCTCTTACAATTTCTTGAGGTTTCACTTTTATGTTCATAATTTGGATTGATTATATTGGGAGAGCGAGAAAGATATAAAAAGTTAATTGTAATCAACTAATCATAAGTAATCATAAAACAATTAACCTGATCAAATGGTAAACTATCAAAGTGAATCGTCTCATAAAATGAAGAGACAATCAACAGGTAACAACAAACGAAACAATAACAACAACAATCAACTCGATTCCATGGTAAATCCTAGTGAACCTCCTTCTGTTTTAACAGCAAGACCAAATTCATTAACGAAACGTTTATTAAAATCATCAGCATCTTCATTAACCAATTATGGTTACCTTTTAATTGTAATTAACTTATTAACATTCACCATTTACACCAATGGAGTCCCGATTGAAGAGGTTCATCATAACGTTGCCAGATCGATTCCATCATCAAAAGTATATTATGGTAAGTTAATTGTTAACGATGTTCATTCATCAATTGGTTCATTTTTGCACGAACAATTGATTAATTATCACTAGATGAATGTATTCATATTTGATTACAATTTCTAATTGTTTACCTGTTGATGTTTTTCTTCAAGATTTTAATTATTTCTCTCCATGGCTCTTATATCTACTCTCTTTATTGTATTTAAGCAATAAGAAGCCATTTTAATTGATTAAAATCAATAGATTGTTTTGTGTACATCATCACTCGAGTCGTTAAGTGTCAGGTAGTCACTTGAATTGATTTTATATCAATTAGTTGATTAGTTTCACCGAGAAAATCACCATGTTGTTTACAGTTGATTAATCTCTTCCCTCCAATGTGACTTTTCAAAATCTCGTTGATTATTTAATCTTATTGATCAAATGGTCAACCAAATAAATTTATCAACCTCAAGGTAGTGATTGATAATGACAAAAAAATTGAAAGGAAAACAATTAACCTGCTAAATTGTTTGGATAATCTAACAATTAGTTGATCATTTGAACAATGTAAACATACCTTTACCATGATGTCTTTGGTGAGGGGATAAATGCAATTAGTTAATTAATCATCATCTCGTCATTTGTTGGTTATAATTAGTAGATTGTTTTAATTTAGGATTTGAAGATTAGTTGAACTGATTTGGTAAAAATTGTGAGCTTTTTATCAGCTGATTTTTTTTTTGGAAAAAATCAATGTTGATATTGATTTGATTTGGAAAATTTGTTTTGAAGGACAAATTCAATTTAATTTTAATTTGATTGTTTTAATTTGATTAATTCTCAGCAAGTCCCGATGTGATTGTTAAAAATCTTCCGTATGTAACTGGAGTTCATGCTGAACAAAACAAGGCTAAGGTCAACAATGAAGGAGTCAACATCATTTTCGCTGACACGTTGACCACTGTTCGGATTTTTGGCATTGACCTCACAAATGAGACGATAATTTCACTGACCACTCACCCGATGGTAAATGAGAATCCATCTTGTGATGATTTCTCTCGTACCGATGCTCTTTCCATAGCCCATATCTCACATTCAATGGGTTTCATTACATTGAACCTTCCCAAACAACATGAACGGCTTTACATGTGCGCTAAAAATCAAGATGGACAACATCAAGCAGGTTGGTATCACCAGGGTAACGATCCGTGGTTGACCTTTGAGGTTGAAGGCCAATTTTTACCTTTCTGGTTACACATAATCGCGATCATCGTGCTTCTTTGTTTAACCGCTCTATTTGCTGGTCTAAATTTGGGACTAATGTCATTGGATAAAAATGAGCTTCAAGTTGTCGCTATCAAGGGTTCAGATTCTGAGAGAGCTCACGCTAAAGCAATTGGTCCACTTCGTCGACGTGGTAATTTCCTTCTGTGTACCATTCTATTATCTAACGTGTGTATTAACGCCACTGTTACCGTTTTAATCGAGGAATTGACCTCTGGACCCATTGCCGTTATCGCTTCAACCTTGGCGATCACAATTTTCGGTGACATTGTCCCTCAGGCGATCTGTTCTCGCCATGGATTAGCTATTGGTGCTAAAACAATTTGGATCATGTACTTTTTCATGCTCCTTACCTCACCTCTTTCTTATCCGATATCTAAAATTCTGGACTGGTGTTTGGGTGAAGAGATTGGTGCCGTTTATGATCGTGAAAAACTGATGGAGTTCATTAGGGTTACCAAAGATTACAACAAACTCGAGCCCTCCGAGGTGAACATAATCTCCGGTGCCCTCGAACTGAAAAGGAAAACCGTTGCCGAGATAATGACCCGTTTAGAAGATGTTTTCATGTTACCAATTTCATCTCGATTAGATTTCGAAACCGTTTCAAAGATCCAAAAATCGGGCTACTCACGAATTCCCGTTTATCGTGAAGACAGGAAAAACATTGTCGCTCTTTTCTATGCCAAAGACTTAGCATTTGTCGATCCTGATGATAATATGCCATTGAAAACTGTCATCGAATATTATAAACACCCATTGATTTTCACCTTCGATGATACAACTTTGGATGTCGCTCTTGGTGCTTTTAAAGAGGGAAAATCTCACCTTTCGTTTGTCCGACATCTTTACGATTCTGATACATCGGATCCCTATTATGAAGTTATCGGTGTTGTTACATTGGAAGATGTTATCGAGGAGATATTACAAACTGAGATTGTTGACGAGACTGATATTATTACCGATAATCGATTGAAACAACGGCGTAAAGCTAAACCTGAATCAGCTGATCTTCTTGAATTTGCTCGAATTGGTGAAGGACAAGATGCTACGATTGTCTCACCGCAAATGATTCTCGCTGCTTTTCAATATTTATCCTCATCATGTTTACCATTTACTACTGAATATTTATCATCATCGGTATTACGTCGTCTCATGGGCCAGAAAATTTACTTTCAACATGTTGTTGATCTTGATAAAGATGAAAAAGGTAAAACTTGATCACCTGATTGTCCCAATTTCATCAATTAAATGTCATCTAAATTAAGTTTAATTGATGAAAAATTTGTCTTCCTGAGTTTTACTAGTTTTTAATAGGGAAATTTTTATTACAGTAGCAACCATTTAAAACTATTAATATGATACATGTATTTATTTTCAACAAGATTATCAGGAAATGTTGATACATTCAATATCATATTATCTTAAATGTATATTATAAATTTTTACGATTTAATTGCTTAATTTAGATGATATTGTTTTTCCTTACAACAAGGTTAATCCATATTTACATCTCATATGAATAATTATCCTTGATTAACTCTCTCTCTCTCTCCTCTGATTATTTGTTTTTTTTCCAGAGCCAAACTTTAAATTATATACTAAGGACTTACCTGTTGATTATTTCGTCATGATTTTGGAAGGTCGAGCTCAGGTGACCGCAGGTCAAGAAAGTCTTGCCTTCTTCTCTGGTCCATTTTCATGCTTTGGCATCGATGCATTGAAAACAAGTGAAACAACACCAAATGAAGCCAACGAAACTGGATCAGTATATAAACCTGATTTCACCGTTGAACTTGTTCAGACAACAACCTACCTTCAGGTACCTCGGAAACTTTATCTATCAGCTGTTAAAGCCTCACAAATGGAAAAAGCTTCAGGACTCATTGGTACCGATGTTGGTAAAGCTTTAGCTAAACAGATAACCAAAGATTCCGAGATTACATCAGAAATGATTCTTAAAACAAATAATACATTCAAACGAAACGATTCAACTTTTAGCTTCAGCACCAAAGACGATTCCAAGAATCAGAAAGATAGCTGATAATTAAGCTTCTTTCATTAGTTAATTGTTGATATTATTTTGAAGAAAAATTCCCAAAGAAATTGACAAAATTGATAATAATAATAACCTCACTTCCTCTATTTCCGTCTTCATCCATTTCCTTTGTTAATAATGAAACAATTAACTTAATCAAAAAATCATTTAGCCCATTGCAATCAAATTCATACATATAAATAGTGATATATACAATTAAATCAACTGATTGTTGTTAGTTAGCCACAAAATCAGTTGTTTCATTTTCTCAAATCTATTAACCATTGATACGGAAAAATATATAATTATTGTAATAATTTGGATACAATTAAAAGTATCATTTAATTGTTTCCCTTTTATTGGTGGACCATTAAACAAAAAACAATTAGACAAACAGATTAATCCAAATTGTATTAAATCATTTACCTAACAATTAATTGTCATTTGGTAATCAAATTAATGATTGAATATTCATCCGGTGTCATTGAAAAGCAACAACAAATCAAATCCGTTAACATTTAAATTGTTATTATAAAAGTTAATTACTTTTTCATTGATTAGTTTATGTGTGTGTATTTATTTAAACTAGACTTATGATTAACTAATTGTAAAACAAGAAAATCAAATTAACTAAAAATAAAGGTCAATGATAATTTAGACTAGAAATAGTTACTAATATAAATAGTTAATTATTTGCTTAATGTAATCAACTTGATTGTAATAATTATAATCATGTTAATATAATGATGATCAATTAATTTAATTCCTACAAGTTATCAAACCTGTTAGGTAACCTTGACCATTGAAATATCAACCTGATCAATTGGTCTGATGACATCAATTGGATCATCAATTAACTGAATTAATTGAAGAAAATCAATAAATTATGAGAAACAATTTATTTAATATGATACGGAAAAGTTTGTTGGTCAAGCAAAAGTTATATAAGTTACTTGTTAAATTGGTCAAAAACTTGAAATCACTTGGACCTGAACATAAATAGCCTCAGGCCACCAACAAGGTTTACACGGTGTGGTTACAATTTCAATTGAATCAAATAAAATAAATAGGATAACATTTTGATATAATCATTATCATTATGTTTCTGTGTTGTTGTTGTTTTCATTGTGACCAAGGGAAATGTTGTTATTACATCATCAATGGTCATCATGGGTGGGGACACATCTTTGTATTGAAGGATATGAAACAATATCTATGAGATTATCTTATATTAGGTAAATGGACCACGCCAAACTGTGTTGGTGGCCTCAGGCTGTGTCTTCAATAACTGGTCACTCTATTGTCAACTTGTTACGGTGTGTCCAAGGTATTTACCCTATGTAATTATCATCTTGATGGTAAACACTGGGAGGTGAGTTCTTGATGATAATCATAGGGAATTTGCTTGTTTCGTTTCGTATGGTCAATTGAATAGTCAAAATTTTGGAATTAGGATTAAAGGTTATTAGGGAATCGATTGCAAATGAATTTTGATAATTAATGTTTGACTTTTTATTTTATTTTTTCATTCAATTAATTTTTGTTGTTTGTTGTTATTATTACATTGAAATTATTATGATGATTGAGCTTTTAATTGAAGTTTTTATTTGTTAGAAAATTAAACAATAATGATTGATGATTAATGGTTAATGATAAATTGATCAATTTATCAATCGATTGGTCATTCATGTGATGTATTGTTGTTGATTAATTAGTTGATTGATTATTGGTGATTTGTTGTGATGCAATACTTTCAATAGTAAATATCAAATACAGCGAAATTAATTAACTTTGATTACGTTAGTTAACATTTTCAGATTAATAACAATTTTCTTTCAATTGTTAATTGTTGTTGTTGATGATGATGATGATGATGATGATGATTATCATTATTAACTGACAAAGTATCTAACGTTTTAAATTGTTTTACATTTTCCCTGAACAGTTGATTATGAATATAATTGTGGTTATTAATTACTAATAAGAGATTGGTAACTTGTTAGTAGTTAATTAGATCGCATGAGTTTGATATTTTTACAATTTAAAATTGATCAATAAAAATGATACATTGATGGATATGATTACATGATATTAGATGATGGCGATGGTTATGATTATGATTGTTGATTGTTGATTATTGATTATAAAGTTTTTACCACTTTGATAATCCCAGAAATAAGAGTTTGTGGTTTTTAATTTGTGATCAATTGATTGAAATTGTGATGATAAATTGAAATGAATTTAATAATAAAGTGATTGCCATTGGACCCAGAGAAATAAATTGTTGATCATTTTGAAACAATTAATTTGATAATATGAAGGAAACATTGATTTAGGGATAGAAGGCAGTGATTAGCTATTGGATTAAATTATCTATTTGATTGTAACTAATTAACTGAATTTAGATAATAACAAGTATTAGAAGGGTCAATAAGTGCAGAGATTAAGCGATTAAAGGAAAGATGAAAGGAAAAGGGAAAGGAAACGAAATCAAAGGAGATTAAGGATACGATGGATTAGTTGAGATAAGAAAGTTCGTATCCCTTGGATTGAATGAAAAGTCGATTAGTTAATACAATTACCATGTTTACGTGCAAATAAGAACGGTGCTTGTAAGTGAGTGCACTCGCTTAAGCCCTTTTAGTTGAGTTTGCTGAATCTCTAAGCTCACAAACTACAAGTACATTGTAAAAGATGGTGAATGAGAGCAGAGCCTCCAACAAAATATCGACATGGGCTTAAAGGCGAGTTTCTCTCGTCGATCTTATTTACATGTAAACACGAAAACTAATTCTATCAGTAATCAACAGTTAAGAAATAGTTGATTAACTTTTCTATTCAATGAATGTTTAATGTTCACAGAACATACATTTAAGTGGATATATCATTGATATATGGGAATGTGTTCATCTCATTCAGCTCAATTTTAATTCTTAATTGTAATTGTAAATTTAATTTACTTCAAGAAAAGTTTAGTCTTTGAATATAAAAGTTGAGTAAAACTAAATTAATCTCATGGTTTGTTTAATTGTAATGGTAACAATTAACTTGATAAATTAACTTGAATGAAAATCACGATACATGATCTTCATTTGATTGTAATAATCAAATAGCAAATATTAGATTGCGTGTTAATCCAATAGTTTGATTGTTAATTGTTAATATCATTACTATTGAGGTACTTTAAGAATAAGAAACTTTTCTTGATTAATCATTAGTCACAAATGATTAAGAATTAAAATTATTCAATTGAGCTAAATGTTGATAAATATTCGTTAAATTGTAACATGATTTCAATTTAAGTGAAAAAAAAATTAGATGAAATTAAATTGATCAATTGATCGATTGGTGAAGTTAAATCATTAAAGTAACTCTTTGATAATTTAACTGGATGATTAGTAAATTGTAATTGTGATTGTGATTGGGATGATTATGAAAATTATGAAGATGAAGATGAGAATCATTTTGCTTCATTAGACTGTATCGAAAAGATTGGGATCGATATATTGGGACCTCTCCCTCGTTCATCGGACAAGGAATACATCATTGTAGCCACTGAGTATTTCACTAAATGGGTAGAGATGAAAGCTCTGGCAAAGAAAGACGCAAAAAGTACCTCTAAATTTCTAATTGAAAATATATTGTGTCGACATGGTTGCCCCAAGTCAATCCTGAGTGATCAGGGACGAAACTTCATAGGTGAAACGGTTCAAGAAGTAGGAAACTTCATGAATGCGAAGTGGCAACTTTCAACCGCTTACCACCCTCAAACGAATGGATTGACTTGGGGCAACCATGTCGACACAATATATTTTCAATTAGAAATTTAGAGGTACTTTTTGCGTCTTTCTTTGCCAGAGCTTTCATCTCTACCCATTTAGTGAAATACTCAGTGGCTACAATGATGTATTCCTATATCTATAACAATAGATGGCGATGGATTTTTAATTGTGTTGATTAATCAGATTAATTAATCAACAGTTGATAAGAAAGGGGGAAGTTTGGGTTTTGGTTTTGGTAATTTTATCATATCTCTTGGGGATAATGATTGTAATTGTAACCAGAGAGATAACAATTAACCAGAAAGATAATTATTAATATCAACTGATTCTCTGGTAAGAGTAATGATGATTGTGATTATTTTGATTAGTCTAATGATGGAAATGAATTATGATTAATTGAATGGTTTTTTCATTTAACAATTACGAATAATACCTTCGATTGTTGATGATTTTAAGATGATGATGATGTTGGTGGTGATGGTGATGGTGGTGATGATTAAGATGATTAAGATGAATAAGACACTAAAAGTGTCAACAGTTACCAAGTGATTAGTTAATTAGAATCCAGCCTAATTAAGATGAATCACTTTCGTTATTCTGATTTACTTATAATACACGTTGAGGTGGGTTGATTGTTGTTTGTGGTTAATTGTTGGTCATTGCTCGTTGATTGTTGATTGTCGATTGGGAAAAAAGAGAATTAGAAACAATAAGGTTGACAGAATTGATAAACGAGCCTTTGACTTCTTTCCGTTTTCTTCATTATTCCCTTTTTGTAATATTGTCGAATTGACCTGGAGAGTTTATCGTAGTTCATTGCAGGTCGATTCTTGCGTCGACCCCATAACTTGGCCACTTTGACGGAATCTTCGATCTTGAAAATTCCTTTGCTTCGATCGATCCAACGAATACACGAACCAAATTGTTGAGATTGACCAAGAAGCTCCTTGAGAAATTGCCATAGGTGAATATGAGAACCGGATGTGTTTCGATTGGAAGATTGAGGGAGTGAAGTGTTTCCGGAGACAATTGATGTTGGTGGTGGGAGAGAAGACGAAGACGAAGAAGATGAAGAAGAAGAAGAGATGGATGTGGATGGAGAACAAGAGGGAGAAGGAGATAGAGATGGAGATGAGAGAGGTGAAGGAGCAGAGGAGAAAGGAGAGTAAATGGGAGAGTGGGAGGTGGAAGAGGAAACAGAAGAAGGTGACATTGAAATGGGAGACGAAACTTCACAAGCTCCATCTTGGCTTAATTCATCTGGAACATTGGAATAAATAAATAAACAGATAAAAAGATAAAAAGAGAAAAAGAGAAAATTAATAAAAAATGAAAAGAAAACCGGAAAAGGAAAGAAAAATAAAATTGAAAAAAAAGGTAAATGATTTAGTTAATTAATTGTTATGGTTTTTTGTTATTCTTTCAATTACCACAATTAACTGACAAACAATTGAATTTGTTGTTGAGTGGATATCATTTCATTTCTATTGAGGTTGAGAGTTTATGATCAATGATCTTCTCAAGTGGACAATCAATAAATTGTATTGGTCAATTTTAGGGTCAAGAGCAAAGAGTAATATTAAATAATAGATAATAGGTAATAGATAAAGGTAATTGTGGTGATAATGATTGTTGATTGTTGATGAAATGTTGAATTAACTTTACAAGAAGCTTAAAACTATTGGTGTAAAGGTGAGAGAGAGAGAGAGAGAGAGAGAAGAGAGAGAGATGAAGATAAGATGATGATGATGATGATGATCTCTATGAGATGATCATCATTATTACACTAAAAAGAGACTGAGTTACTCACGATCTCAGAGGATGATGATAATGATGATGATAGAGAAAAAGATGAGGAATATTTAATCACGAACTCTTTTTTTCTGTCTACCTTCATCTTCCTATTAAATGGCAACAATCAAATTATATCATTTCATTGATTCAGATACAATCTAAAGTCTATTAATGATCGTTTATATTTGAATATAAATAATCTAATTAAATGACTAATCATCATTGATAATCTAATGATACAAGTTAATCAAGTTAAATGAACAGCAACAACAACCATAATAATAATAATGTCATCTCTTAATAATTGTCACCATTTTCGTCACAAAAATCTTGTTCTTGATGATTAATTAAACCACGACAACAATTAAGATTATATAAGACATTGAGAACATTTAATTACCAACAAGGACGAAAGGGAAGGTTGTCTAAGATTAATCATAATCAGTAACAATTAAATGACAATAATTTCCTAAGAGGATTGTATAACAAGATCTCTAATTAGAATTTCATTTATCATGAGAAAATCAGAATTCTAGAAAAATATATAAAGATAATAGTCAATTTAAGAAACGGTGAGTGGGCAGTTTAAAGGAAGCACATACAACTAACAGGTAGTGACCATTGGAGCAAAAAACGAGACTAAAAGTGAAAAGAAAATGAATTTACTGATATTTCTCTCTTCTTTTTTTTGTTATTATTAGTTGATTGTTACGATAATTTAATCACATGATTAAACCGAGGAATAGAAGATAAAGAAAAGATATGGAAGATAAATGATGATCAAGAATTTAGTGTAATAGGCGAAATTGTTGGGTTGGTCTTTTAGCTTCTTCTTCAGGTAAATTGAAGTAAAAACGATATCAAGGATAAGAGAGTAAACCAATCAATGTCTTGGAAGAAAATGGAGAGAGAGAGAGAGAGAGAGAGAGAGAGAGAGAGAGAGAGAGAGAGAGAGAGATGAAGATAAGATGATGATGATGATGATCTCTATGAGATGATCATCATTATTACACTAAAAAGAGACTGAGTTACTCACGATCTCAGAGGATGATGATAATGATGATGATAGAAAAGATGAGGAATATTTAATCACGAACTCTTTTTTTCTGTCTACCTTCATCTTCCTATTAAATGGCAACAATCAAATTATATCATTTCATTGATTCAGATACAATCTAAAGTCTATTAATGATCGTTTATATTTGAATATAAATAATCTAATTAAATGACTAATCATCATTGATAATCTAATGATACAAGTTAATCAAGTTAAATGAACAGCAACAACAACCATAATAATAATAATGTCATCTCTTAATAATTGTCACCATTTTCGTCACAAAATCTTGTTCTTGATGATTAATTAAACCACGACAACAATTAAGATTATATAAGACATTGAGAACATTTAATTACCAACAAGGACGAAAGGAAGGTTGTCTAAGATTAATCATAATCAGTAACAATTAAATGACAATAATTTCCTAAGAGGATTGTATAACAAGATCTCTAATTAGAATTTCATTTATCATGAGAAAATCAGAATTCTAGAAAATATATAAAGATAATAGTCAATTTAAGAAACGGTGAGTGGGCAGTTTAAAGGAAGCATACAACTAACAGGTAGTGACCATTGGAGCAAAAAACGAGACTAAAAGTGAAAAGAAAATGAATTTACTGATATTTCTCTCTTCTTTTTTTTGTTATTATTAGTTGATTGTTACGATAATTTAATCACATGATTAAACCGAGGAATAGAAGATAAAGAAAAGATATGGAAGATAAATGATGATCAAGAATTTAGTGTAATAGGCGAAATTGTTGGGTTGGTCTTTTAGCTTCTTCTTCAGGTAAATTGAAGTAAAAACGATATCAAGGATAAGAGAGTAAACCAATCAATGTCTTGGAAGAAAATGGAAGAGAGAGAGAGAGAGAGAGATTATCTTCTATTACCTTTTTTCTAATTGAGAAAAGATAGAAAAGTTTTATATTCTCTTTCTTCATCTTCCATCATTATCATTACCATCATGATGATGATACGAACGAAATCAAAGTTTCGTTTGAATTTGTAACGAAATTTTAATCTACTTGCAAAGATATTAATTTCTGAATATTTATCTTTCTCTCTCATCAATGAAGATGAAGAGTAGGCCAGGTAGGTTAGGGGGTGAAGATAAAAAGCAGAGGCTATTAAGGTAGGGCCTAAGATCGGTAAGATGATGGAAAGAGAGAGAGACTGAGAGGCCGAAAGGCCGATAATTTAAAGTTTTAACAACAATCAAATCTATTTTTTGGTTTACCTGTTGTACTTTGCAATTATTAATATTAATTGTTTACTTGATTACTTTTCAGTTGTTTGCTTCATTTGATTTCTAATTATTGTACCAAGTGATTTAGTTTTACAGGTAAATTAACAAAGTTTTAACAAACCAATTATAAAATCACAATTAACTAATAACTACAATGTAATAGAACCTTTTTTCTTATAAATCTGTTGGGATCTTGTATCGATAACGTTACTTATGGTGTTGAACTTTGCATTGGATTTGGTTTATTGGAATTAAATTATTGTTACTGTTGTTTTGGAAGTGGATAATCACTGAGTGGAAGATAATTAATTTCTATTGCATTTGGAAAAGTTTATATTTTTGAATGTACAAAGTAAATTTTTGGGTAATTAGTGTTTGAGAAAATGGAGAAAAAAAGGAAAACAATGATATTGATTTAAGATGATTAGTGAGATTGCAGATAAATGATGGTGATGATGATGATGAATAATAGAGATGATGGAGATTCTAGACTGAAGCTGTTTACAGGGTTGAAAAGGTCATGGCACCAGGATTGATGTTCAGTTCGGGTTCGGGTTAAGACACTGGTTCGGGTTTAGGCTAACACACTGTTTCCATTTAAATGGTTACCTTGAAGGCACTAATTCTAAGGGGAGTCTCGAGTAAAAAGGGGCCAAAAATGAAGAACAAGTTTCTTTTTTCAAATGTATTGATGATTAAGATGAGAAGATGAAGATGAAGATGAGGATGAGGATGATATGTATCATGAAATTATCTCTCTTAATGGTAACTATGGACTTGACAAGAGATAAACAAGAAGAACAAGAGAGAGAGAGAGATGATGATGCAGGGGAAGGAAGGAAATGATAATCGATAACAAGAATATTTTCTTCTTCTTTTTTTTGTTTTTATATTTTCTTGTTGTTTGTGGGCTAATGATGGCACGGGAATTCAGGGGAATTCAAGGTAGTTCAGGGGAAAAAGATTTTTGTTTATCTTTTCCAATTCATAGGGTTACTGGTACTTTGTACTCACCATCACTTTGAATTCCCTCGGAACCATAATAATCACTTGTAAACATAACGTCCGATCTTTTGCCGGCTTCTGTTTATTAAGAACGATGATTAACATGATCATCATGATTATGATCATCATCATGAAGATCATGGAGATAATTGCGGCAATTGAGATAAAATGGATGATGAATGATGAACATAAAGATGAGAATTAATATCCACAAGTTGAATTCACAATCACAATCACAAAACAAGAGGAAAAAAAAGAGAAAAAGAGAAAAAAGAAAAACAATTAACGATAAAACAAATTGATTGGAATTTACTGATTAACTGGTTAACTGATGAATCGATTAATTAATTACCTTGTTCACTTAGTGTTTTCCAAATCTCTAGTTGAGCATAAAGTAAATCACCACAAACTTGAGCTTGTTCCTTGAAATCTGATTCAGATAAGGAACACAAACTCATCCCATCCATGTGAAAATAATTAAGTGGAAACATTGGTAATCCGAATTGTTCAATTTGCCATGATAACCATGAAATGACATCGTTGACAGTCCAAGTGAATGGATCTGATTAAGAACAGATTAATATGAGAATATGGATTTGGATTTGGATAAAGAATAGAAAAAGAAAGAAAAAGAAAAGAGAAGAGAAAAGAAGAGAAAGAGAAGAAAAGAAGAAAGAAGAGAAGAAGAAAAGAAAAAAAAGAAAAAATTACCTGGTGATATTCGGAGATTCTCTGAGACTCGTTTAACTTCTTGATGACAAGCTTCGAGTGCGAGATTGGAAACCTCGTCGTCGATGTGTTTGGGCCAAAGTGATTCCAATGGATCATATGGAGATGATGAAGATGTCGAGAGGGACGAAGGACTCGGACAATTGGACATGATTGATGGTGAAAAAGATGAAGATAAAAACGATGGAGATGATAAAGTATATGAAGAAGTGTATGAAGAAGACGATGATGGAGGTGAAGGTAAAGGTAAAGGTGAAGACGAAGATGAGGTTTGATTGAGACTCGAAAGATAAACACAATTCAATGTCCCATGTAACATGATGAGGAAGAAGAAAATGAAGAAGAGGAAGATGACGAATAACAGGAAATATCAAGAAAGTTGAACGAGTCTTGGACCAAAAGAATTAAAAAGTTTCCACAATTAAATCACATTAGTTTTTTTTCTGTTTCGATTGTTATGTTGCTTAGATTCTGCTTCACTCAACTAATTCATTCTAAAGTGGGTTTACAGGTACAGTAGACTTTTGTTTCTATTTACCCCAAAGGTAAGAGAGAGAGAGAGAGAGAGAGAGAGAGAGAGAGAGAGAGAGAGAGAGAGAAAGAAGATTGAGAAGAGAGACAAGGAGAGATGGAGAGAGAGAGATGTTAGAATCCGCCCTTTACCTGATAATAGACTCAATAGTTAATAAAATGAATGTTATACCTGTTGGGATGATTCTCTTTCTTTTCTCTCTCTCTCTCTCTCTCTCTCTCTCTCTCTCTCTCTCTCTCTCTCTCTTTCTATCAATATCTTATCATTTCTACTCATCCCTCTTTATTTAATCTTCTTTCTCTCTCTCTCTCTTTCTCTCTCTGTCTTCCGAATAAAATATTGAGAAATAATGAAAGAAAAAAGTGACTAGAATTTAGATTTGGAAAATCAAGTGGCCATTGAGAAAGAAAACAAACTAAGCCACTTAACGAATGGACATTAGAACTTTTTTTCGTCGAGAATTTGAATTTTTCTTTTAGATTATTAACCTTTTAGATTTAAAAATATTCGATTTCAAAGTTTCTCTGTTCACTTATCCTCATCAATTGGGACAAATTGTCACAATGGCAACAAAAGAATTGGATGAGTAACAATTAGTCCTTTTATTCCGATTCTTCATCATCTTAATTAGAATCTGCATCATTTTCATCAGAATAAAAGAGAAAAAAAAGAAAAAAAGAAAACACTTTCGTCGATTAATTTTTTCTCTTACAAGAAACTTTTCTGACCCAATTGTTTCTCTTTCCTTTGATCATTTATGTTCTCATTTTTAATCATCATCATTATGATTAGTTGATTGTTGTTTATATCCTTAAACTTGAAGTTCCATATCGTTGATTGTCAACAGAATTAGTTGTAACAATTATCATTGTTGATACTGTTTATTTCTTACTTTGAGCTAGAATATTTTTCAAGTTTAACTTGATTTCGATTTAACAATTAAACAAACAATCAAATGAATATTGGAGTTATAGCCATTTAAAAACTCAAAATCCTTAAGGAGTCTATGGGACGTTTCAACTTCGCGAAAATTACCTAAGTACATGTAATAAATTGCTGATTGTTAATTGTCTGAGCAAAGCGAAGACTTTACTTCAAAAAACCTAATTTTCTAGGGACGAGAACTACAAAACGACAATTCAGATCACTTTGATTTCTTCAGAACAGCTTTTTCTATAGTGTGAGCAGTGCTGTATAGTTTTTGAGAGAGATTGGCCCAGTCCCGAAATTTAGGGAAAATTTTTCCAACCAATTGTCACGTTTGTTTTTGTGACGTTTTTTAATATGGCAAATTAAAGTTTAATGTAAGTGATTTTATAAAATGTTAAAAAGAGTACACAAGTTAAGAATTGATTTATAATTAAGGGTGAACAATAAAGAGATTAAGATATAATAAAGAAGATGAAAATATAAGAATAAGGATTGACAGAAGGAAATTGATGAAAATCAATTTAAATCTACACCACGGATATTCCCTCCCCTCTTAGAACAGTAAAAATAAAAACAGTCTCTTCTTATATTATTCTTTGTTCGAAACTCACTTTTCACGACTTTATACAGCCACGGAAAATGAGTTTGAGGGTAAATTTATATCATTCGCGCAGCAAAGGTGATAACGCCAATTTATCGGTAGTTAGATAATCAAGACATTCAAATTTACCATTGTTTTGATTGATAAGATTTTCTTATCGCTTTCGATGCGCAATTGATATAAAACTACCCTCAAACTCATTTTCCGTGGCTGTATGTAATGACAGACTGGTCAGATCAACTTGCAATTTGACCAGAATATGTTTGCAAGCTGAAAAGCTGTAATCAGCTGATTTAAACCTAGACTCAAATTTAACTAGGCTTACTGCAAGCGGCAGTGACGTCTGAGCGCGTTTATGACTCAGAAAAGAGAGACTGATAAGTGCGTGCGAGAAAGAGACTGAGAGAAAGAGAGAGAAAGAGAGAGAGAAAAAAAAGAAGCAGAAATTGAAAGAGAGATTTCCTTTCCTCCAATCAGCCTAATATATCCTTTTCTATCCACTCTCACCTATTGAGATTCCACATTCTGTCACTGTTACACCGAGCCGTGTGGTGCCGTGCTCAACCAGCCACAACTAGTGGATTTCTCAGGCTACAGCAAGCGGTCCCTTCAACCGGCATCTTCGGTTTCGAAGGGAAGCCCTAATGGCCTTTTAAGGGCGCCTGGAGACTCTCCCCGTCTTACCCCTTCTAGATGTCACCATCTAGGGAGGCTGACTCCCTCACGGGAGCCATTTCAGCTAACGGGTGCTGCCCTCTCTTTCTCGTATGTCATCACCGGGTTTCGAACTCGCAACCTTGACTAGCAAGGGCAGATGCTTAACCCTCTGAGCTGAGAGAGAAAGAAAGAAAATGGAGAAAAAATTGAAAAATAAAATCTTTGCTTTTTGTTCCTGGCCCGTAGGGACAGGGTACTATATTGTTTAATTTTCACATATTTTCGTCTGATAATAGAACATTTTAGTGCTTTTTCTTATCTATTTGAGATAATTTTACTAAGTTTGATAAAAAATTTTAAAAATAGATAAGAAATCAATTTTTGCGCTTAATTCAAAAATGAGAAAAGGAAATAAAGAAGAAAGAAGAGAGAAAGAAAGAGTTCGTATTGCTTTTCAAGGAAGAAAAACAATACGAAGGTGAAAAGACAAGAAAAGACAAGAAAAGGTAAAGGAAAGAGATAGAGATAGAGAAGAGGAGCTGGTGAACGAAAATTAAAACCACTAATTAAAATTTATAATTAATTTTAGTTGAATACTTATTTAATTGATTAACAGTTAAGACAAAAAAACGTGTAGTAAACCTTTCAGCTAAAGCACTAACTGTAAATTTTATTGAGAGAAACTCAATTGACCCTTTACGGTCGTCATACAACTGAACAGCCTCAAAGTGCTGCCCTCGAGCGGTCATATGTTCAACCGTCACAAATCAATTTTAAGTTTCATCATACAAGATTACAGTAAAACCTTTCAAAATGACCCATCATGTTGACAACGATTTGTAGAGCGGGTCATTCGAAAGGGTTGAAATTAATCAATTATTTAGATTAAAAAATTCTAAACACAAATAATTATGAATTATAATCCTCAAAACAATCTGAACTTGAAGTGAAATTATTAATTTTCATTTTTTTAGACCAAATTGATAAGATTTAATCCTAATTAAAACTTAAAAATCTTCCAAATTTAATGTTACCATAACGATGGGTCATTTTGAGAGGGCGTCATTTTGAAAGGCATTACTGTACATTACAAAATTTACATAATAATTTGAAGAAAACAATTAAATAAAAAGGATAATATGTAACAATTAATAGAAATATACAATTTTGGGCAAAATTAACCTAGATTGGAAATAGGAGTTAATGAGACATTTCATTTCTGTGAGAAATGCTAAAAGCACGTTGTTTGGGTTTGTGTTCATTTGTGTTTTGTTCATTTTTAATGTTGTTCATTTGTGTTTTTTTTTTTTCTTGGTTACTTACCTTCTAGTTATATCATTTAAACATCAGCATTAGTAAAATTTATCTGAGGAATCACTTAATTAAAGGGAAATTCAACCATAAATTCAACTATCCAACTATAAATTGAATAAATCACACATGCGCCAAAAATCGGGACAGGACATTCTTTTGCTTCAGCAAAATAATCTTACTCTTGTCTTTATTAAATTTCAAAATCACACTCGATTCAATACATGCGCTCAGACGTTACTTCGGCTGAAGTATGCCTAGTTATGATTAAATTAATTGATTTTTTTATTTGTTTAATTGATGTAATCAAAGTTCATTAACAATAATTAAAACTACGCATATAGCAAGCGGCAGTGACGTCTGAGCACGTGTATGACGCAAAAAAGAAAGACTAAGGCCCAAAGAGTAGAGAGAAAGAGACAGCATATAATTTATTTTCCATATATAAAAAATACATATAGTGAAGAGAGCAGAGCCCTCTAAGCAAACTTGAATGAATGCTTCCCGTATATTTTTAAATGGTTAAGGTTACAATTAATAATTTATGGTGATTTATATTATATTAACAATTGAGTGGAGAACATAATAGAATAATAATGATAATTTATAAATAATTTAGAAAATCTAAGGTCTGTGTTTGTTATTTATTTATGTATGTCCATTTAATTAGATCCTTTGAAATGTATTCACTTAATATTTTGATGTTAAATGTTGCCGATGTGATCCATCTTCCTAGTCCATCTCCATGGGTAATTGATCGTCACACCAAATTTTAGGTTTATATAACAGAAAAACTATGAGGCAACATTTTTTTTGGTGTCGCGAGGTGGAGCCACTAGTAGATTTGAAAAGAAAGAGAGAAACCTGAGGAATTTTGGGCTCTGATAAACTTTAATTTAATTAACTTTATAATTTAAAATTGATTTTTATGTTATTATGTTATCTTATCATACGGATCAAGTTGATACCAAATATGATAATTCAACAGTTACTTTAGTTATTTTGTTACTCTAAAACTGAGCTATTATTGCGTCGTAATAACTTGAACCATTTCTTTTTCTTGGTAAGTTTGTTGATAATCTGAATTCAATTTTCTTTCTCTATTTCTTTGATTAGATTGAAATTCTAATTTTTGTTATTTATTATTATTTCCTTTTTTTTTGTTTCATACTTAATGGTTAACTTAATTTTGGACTTTGGACAATCAAACTAACCACTCAATTAATATTTATAAAAGCCTAATGGGATTTGTGTTGAAAGGACTCTAGTCCATTTGTTTTGAAAGGACATTTGTCCATTTGTTTTGAAATGACATTGTCCATTGTGACTAAATTTTATTTTTAAATTTTATCTCAAATTATTCGACCTCAGGAGAAAAATTGTTAATTATTGTATTACTTTCTCATCAATTACTCCTTCCTTGTCCTCTTTTCCTTTCC